TACAACATACTTGAGAAAAACAAGGACCATTGATATTATTGCAATTACCATAAGAGTGTGCAAGGTTTTTGTACAAGCTTACTATTGAAGGCCACTTTTTTTTCTCTGAGTTTGGTATTGAATATTGTTGCAGCTGGTCTTCCATCACAATGTGTCCTTTCTTGTTTTCCTTTTTTTTTTGCTGACAAATGTAGATTTTGAGACCGATTGAGCACCAGGGGGTGGGGGTGGTGGGAGGATGCACATAAGTTTACTTTAGAAAAAAATATGAAATGTGATTAATTTAAATATATTATCTTACAGATATAATAAATATACAAATTCTATGGGCACATGTATCAATCGATTACATTTTAGTAGCCATATTTCCTTTTTTTTTGGGGGGGGAATTGTTTATGTATTTTTTAAACGATTTTTACTACAGTGTAGTGTAAATATATAGTGTTCTTATGCATGTGGTGTCCTTGAGTAAACTACTTTACTGGATTTAGAAAAGATTCTGCGATTAATTTAAAATCATCAGAGTTTATTAGTTGAAGAAACCAACAACTGCATATATGAGTCGGGAAGATTATGCTTTTTAAATGACTTGCGGTCCTACTGCTCTACAAAATTGCTTGATTTAAAACGACATGCTGTTCAAAAGGTCCAATCAATTTAGTAATAAAAATGTGGTGCTATACATTTTACTCTCTGATTTCCAAAATTCACTCATTTTGAGTAAATTTATTTATCCCATTCACCTGAAACTAGGGACAAGGCAATTTAGAGTGAGATTCAGTCAGTCAAAGAGATCAAGTTTTAACTTTAATTTTGACTGAAGCAATTCGTGTTCAAGTGTTTCAATTAAAAAATATGAGTCATTTTTACCCTAAATCATCTTGTGAATAGTTTTAGCACTATAATGAACTGATTTGGTCCAATCTGAATAATAAAAACACTTACTCCCAACAAGTTTGCGATGCACATATGTTTTCAACTGTCCCAAAATCTTGAAAATCAAATTTCTTCGACGTAGAAACATTGGAATATTCAAGTTGATTTTCTAGGGTCTCCAAAGATTTCTTGTTTTTTCCAGTTTTCAGTCAGCGGTGGTCTGACAACCCCAATTAAAACTCTTGATCTTGAGGAGGAAAGCAGCAAGGTCAACAAGACCTTATCGGTCTGGCTTGTAGGCAGTTTGGGATTTGGATGATACGTTTGGGATGCGATACCCAGATTAGTAGCAGAAGTGCGTACAGTACTTGCTTAAAATTTTTTTTTTTTAACTTGTGCAGACTACTGTACTGAACTAATTGCCTTAAGAAGATGGATTTAAAACCGTGTGCGCTGTGGTCTGGTCGAGATAAACTGGTAAGATGTCTCTAGGGGGCGCCATTTTGAGCTGATGAATGGGCTGACTGCAATGATGGACTTCCCTGATTCGCAAAATTGTACCAGGTCTTATAATTTGTAAAAGAAATGTGCCAAAACGTCCCAGAAGGATCCTGTCTTTAGGTGCACAAATCTGTTTGCATAAGCTATTTTCATAAGGTGCAGTATAAGGCCCAGTAAAGAAAAAAAAGTAAGTTTCTCGTCCGGGGTTTCAAAAAAAAAGTAAGGAGGCGGCCCGTTTTTGCCTCCCTAAAATGGCAGATTTTCCAAGATGACATTGACAGATGGATTCTTCAAGTTTCTGGACTTTTTTGCTGATACTTTTGTGTTCAAAGGAACCATCACCCTTTCTAACAGATTTTGTACTAAAACTTTGCTGAGAAAAAATTTAAAGACAAAATACATCAATGTACTATGTAGGGCCTATTGCAAATGTATGAATTAAAGACAAAATACATCAGGGCCTATTGCAAATGTATGATTCAACAATTATTTGATGTCTTTGTTCTCTTTTCTAAAGGCACTCCGCTACAAGGCGCTCCGCTACAAGCCTTAGCTTATTAGGATTGTGCCTCCACAATATTGTATTTTGCTTTCTATTACATGTATGTTATTGTTCAGTATGGAAATAAATGTTATATTGAATTGAATTGCATTGAATTGAACAAAAAAAGAGGTGGGCTAGTTTTTTTCTCACGACTATGAGTAGAGCACCAAAAAATGTACTCGAATACATTTCAACATTAGGAGGAAATTTCAATGGCTACACGTCTTCTCAAGAGCATTTTGCTGTCAAACTTGGCATTAAACAAATGCAGAAGCCTCCCAAACAGTAGAAAACTGGTTCTTTTCCTTCAAGGAGTGCTTTACAAAAAATGTCTTGACGGAGAACATTCGCAAGAGTACGAGTATGAGTACGAGTACTTTGTCATGAGTACTAGCACAAGTTCGGGTAATTTTTTTCCTACGAGTACAAGTACGAGTACATTTCCTTGAGAATGATTACAAGAATAACTTTCATAAGTACTATTCGAGTTTGAGTGTGGGTACTACAAAACTGCTCCAGAATCACTCCAACATCTTTTTGCATCTGATGAAGTTGTTGTATACTGCGAAAGTTTATAAATGCAAAGTTTCAATGTAGAGTCAGTCAGTTGATTCTGCCTGACTATTCTTAGGGCTGCCCACCACTTTTTTCAGTCCAAGATTTGTGGAAAGTGCAAAATGGGCCATCCATGATCTGTAAGCAGTTTGTTAGTAATTGATAGACAGGCGACCTCTGTGGCACATCACACCCACTTTGCAGCTCTCTCCTGTCAACTCGTTGTCACCTTGGGGGAAAACTGTGCCACTGGTAGATTGTTGTTCTTGCTGGAAATACAACCACAAACCAGCTCCCAAATCCAACCCTGCCAAAGTAATCTTGTTATCACCTCTCCAGTACAACTCTGGGTAATCACTAATCTGGTTTTGAGATTCAATTAGGCATGAGATTGGGGCTGGCCGGACTGAATGACATAAGTATGCATGTTATTATCCAACTGCAGACCAACCCAGAGAACTTTGGGGTTTTTCTCCCAAGGTTGTCATTTGTCAGATATTTTTTTTTGGTATTGAAAAATAAACATGTCAACAGGGAGAAAAGAAAATTTGATAAAGCTGGAAAATTTGTTTTCATCTGGTTAAAAGTTGTGGAGTGGGACTACCAACATGTGCCCTTGGTTTTCCAAATTCTGTAACAGGTGTTCTCTGCCTTCAAGAATCCAGAGTAGAAACTTCCCAGCTCTGTTTTTTTTTTTAGAAATGTTGCTGATATGACTAATTTGAAATTGTCAGTAGCGTACATGAATGATTGATATGGAGGATTAAGAAGTTCCTAAAGGTCTTATTCCTCCATGCTTAAAGGAAAGATACAACATTTGCAAACATCACAAAACGAAATGATCAAATTGTCACGAAATACCTAACTGGATTGCTATGAAATGACAGTCTAAAGCATCCTGTAAAATCGTGGCTCCTGGTGTGCTGACATTTTCAAGAAAAATGGTATTTTTCCAACGGTGGTCGGCCGACCAGCGTTGGAGAAAACTGGCATATTTTCAAAAACTGCTCCTCATGTTTCCTTATTAGTTATTCCACGTTTTCTTTGCAATTGATGTGAAGGGGTACAAGCCTTCTAGACTGATTCTCTGACCTCACAATTCCCCAAAGTCTATAAATTGCTCCGATTCATCTTAAGTGGGGTCAGGGAACCAGACTACAAGAACATGATTGGTGTTCTTAGTTTTTCCAGCATCTACCGGTACAAGCCCAAAACGTGAAACAAACTTGTCATTTTAACATTATTTGCTATAACATACATGTACTGATTCCCCAAATTCATTAATTTCTGAAAATTACAGCAAAAGCAAATGTTGTACATTAAAATGGCCCATGCAATGTAATTTTCAATGCAATCCTTGAAAATGCAACTTTGTATCCCATTTTTCTTTATTTTCAATTTTTGTTTTGCCATTTTCAAGGGTATTTTGGTGCCTTTTGTGTTTTTTTTATGCTAAAGATGTTTTTAAAATTTTTTTTTTTGAAACGTTAGGCAACCTTGTTTTCAACCAGACTTGTCTCACAAAGGCAACCGGTGCACATAAATTCTGCCTTTGGCTTTGGGAAATGTTTACTATAAATACCCCGACTGCTTGGGTGGTGGGGTCAAAGGTTATGCCCCAAAACAGGAAGGGAGCTGTCGCCCCCTCGAGTCAAATAATAGAAGCTAAGTCTTTGATTGGATGACAGATGCTCCATGCTGCAACACCCCCCCCCCCATGTTTCCTCCTCCCTTGTGTTTTTGGGGTGGAAGGGCGGTTTCCTGATTCAATTGCAGTTTTTCCCGCACAGAAGGAAGTTTTGCCCAATTTAAAGACTAAACTGTTGTTGTGAGGGAGTAACCGGAGCTGGGTTACCCCGCATACTGGAACCTTTCAATAAAAAACAGTCCATGCATGCAGAATGCAGTGCAATTCTTACAGATTTATATTTGAATCATGTACAAAAATTTATACTGATGTATGGACAATTCCAGCATTGTGAAAGGAAGTGTAATGTCCCTGACAGAGTCAATTAACCATGATATCTAATTAATGATTCAGAGAAATGATCCAAAACTCTGAGTCTGTAATCTCCTTGACAATTACTAGATGATGGATGTATAAGATTTGAAAAATACATTTTTTAGGTTTATTCACTGAGCTCTTAAAGCTCTGTAAGAGACATTACATAACACCTGAATTGCTCACATGTATGCTGCTTGGCATTGGGGAATTGATAAACATCAATCAACACGAATCTTCTTTGGGAATATTTTTCGTCTGAAATTGTGCCATGACTATCAGTAATATCTGATTTCAAATGATCGTAGCTTACAAACTAAAGAAAAATAGTTCAAATGATCAAAACAGACCCATTTTTTCTAGCTTGTTTTCTAGATAATATTTACCATATCCTCTTTTTATTGGCGGTTTTCCCCGCCACAGCTGAGCCATGCCAAAATGCCTTAATCTAAAACCCATTGAAAAACAATCTCCCCTTGACATGATCCCTAGTAACTGTTGTTCGTGGTTTATACCTGACAGGATGACATGGGGGGCGTGGGCCGTGGGTGCCCCCATCAGAACCCCGGCCAGACCTCCTGCTTGGGCAACGGTCGGATTGACGCCAGCTGCTGTATGGACTCCCACTACGGCCAGGCGTGCGCCTACCGGCCGGGTATCACCACCGGGGTGCTGTGCTGCAGGAAGTCAGGTTGGTAAAGTCTGGGTCCCAGACTAGATTTTTCGAAATTTGTTCCCTAGTGCAGTCGGTCCTTGACGTGGAATATGCTGCTGTGGCAGTAGTAGGGGTCATCATCAAGCTCAAATGAAATCAAATCAGTCTTGGGAACTTAAAAGCCAAAAAAAAGACCATACAAGCACTGTAAATTAGCTTGATGCCTTCTGAGAGACAGTTGGAATGGATTATTGAGCCCTAGGTGGGGATTCCAACCTCCAGGTTAGCTTTACATGCTGCATAAAAACCAGGGCACAAGGCGCGTAGATTTATAAACAAGTGAGCAATCGAGCCTGAAAGTTCACCCCTGGTGGCGCTCTTCTAAACTGACCACTGCTAAGGACTGCATACAAGTCAGCCCGATTAAATCTAGAACCCATCAGCTGCAGGTAGCTAGGTGAATCTTTGCGTTGTTATACATTCTCGTTCTCATGCAAGAACGCGATGTGTAAACAAACGTTAAACGAACAAGGAAACCTAACAATGAAAATGCCGGATGTGTAAGGTCGTAGAAGAAATTCTTTTTAAGTATCTCCAAGTGATTTTTCAACTTTTTTTAAGAACGCAAATTCCAACACGTTTCTCGGGGTTAATTGTTACAGCTAGAAATCATTCTGCCAAAAATTGTTGCAAGCGAAAGGGCAACCTAGTGTAAAATGCCCATGACTGCTCTAATCTATGTTCTGACACCCCTATGTTCCGACATCCCGCACATAAGATTGTGTTACTCCTGGTTAGGGCTAGGGCTAGGGTTATGGTTAGGGTCAGGAATAGGAATATGTGCAGACGGAACATGGGGGTTTCGGAACATAGGGGTGTCGGAAGATAGGGGTGTTGGAACATAGGGGTGTCGGAATATAGAGGTGTAACCAAAATGCCCATGGGCGGGCCGAGCGAGGGTTCCGGAAGCTGAGCCACTTGACCTTTTATTTTCAGACTCTATTATCAAACAAGTAATTTTACAGACAAGGAGTATTGGATCATCATTTCCCTGAGGCATTAATTAGATATCAAGGTTAAATGGCTCTGTCACAGACGTTACACTTCCTTTCGTAATGCTGGAATTACCCGGGTTTTTTTGGAACCTATATTCTGTTCATAAATCTAGTTTGGTTTGTTTGCAAAAATAGTTACCGTTTTGAAACATGAAATGTGTAAAGAAAGGCTCACATTTTAATCCTGACTGGCATAGGTAAAAAAAATAAAAATACAGAAGATTGAAAAGTCTGGTGCCATTCCTACTGGGATAACATCGGCCTCAACTCCCTGGGGTAACATTTGTTGACCTCATGGTCAAGGACAGCAGCATTGCAGTGGTTTCTTTTGGTGTTGGGAGTTTTGGTCTCTCCCCCAGGGTCTGATAACTAGAACCAAATATGATAACAAATTAAAAATTGCATTACGTTGACTGCAAACTTGGGAAAAACCACAGGCATACGTACCTTTTGTTGTGTCTGCACATTGGGAGTTTCAAAGAGATTGATATTTTTTGGGTCTTTTTTGACATAGTGAGTACTACCTAGGCAACCATCCAACCATGTTCCTGCTTGCAGTCTTTGCACAAAGTTGTTCTGCTCATAATATTCATTCTAATTGTTGTTTTGTTTGAATGTAGTTTCAATTGTGGTTGTAACTAATTTCTCATCTTTGAAAACTTTAATAGTTCATACCCTGGGCAGCACACTTGGTAAAACTTTTTTTTAAATCTATTAATATATTGAAATATACATCGCGTTATGTGTTATTTAATGAGATATGAAATAAAGTTAGGGAGAAATTGTTAACAAGCAGAAGAAAATCGTGAGTCAAATCTGTCTCTATTTTTTTGAAGATATTGGAAAGGTTTCTAAGTCCTTAATTCTCAAATGAAGTGTTGGGTTCTGATAACGTTTTCTAAAATTTCTGAATCAAGCAATAATTAGGCCTATTGTTATTGTTATTTTTTAATAAGTTTTTTTTGGGGGGGGGGTGGGCTGGAGTAAGAATTGTGGTAAAAAGGACTTCCATCTCTCAGACTGGATCCCACTCAAACTCAAAGTAAATTTGTATTTTCTCAGTTTGCTCTTGAATGATATTGAACAAGAAAAACTTTAAAATCAAGTTCTGACCCGGCAGGTAGGCCTACTACAACAAACTCTAAAAATCATTAGCGGGACCTTTGTTCACATTTCACATTGTTGTTATTTTGTTAAATCCTAAGTACCGGCTCTTCAAAACTTTGGCAGCGATATTGAGAGTTGGTTATGACTAAGAGTTCCCTAGACGGTAGGTCGGTCGCCAGACCTAGTCATAAAGGTGACTATGTCAAACTCTTTACGAGCGCTCTGGCGACAGAGAAATCGACCACTTACCGCAGTACCAATAAAAGAATTACATGTACATGTATGCATATGGGCGGAGGTCTCGACGACGTGGAGTCGTTTTTCAGAAGTTATGACTCTCAATTTAGAATGGTGCTGTGAATTTGAGACCGTTTTCTTTTATCTGGTGTGTGATTTCTTTAGACCTTAAGTAGACTTGACAATGAAAACAAAGCGTGGCCTGCCGCCTGTGGTTGATGGCTGCTTCCCTGCATACAAAGGCACTATTTTAATGGCAAATGTTATGTCTGATGGCAAAGTTGATTAGGCAGGATAGACTTACGATATATTTTCAATTTTGTTATGCTACATAAAAACTTAGATTAAAGCTATGCAGCTGAGACAGGCCCATCGCCAAGGGGGGGGGGGGGGGGCCTGGGGGAACAAAAGCCACAAATACATATTTTTGTATTTGCTATGGTAGTGGGCCCCCCTAGTTGGTACTATGCCCCCCCCCCCCCCATGCTCGGGGCTGGCGACGGGCCTGAGCTGAGAAGTGTGATTGCCTTTTATCTTATGTGTTTTTGCTGGTCTAAGAGGGCCAGCCCCAGGCACGGATCCAGAAGGGGGGCGTCGCCCCCCACCCAGCTCTGACAAAAAAAATATATAAATATATATATAATAATTACCTTTATGTCCACCTATCAACAACAATCGGACATAAAAAAAAAAATCTGATGGGTCTGACCCACCCCCCTGCAAAAATTCCTGAGCCCTGTTTCCTTTTAAAAATGTACCTATTTCATTGACTGATGGATCGACTGACTAACCGACCGACTGACTCACTGACTGACTCATTGGCCTATTACCTCAGTGACTGTCACTTGAGAGCCGGGCAGTGCTATTGTATAGGATTACCCGTAACGCCAATGCATTGGATAAATCCTGCCCATTGTGTAGACCAGATGCATGAAAAGACTTCCAGTGAATGGCCATTGCATCAATTCCATACCGGCGAACATATACATTTTTGCATACATGTACATGTTCGCCAGTATGGAAAAGGCGTGGTGCAACCATGGGCGTCGCCAGGATTTTTTCTAGAGGGGGGCAAAAAAATTTTTTGCCAAAAAATGCTTGTATTTCTCAACACATTCTCAATTTATCAGTTTTAGAGGGGGGCAGGGACATTTTACCCCCCCCCCCCAAAATCATTAAATTTACACCACTTTGTCTTCGCGCCTCTTTTTTTTTTTTTTTTTTTTTTTCTTCCTGTTTTTTTTTTTTTTTTTGCTTTTCCAGGGGGGGGCAAGTGCCCCCCTTGCCCCCCCCTCGCGACGCCCATGGGTGCAACCTGTTGCCCAGTATGGAAAAATGCGACGAATTAAATAGAAGTTTGTGCACTCTGGAACCAGCTTTACAAGGCTTGTTCTTGTTTTTGACTATAGAGAGGGCGCCAGTCATCCACACCCATCTACCTCCAGAAGTGAGCGTCGACGAGGGCGAAGGATTCACCCTTCATTGCCACGCCTCCGGTAGCCCCACCCCTAGTGTCACGTGGCTCAAAGATCATTCACCAGTTGACCTTGCCGACAGAAGAATACATCTTGCACCCACAGGTCAGTAGATAGTTAATGTAATCAATTAACCATAATGTTATACTGCACAAAAACCACACTAGCTTTGTAAAAATTATGGGTTTTTGCATCTTCTTAAGTCATAAAATGTTCATAAGTTGTACATGCATCCCTATGCAGCCATTAGCGTTCGTCACTTTACTCAATGATTTCCATTATTGAAAATTATTTGAAGCAGTTAATGGTGCTCCTTACCAAAAACAAATTTGGTCCCTTTTATTCCAAGGAGTCACAGCAAGGGTCAGCAAGGTCTGAAAGTGCTAACTACCTCTTGCATTTTCAGATAGTGTATTGCAACATGATGATGAATATATTAGTATTTGAGACACAGATTAAAAAATTATGTTAGGGTAATGTACTTACTTGTTCATTACACAAGAGAGTGTTTTGTTTTTGTTCTTAACTTTGTTCAGGAACCCTGTACATCACAAGTGTAGTTCCGAGAGACGCAGGCCAGTACTCATGCATCAGGGTCAACTCAGCCGGCACGGCCAGGGAAGATGCGTTCCTCCAGGTCAATAAAAAGGGTGAGCATGATCAATGACCCTGTTACCTCCCATCCCCTATCCTAGGTCTGTGCATCGGAACCGGGTACCCGAGTACCCAACCACTGATGTCAGGAACCGGTTCCAGATTATGGGATCGGGTACCCGTAACCAACTTTATAAAATTACTTAGTAACTTCTCAGACAAATGAAAATGAAAGGTTTTTGAATGCCATTTGTGAGGAATTTTCAAAATGAAAACCTGGCTACATGGAAAACCCAAAACAGATTTCACATTTGAGTGCATTTTAACGCACGACAGATGACGCTCGTGAAAATTGCAGTTTATAGCGTAAAGCTATGAAGCCCCTCAGACAACTTCCAGGATTTGTATTTTGGGGTTGGGTTTCTTTAACGGGTACCCTGATCAAGTACCTGGTTCCCGAACTACCCGTAAATGCACACCCTTATTTAGGAATGAATGTGTGCTACCTATATGTTACATTTTTGCTCACGTGAGAGGGCATTGATACCAGAAGATGAGCTATTACTGCAAAATATCTTGCCCATGGACACAAATAATCCATGACCGTGCTGCCTGTTCTCTCTATGATTGCCCCCAAATGCTTTAAAAATCGGGTGCGTTGGTTGTGCATGCATAATTTGCTCTTGCAGAGGATACTGTCAGGCTCTGTCCTGTCATAGGCGTTAACTAGCCTCCCGATAAATCATGATTAAGCCGTCCAAAAATTGACAGAGACATCTCCGCGCTTCCTCTTTTTTTTTTAGTCTTGATAATATCAGCTGCTGCGGTTTGCTGCCACGTTTATAGAACCCCCACCCCTTCCTCGGTCGCTGCTGTCTGACTTTTACATTGTAATAACAGCATCCTCTTCTAAATTGAGTTTGCTACGCGGTTTGAGACATGTATCCTGCTAGATTAGATGGTAACACTCCCATGTACATATGCACTCGTCTGCCTTTATACATGCAGCTTCTCTGTACGTAAGACTGATACCGAATCTCTTCAGATCTATAGATCTTGAACAAAGTGAATCGGTGAGATCAGAGTTTCCTTCCTGGGTAGTTTTCAGCATCGGCTTGTGTCGGGGTTTTAAGGCTTAGAGACCATACAGAGTCTTTTTGAGGCCTTTTCACACCATCCAAAATCTCTGTGTTGGACCTGAGTCGATCCTGAGATTTTGGGGACCTCTACCACCTACCACTATCTAGGGTCCGGCACTCTACATCAAGTGCTGCATGCTTTCTTAAAGACAAGGCATGCGCGTATTTTGGTAACCCTCTTGTTCGAAGGAGCGCAGAGTGTGTGGGTACTATCTGAGTGTGACTTGTGCGAGCCCGGTGCCACCTCAAAAAATAGCCGTTGAAGAATTAGTTTACGGAGGTGTGAATCACAATTAGTGTCATTTTGCTTTCAAATCGGGAGACCTTCAAGGGTCCCATTTCCTCTTGACAGGAAGAACCATGAAATAGGTTAAGCCTGTGATAAATCCATCTTGCACCTGAATGTTGCAAAGGTTCTTTTTTTTTTCTCTCTTCTCATCCCTGTTTTTTGCTGTGCAATGACTTGCCGAAATCAAACATCCTGATGCCGAGTCAGAGATTTGAAGGCAAAGGAGCAGATACATGGATTGTCCAGGTCTCAGGAGAAATGAGTGATTTAATAAGACATTTTTTTCTGGAGGTGTCTTGGCCTCAAGAGATTAGGGGTGAGATAGGTGGTCTCATATCTGCCATTTTGTCTTCGACAGACTTGCAGGGGTGTTGAAAATGTCATACTCACATTTGCAAAGTAATCCCAATCTTTTTTGTAAAAGTAAAATAAATGAGAAGTATTTTAGAGTTATCTTTTTACCTAATCTTTCATCGGAATGTGAACAAACTCAGAGCATCTCCTTGTAGGCACAGGCCAGGGTGCAACGGGTTCAAGTGTTTTCCATATCGCGCTGTCATATCTCTTTGTCACTGTGGAGGAGGCACTTGTCAATGGAGTAAATATGTCATTATCTCATTCACACAATGCTGTGTGGTTTATTGATAACCTGGGCAAAAGAATTTTAGGAATTTGCTTAGGATGCATCTGTGTGCAACAGCATTCTGTGTTTTTGGTCAGAAATATACACTTGGCATTGTGTTGGACAGAGCCTGCAAATTACGCATTATTAATTATGGTTTTGGGCCTTGGTTTTCATATTCCTCATTCATGTAAGAACTCTCTATAACCTTTTGCAAAATGGTTACTAAATAAATTTATCTGAAATTTTAGGGCCATTTTTGATTTCATCTTGAGGGGTCACATTTAGGCCGGGGGGGGGGGGGGGGGGGGAGTGCCTGCTCGCATGTACACCTGTTTGCATGTACTAGTGCACGCATCGTGTTAGGCTTATAAAGATAGTGAGCTCAAAATCCCATCATTTACACAGTAAATTTGTGGCGTAATACGTGGGTTTCAACACTGACGGGGAACAAAGTGGCGGTGTTCTTGGGCAAGAAACTTTGTTCCAATTGCCTCTCACCACCCAAGAGTATAAATGGTTACCTAAGAAGGTAGAGACCAGATTGCGCCGATCTCGAGCAGCTGCAGAAAAAAAAGTCTTGTGCCCTAATGAAGGGTGTAATAATTGTGAAGCGCTTTGAGACGTTTGGTATAAAGCGCTATAAAGCGTCATCATTATTATTATGAGTCGCCTTTATTATCCTGAATTTTAATTTCCGTTCACAGCTCCCGCAGCGTGCAGCGACGGCTCAACAGAGGGCCTGTCCCACTTCCCGGATGTGGCCGCCTGTGCCGGGTCCTGGAAGGGCCTCATCCGTAAGGGCAAGGTCCTCTGCGCTCACGGCTGGCACGTGTGCGATGCGGAGGACGCACCGCTGCTGGGTCGCATCAGTTGGAAGGACGCCAATAGCGTGAACGGCTGCTACGCTATGAACATCGCGAACAACTTTGGTACATGTTCAAGGTGAGTTTGCTGTGATTTTTTTTATGCCGGTTAAAATACCAGGGGTGTTTCCAACGCTGAATGGGATATTTATATAATATTGGATGGCTTTGAGGGCGATACAAGAATATATTGCACGAGCTGTGCAATATTGTCATAGCGAGTGCAATTTATTATCCTGCGAAAAAAAGCCATCCAATATTTTATTTATATCATGCTGATTTGATCAGAAGGAAGAAATTTCATTTTATTGTCTTGTAAACATCGTCGACGGCTTTCTCTCAGCACTTAAACGTTAACTTTAAAAAAAATGCTGGTGAAAGCTTTTCCAGCGTCTCAAAATCCGTCAGCAGCTTCTTCTCAGGCCGATATACACAAAGAGTAGAATATTACTTGGCAGAATATTACTAGTGTCATCTTGGCTGCTTTCCAGGTATTTTCAGCATCTTTCGTTTTCAAATTTTGTTGACTTCATCGCTAATCGAAGCAAATCTCGCACCAATCAAAGCTGCCGATTTTGTTGACAGATGTGCGTGGGCGAACCATACGCTCTTTTCACTGGTTAACAACTGCGAGTTTCTACACTTCTTGATTGAGCGAGAACCAGCAAAATTTGTTAAAATGCCCGGATGAGGACATTATCAAAAATAATATTGTCCTTACCCGGGTACTTTTACTGACATAATATTGGAGTATTCCGGGTACTTTCTATAAAGGAAACTATACACTGATTTATTTTCACCTCCGGAAGCCTGATAAATATAAACAACAATGAGGATGTCCACTGCCAATTTCGACACTTCACTGTTAACCTCGTTTTGGCTGTAATTTCATTTTTTTTATCATGGGAAGCTGGTGGCTCAACATCCTTCTTTCATTTGATTGTATATCAAACAGGTAGCAGCATATACACTCAGTTGGAAACCCAATAGAGCAACACAGTACAAAATCTAATGAAAAATGTTGGAACATTAAAAAATGAAACTGCTAAAATGTTAATGCTGCACGAGTAACATTAAACCCTGGGAAAAGGGTCGAGAGGCTCTACCCAGGTAAAAACCCCAAAATCAACATTCAACCCATTTTTTTTTTGGGGGGGGGGCCGTTCCCCCCCCCCCCCATGCCCATTGTTCGGGTTTTTTCTCACCCTAAATTCATGGGAAAGACCAGTGTTTGTGAGAGATAGTGCCACGGACACACCTGGAGCTGATTCAAATGTCAAGACATCATAACTCCTTTCACGTGGTGAAATTGTTAACAGGTGTCATGAATTTCTTGTCTTCATCAGTGGAGATGTCGTAAAATCCAGCCCTGAATTTGAAAACCAAATCTGGAAATATTCTGGATTTTAAAAGAGTGTTGAAATTTGAAGGTACTATGGTCATGATACAGCAGGTGGTAGTGTTGATTTGAGAGTTGGGGTTGGAGTGGGGGACAAGAGAAGGAAAGTCGGAGCCTAGAAACTTGTCAAGGGATTGTTACTGTAACGGCCCTTTTAGAAGTAAGGGAATAGAAGGAAATTGGTTGATTGCTGAGTACATTCCAGTCCAGAGATTGTGCAGGGTGGAAATAGTTTGCTGATCCAGTGAGCCAACAGATTTGTTCAAATTGGCACCCGCTGGAGGAGAGAAGATGGTACACATTTACAAGTGCCACATAAATTGTTTACTCTGTTTAACTTTAATTCCATCAAGTTGAAGCATATAATTCCGTAGTTGTCAAAAGAGCAATTAGTTGTCATAGGACTAGATTTTCCAGGTAGAAATTACCTTACCATGGTTGTCTTAGTCTGTGAACGGTCAAACTTCAGATTGTTTGACTGCCATGGTTTCAACCTGTGATTTTGTTGTGAAAAGCTTTTCTTAAGTCTAAACTCAGTGTGTCGTGTAGGCCTACACAATTTTTTTAAAGAGAAAATGGAGTTGGTTAAGGTCTTCATAATTAAGTCGAGTGAGTTCTGGTGGGTGCATTTAATAACTGGGCAATTTTACAGCTTTTATATAATGCATGTGGCAGAGTGTTTAAAGAGTTCAGTGAATAAATCTGAAAAAGTAGTTTTCAAATTTCATGCATGTTCCACTATCAACTAGTAATGGTCAAGGAGATTACAGACGAGGAGTTTTGGATCATTTCTCTGAATCATTAATTAGATATCACAGTTAATTGTCTCTGTCACGTACATTACACCCCCTTTCATAACGCTGCAATTTCCCAACTACAACTGAGGACCTTGATTTACCATTGTACAGTACACATCGAGGTCCTCAGCTGTAGTAATTGAATGCACCCACTAAATCTAAAAATATATTTCCATTAAAAGTACCTGTTGAATTGGCTAGCCAGTTGAACTGACCCTACCCTTTACCCCTTCTCCATCATCAACCCCCTCCCTGTTACCTGCCTGTTGCTGTATTCCCAAAGGTCCTATCCCAACATTTCCCCTTGTAAGTTTGTGGGAACCTCACATTTCTTCATCACTCTCGTCAAAAGCCTTGCCGTGCTCTATTTATTCCCACCCCGTTGAGTGATTACGTCACTGGTTCCCTCGCTATTTACGCAATGGAACTGTGCCTGTCATAAGTTGGCCCCACCAGGAGCTCCATCAAACCCACCAATTACATTTCCCCTACGTTCATTTCCCTGTCTACGTTGGGTTTCCTTCGAAGTTGTTCTCACATTAATCCAAGAAACATTTGAATTAGGGGTGGTGACATTTGTGTCAAGACCTTTGCAACAGCCATCAGAAGTTTTGATCCCTCAAGATGTCCAGACTGGACCTAAAACATTCTCTAATAAAATTCAAAATTAGAATTCAATGGGCTAACTGATGGAATTATAGTCTAGAGGATATATTTTTGTCACCCGCAACCACTGTTGAATTGAGTCCGACAGTTTTACCGCAGGGGTACAGAAGAAATTCAGAGAAACAAGATCGTGTGGTCTGAGCACGCATGTTTTTGATTATGGTCAAGGAACTTTGTACCGTGTTTGTACAAAAAAATATGCTGAAAACGCTCAGGTGCTGCGTACATTTCTTGCGTTTCCTTCTCACTTTCCTACTCAGTACATCTACCCAGTCAGCATAGATCATGCTTGCGCCATTTTACATTTCAGTAAACCCGAGAAGTTGGAAAAGTTCTCGACCACAAAACTCCTCATAACATCCGCGAAGTATACATGTAAGACATGATTAAGTGCGCACGTCTTTAACAGAGTGTACTTGGCCAATTTTCAACAGAAACTATATAGAATCCAATCCTTTGACGTTAAAATACCATGTGACCATCTGGTTTCCTTGTGATTGGCCACCATTGCTGTAGGCAGGTGTTTGGTTAGCAACCACGTCATGTCTTGCAAACTAGACAGTAAGGCTTACTGTATTTTCACGTAAACTAACCGCAACTTTTTTATCTAATGGCAAAATGGTCATTACCTCTGCTGTGTACGGTTGTCATAATCGACCCATAGCCAACCCAGCACTGGGTGTTGGCTCTGCCTTTTTCCCACATATTTTGCCATCCATCACATGTTTTGAATGCTTGCCTTTACTACATGTATATGCATGTGGCGCTATACGATCTTTGCCTACTACAATGGCGACGCTGACTTTCCGGTACCCGGATGTAGGCCGGGTCATGTGGGTCAGTGAGAGGGCCCTAAGGAACACTGTGAAGCATGATGCTCTTTTCACTACACCTTATAGAAATTTTCCTAATGTTGCTGCCAGCAAGCTTACTCAAGAAGCCTGTATTCTACAATCTATCGTCCTACTTGTACGTACGTAATTCTAGCAATACGGAACCACTATAACCTAATAATTTCCCTATGAAGTCTAGAGATTTGAGGAGATGTTTCTATAAGGCACTAACGTGCCTACATACGTACGTGACACATCAGTGTACAATGGACCACACCTGGGTGTGTTACCAACAGCCTAATATCTCTAGAGTATAGGAGTCAGGAACCAGATCTAGCCAGACCAAAGTCTGGGCATGATTTGCCGGAGCCAGATCGGGCAGGGTTTTTTGTGTGTGTGTTTTTGCGCACTGCTTATCCCCTACATCATCGGCTTAATAATAAAAACCACAGGGCCCGAGGCGAGTTCTAAACGGGGCCTGAAAGTTAAATGTTAGTGCCGGGATATTTGTCTACAAAATTCTTTTGACCCCGAGCGCAGCCCAAGAACAAGGGAAATTGAGATTAAGAGCAGAGCAGGGCTAAAAAAAAAATGTCAGGGAAAGTATATGAGACTGCAAGATTTGAGAGTCTGCAAGATTTGAGAGTCTGCAGTGGGTAACATTGCTGTAAGGACTGTCAGCAACTTATTTTCAGTCAAACCAAGTGCAAATGTATGATAAACCTGATAAGTTATATGGCGTTCATTTTAGCAACTTGGGCTTGTGTTGTGATATTGTGCAAAGCATATACATGAAGAGTTTATTATAGCCATTTGAAAAAGTTGAAAATTGGCACGGTTATGATACTTTAAGAATAAAAAGTATAATGTTCAGCTGTTTCTAAACTTCATGTTTCGCTTTACTGTATTCTTAAATTGTGTTTAACTGTATAACAGCCGTCGAAATGACTTTGGCTAGCCAGGAGAGGGTGGGATTCTAATTTAAAGGTTACAAAATGGCATTGATCGCGTTTTGGAAACAACTTCTCATATACTGATTGTTCATCTTTAGCAACTTGGGCTTGTTTGGGGATCATCTTGAAAGTGTTATATGTGCCTCTGATCATGACTTTATGCAAACCAAAACTGCTGGTAATGCTGTGCATTTTCAACTAATTATGTATCCGATTATTCTAGCTTGGATTTGATTGACGATGCGAATATCCAAAACACGTTGATCAAGTTTAACTGCCCCAGCCTAAACTGTCTGTGCCAGTTACCGATCTGGATTTGCACGCATCTGTGCCTGTCGAAAATTGACAGTGAGATTATTAAAATGATATTGAGAACATCGCGTACATATTGATATATTTTTGAGGTATCTGATTGGCCATTGTTTAAAATATTTTAAAGAAGTAATTTGGAGCTGATATTCCTCACGGAAGTTCTAAAAACGTGGCATTCGACAAACAACAAAACTACGCAACTTACTAAAACAACATTATGGATGCTTTTCATCATCTTCTCCAGACCGCTCACACTTTTCTTTCGAACATTTGACCTGGAAAAATTGCTTTGGGGATATTTTTGTATCCGAATAGTCAGTATATTCACCACAACCCTAAACCTCAAGAAGTTTATCATGTAATTGAAATACTGGTCTTTTGATGAAAACTTCCAAATCCTATCTACATGTACCCACCATTTTGATAGTTTTTTTCCTTGAGATGTAAGTACAGAAGTACTCGTGCCTCTTATTCATTAGACTTTCTGCAGACCAAATCCTCAAGAACTTTTGTAACTAAAAACTTAATATTTATATCATTGGCCATGAACTGGTTGCAACAGCTCAGCAGTCAATCGGCTGAATGCTTATTTGTTCCAAGAAGGATGTTGAGCCACCGACTTCCCATGATAAAAAAACCTCCTAAACAAAAGATAAATACTCAGTGATATCTGACCCTCCAGTGTGAAAACTGATATTAATCACAGGAAAAACACACAAAAGACCTCAGGGCATTTTTATTTAAGACCCAGACCGAAGGCGGTAATTCTCCCTGGTTTAAGCCCAATGGGTCCTGTGGGTATATCCATAGACCCTCAGGGCGCCTTCTTGCAACTTTTTAGGGGTAACCTGTGTCAGTTCCCCAGGAAATCAACTTAATAACCCGTGAGGTCCCAGGAGCACGGGGAAGCTAGGAAGGGCTTCCGTCTTGTGTGCTGCCGTGTTCCATTATAGCTGCTCGTATAAAAAGGAACCGTGGCTGTGAATGTCACTGGAAGGGGGGAATGCACGGAGGCCCAAGTAACAGTCAGTTCTTGCAAAATGAACTTGGGCGTCAACCAAACCGTTGAAGTTTTTTTTAGTTTGTACGTGACCTGTATTCAAAGACCTGTAGTCAGACCTTGTAATTTGACTGTAGTCGTTGATCTTGATTACGATGCTACATCGTGTGTAATTACATGCACAGTGAAATACTGTCCATGAACAGTCCCTCCATCCAATTTGCACTCAGTCTTTAGTCATACTGATCATGGGTTTGTATCCAGTGAATGAAATTATATCACACAAAACTCAATAATTGTTACTATTTTTTGTGAAAGTCAAATTCAGACGCGTGGCATGTTTTTGGTTTACCCGACTTTTAAATGTATTTCGGATAATCTGAAGGATTTCCTTTTTATACATCATGTGAAACTCATAATTGTTACAATTTTTGTGAAAACTCAAATTGAGACACGGGTATGTTTTTGGTAAACCTGTCTTTTAAATGTATTTCGGATAATCTGAAGGATTTCCTTTTTATACATCATGTGATATCAGGCCACATTGATTTGAAATGCTACAGATGGTGTTATGTCACTTGTACTTCATTGAAAACCAAAGTGAATTTCTTGATGTCAAAAAATAAAGATTCATTGTGACGTTTGCCTTTTACCCTAGCAATTTCACTTTGTACCAACCGCTTTGCACTGAAATGAGCGTGTGAAGTGTGATCCCGCCTTATGTGAAAACCTTTGGAAGTTTAATGGGTCGAAAGGTTGATGCCAAATTATTAAGTCGGCAAGCAACAGGAGATGAACAATGACAAGGGAATGCCTGATTTGTCACACTTCATTTGAATAGCTCGTCACTTATTTACAATAGATAACTCGTGAATGACTTGAGAGAACTTGTAAATTCTGATTGGCTGGTGTTAAATGATGAGGCTGTGCAATAGCTTGCGAGGATTAACCACATACATTAAACTACAAACTGAAAATATTTCAGATCGACTACATACATGGCGTGTCATGGCCTAGCGGTTAAGAGCACCGGACTCATGTTCTGGTGTTTCAGAGGCAACAGTGACGTGGGTTCGAGCCCGCCGGCAGACACTTGCGCTCTTAAGCAAGGCACTTAACCATTATTGCTTCGTCCTTCGGATGGGACGTTAAGCCGTAGGTCCTGTGTGTTGCATAAATGCACGTAAACGAACCCAGTTAACACTTATCGCTAAGAGAAGGGCTTTGCCCCGGTGTTTCTGGCCTCCTGTATAAACTCCCACGTGGAGTATTTAGGAGAAGAACCAACCAAGAACCCACCAAGAACCAACCATACCTGTAGCAAGATCGATATTATCATAGATACTCTACAAATACTTGTAGACGATTTGTGATGGGTAATGTCCACTTCCGCAGGTGGTCACAAAATGACCTCCAAGAATGCATCGTCCACTTTGCAAAATTGTAAGCACATAGACAAATCGGGCTCATGATCACTGTACACTCACAAGGCCCCCTGCCCTTTGACGGAATATCTGGACAATAGCTAGCACAATGCTTTCGCCATTGAAGGGGGCCTTCGTGATGGAATTGACAGCGTGCCCGGATTGGTCTGTGTATTGAGACGACACAACTGGAGGATTCTTCTAAATTGATGTGTTTCCCTTTGTTATTGAAGTTGGACTGGACTTTATGACAAATACAAAATGTAATTCTTATGGAAAATAAACTGGGCAACATAATGACACTTACGAACTTGCCTTTCTTTCCCTTCCCCCCTCCCTCCCCCAATGATTTTGTTTTGCTGCAGTTGCACAGGGAAGACGCACGCAGACAACATGGCCGGTATCGGCCGCCACTGCTCCAAGCGACGAAAGAGGCATCCCTCTTGTCTGGGAGAAGGGCGCATCGACGTCTTCTATGGCAAGCGGAAACAAGGCGGGCCCAGCTGCACATACCAGTCAGGGCTGGTATCGGGCGTCGTGTGCTGTCGGTTGGTGTCAGAAAACAGGGACAAAGGTGGGTACAATGGAGAGGCTTCACGAAGCCCTGATAGAGAGCAAGGGTGGATTTAGGGGATGTGGGGTGACAAGCCATCATAGACCTTATGCGTAGACTAGCCGCCATTTTAGAGGGCATCTTTTGTAACTGAATGCACCAAAGGTTCACTCGTGCATATCTTAGCAAAACAAAGGCATTGCCCTCTAAGCTGGCTGCTACACAAGGTTTATGCCCCCCCCCCCCCTTCCCCCCCTTCCCCCCTCCCCTGATCAATATTTTGGGGGTACACGTTGCACGGAGTACGTAGATTGTGAGAGTGGTGGATTTTAATAAGTACCATATGTCCATAGCTAATAGCTTCTAACTATATTGTAAGGAGCTTTTCTTGCGATTTTCAGCCTATAGTTTGTAAGACGATTTCACCACAGAACTTCCCAATCTGACTCAACCTAAGCTGCTTACAATAATAATTATCAAAATTGTCAACTGTCAAAAGACATTTAAAAGTTCTATTGTGCCTTCCAAGTTGAATGCGAAAGTGAAGAGAAGTGATGGGTCTGCCCTTTCAAAAGGGAAGTTCCATCATTTCTGTCTATTTTCTCCCTTCAGGCCAAAACGGAAAGATACTGGCCAAGCAATATCCCCACATTTGTCCCGGCTGTCATTGACATTTTGGACGGTCAGTTTGAGGGAAGGAAGCGGTCAAAGTTATGTGACGAGTGATGCGACAGTTTTCTGATCCCCTACTTGTCATCGTACTTTTGACCATTTTTTGACCGACCGTTTAAGCTCCATTAACCCATGGTTTATTTCACGGTGCACTGCACCCAAGATAGTGTCCCCAGTGGACCATATCACTACATGCAGGTAAATCTCCTGCACGTTTAGTCCAGGTCCATCTTAAAGGGAATATACAGCATTTGCAAACATTAAAAAACAAAACTACCAAATCATTTTGAAATACCTTACTGGACTGGTAGTGAATGACAGTCTAAAGCACCCTGTGAAATCATGGCACTTTGTGTGCTGTCATTTTCAAGAAAAGTGATAACTTTGTATCAATTTCCAACGCTGGTCGGCTGACCAGCATTGGAAAAACTGGCTTTTTCAAAAAGTGCCCCCAATTTACCATATTTAGTTAGTCCGCATCTTGTTTGCAATGGAACCAGAGAGGGGGGGGGGGGGCACCCCCATGGCAGATTTGTTTTTAACGATATTGTCTCAGTAACTATTTATGTTTCCATAAATGGTTATAGAGTTCTGACGTGAACCCCAAAAAACAAAACAAAAAACAAGCTCAAAAACCATTACAATGCGGCGTGAAAATTGGCATATATTTCCCAGCATGCATAATAATGGTCAGTTTTGAAGAGCGACCCCATTTGAAAGATGGGTACCAGCCGCCACTGCTTTGCTTGTCTCTTCTAACGACAGAAGCAAAACAAAAGTCGTCAGAGGCAAGCAGCTCTGTCATTATGTAACCCTTAAATGAATCCTTCCATTTCAGGTGAGCCTTTCTGCCGTGATAAGTGCGAGAACGGCGGCATTTGCATCGGCGGCGGAAGATGCCGGTGCCCACGAGGCTACAAGGGCGCCCTCTGTAAAATCCGTAAGTATCCATAGTCAACCAAGTACAAATTATATTTCAGGTTTTTTCAGGTTGGACATGTAAAGTGAAGGTATATATCGTTAAAGATTGCTGATTAAAATAAAGTCTCACATGTTCCAGTAAGCATCAACAAAACTTTGTTATAGAAAGGGCTTTGTGCATTCTCACTATCTTGTATCAGAAGTTACTAAAATAGGGGCTTCCCAATTATTTGAAAATTAAGTCTTTCAGACATCTCCCAACTTTTTGTACAATAAGTGTGTCCCCCCAGCTTTTAGAAATACTTCACTGCTGCAACACCAAGAAGTGCACCTATCACATTTCCAAACAGTGAATCTGGGGACTAGATGATTTAGAGCGAAAATCACTCTAATAATTTTAGATTCAAATACTTTTTAATGAACATTCACTGATATTTGTTTTCTTCTTCTACCTACACAGCCATGTGTGAGCCATCGTGTGCTGTGGGCAGCGTGTGCATCAGGCCAGGGGTCTGTAGTTGTCTCAAGTTCAGCGAGGACGGCCTGTGCGGATCCTCCAGCCGGCTCATGGGAAAGAGCAAATCAAGGTTCACAGGTGGGTAGCCTTGGACTTTGAAGTCGTAGGGTTGATTCATCATTCACATCAAGTGTGGAAGGAAGTTGAATTTCAACAATGATAGTTGCATTTTTGTGGTTCTTCGTTAACCTTAGGATATAGACCAAATCGATATTCTAACTGCACATACATGTATGCATAATAAGATTCAATGTTGTCTAGTTTGGGATAAATGTGGCAGGTAAATGCACACAAATCTAGGGGGTACCAGGAATGGATCAGAAATTTTTGAGGGGGGGGGGGGTTTCAGGCCCGTCAGAGTTTTTTATGTCTGATTGTTGCAGACAGGCGAACTTATTGGTAATTATTATTACTATAATTGATATAATTTTTTGGGGGGTGTCAGAGCAGGGGGGGGGGGGGGGGGGGGTGGGGGGTGTTTCAACCCTCCCCCACCCTCTGGATCTGCACCTGGGTGCGTGCTCTGATTCTGCGTTCTGCAATATTTCACACAATCAAAATGATGATGGAAACTTTAGTTTTCCCAAAAGTTGGGGCACACAAAACACGAAGAAACACTTCGCTGTCCAAACATTTGGATACTTTGTGCTTACTTCAGAACAAGACAATTTCTTGAACTTTTGCTGGTACCCGCCATGATTGTGCACGCATTCAGCGAGTTGTTTAGCCCGAAAGGAAAATCGTCAAATCTTGATTCCCACATGCGCAGTTGGAATTCTGAACTGGCTTACATTCATTTCAGTTGAAAATTACCATGAAGTGTAAACCAGGCTTAGTAAGACTGGGGATGGAAAAAAAAAAGAAGAAAATTTTCAGCTTCTCAAGAAATTGATCGTCCATCCTAATCAGAGATGCCACTTTTCAGGTTTTAACCTGAATTCAGTGGTTTTTTTTCCAAAAATGTGACAAAATTAAAAGTGCTGGCTTTGGTCTGAAACATGCAGAAAACACAATTTTGAAAGGGGGTAAGGGTAGTTTCAGGTTTTTTAGTAGTGATTCAGGCTTTTTATTGATATATTGGTGGCATCTCTGATATTCCTTGATTCTTTGTTACTAGGACAAAAGTCAAGGACCGTTTGATTATGTGCTCCCTTTGCTAAGCGTTGTTGCTTAGCTGAATTGTCCTGGATGCAATTTCATGGCACTTCTAAGCTGATTGGGTTTGCAAATTTATTACCAGTTGGTAAGCAAATTATTTGGCTTACAAATATTACGCTTAGCAGTTTTTATGGGAAGCAGCTTGGCCGCTAATCTTTTAAGAAGTGTGAATTCTTTAGATACTCTTTATCCAAGAACGGTCGCAGCAGAACAGCTGTGATGATAAAAGACAGCTGAACGGCATTTGGGCAGACAAATGTATCACATCGAGATACATGCCGGGTATTCCCCAAGCGCTGTAAATATTGTGCAAAAAAATGGCAGTTATATTTGTCTTGCTAAGTAATATATCCTGTTTTATGGCACGTCTAGACGGGAGATCCCGAAATGTCCCAAATCGCATTCCGGTTGAATTTTCCCAAGAAAGTTTCAGTGTTGGAGTTAGTGTTGTGTTAGAGGGGTGCCTAACAGCTGGTGCTATGCCCTGGTTGTGGTTTGGTTACCAGATTGTATCCCCGGGGAGTCTAGGTGCCCGTCATTGATAGGGGCGGGGTCTGGACTGCAAGGAAGGAGGGTCAGGGATGACGTCTGTCGCCGTAACCCGAAACTGAGGAGGGTTTTGTTCCGTAATCTGTGACTCATCTTCGGCGAGGGTTATTTTTGCCAGTGAAACTGAAATTGTGTCCTACATAAGCAACAAAAAGCTTTTCAAGAATATTTCTGGTCTTTTTTAAGGGGTGGGGATACTGAGATTGTAAATTAATTCAAAGAAGTTTTGCTGGTTAGATCTGTTTCCAAATTCTTGGATCTCCTGGATTTTGACATTGGTTTGGCGCTTTAATTAACTTCAAAAATAAACTTCGAAATTAACTTTGGCGCTTTAATTAACTTCAAAAATAAACTTCGAAATTAGCTTTTCTTTTACGACAGAATTTCAGCTCTTCAGTTGACTATGTATCGTCTTACTTTAGTGGCTGCAAAGGGTTTGCAGTTAAGTTATTTTTATGTGAAGAACTTTCCTTGTCAAGTTTAGATACCGTAATTAATTGTGCCCTGTTTGTTTGGTTGTTTTTTTCAGGAATTTGCAGACGAATCTGTATGCACGGAGGAAAATGTGAACATGGGGGTTGTTTTTGCCCTGCTACCACAAGAGGGCGGTATTGCCAACATGGTAAGCTTGCAGTAGATGTACCTCGTGTGTTGATGCTTTAAACTTTTCAGTCATGAGCCATGCAGAAGCCCCCCCCCCAGCCCCCCAAGCCCCTCCCCTAAGGCCCCCCCCCATGAAAAGAAAGGAAAATCATTAGTTGCCTTTCATGTTTATGTTGATTCAAATTGAACCCAAAGTGCTGTGGGAAAAGTTTTAAAAATGTTGGGCTGGCGAAGTATAAATTGTCAGTATGCAAGGAATCCAGACTGAGAATTTAACTGATATAAAGCCGTGATTCCTAGCATTTCTGTGATCCCTAAAGGCCAGCGTTTCCTGAATTCGTAAGATGTTTTCGTCAAGTATGCATCATAATCAACAAGGCCACATGGCCTCCTAAATATCATTGACTCCGTTCTGGCCTCGTTCCAGGGGAATTGTGCAAAGGGCCATGTACAGAATTTTCTAATGCACATGTATACAATCAAAATTTACCAAAAAACCTGCAAAGTGTTGCACCCTGAAAAATAATTTTCATTTAAATGACTAACTTACAACATCAAGCAAGTTATGAGGTTGACAATAAGACATCAAATGGAAAAAAAATGTAAAGTAATTTTTGGCTTCCGACAAGTGCCGCTTGAACAAAGACATTGACAAAATGGGGAACCACCAACATAGGGCTAGATAGCTCAGTTGGTAGAGCACCGGAACGGCAACCCGGAGGCCGCAGGTTCAAACCCAACTCTAGTCAATTTCTTTGTTCAACTGTAAAATTAGTATAATGAAGTTTCGATATTAAATTGAAATAAACGTGGCCTGTTCCTAATTCCCAAAAGTACAAGTCTTTAGATATAAGCCTACAGGTACTACATATTACAAATGTCTTTGAAAAAAACAAAGTTAAGCATTTAGTAAGTGGTTTCACCTCTAAAAACACAGGGTGAACTTCGTAAATGACTTTTGTAAATGACTTTTGTTCAAGGGAGTATTGATCATATTCCTTTTAAACAAATTCTTGTAACTTTTTTCTCTCCCTAGTTCTGCCCCCATACAATGACTTCAAGGAACAACTCTTCGACACGTTGCGGTAGAGACATCCCCTTCTAAACACGTGGACACCACAACACCTTCTGTACAAAGAGATTTAGTATGTATGAGAGAAAAGAAAACTGTCTATATTTGATATAATTTAGTTGTTGTTGTGCACCCTGTTGTATTCTAAATACTTCTTTGCCGTATTCGCAGTTGGTTGAAGAATGTAAAGGAACTATTTGTTGTATATATGTAAACTAGCGTTGTGATTCAGTTGCCTAAGGTACGTTATTGAAGACGTAGTGACACAGAAGGTAGGGAATCGTAAGGGATGGAGGTTCACACCCAATTTTCAGACTTAAATTCCCATTCAAATGACTCAAAACTTTGTTTTTGTAAAAAAAAAAAAAATGTTTTACAAAGTTGCATCCCTTACATGGAGTAGTCATACCGTTGAAATAACGAGTACCAATTAAATGTACTGCACACTCTGTGGCAGACTAATTGGTTTTTTTTGGGGGGGGGGGAGAGGGGTGTTGATAGTTTTTGTGTTTGTGTTTTTGTACATTTTAATTCCTTTTTTTATCACCTTGTACAAAGCAAAAGGCTGTGTTTTAGCAGGTTAGTTGTGTTAACACAAACTATTATTATTAATCTCATATCAGAATATCGAAAAGGGTAAATATTCCTAAGCATTTCCAAGGTGAATGGCCGATTGTTATGAATGCTCGTTTCTGAAGATTGCATTATTTATTGTTGTAAATGTTGATAGTTTAGGGAGAGTCCGAGACTGTAGTTGAGTATCTCCACATCAAACTAGGTTCTAATTCAAGATCTTCTCAAAGAATATATGTATATTTCACGCATGACTTATAATAACATCAACTGTTCAAATGATGTGTGGCCTGGAAAAAATGCGCATGCAACAATTTCCAATTTTTTGAAAGTATCAAGGGGGACGAACTCAGAAGGCAGCCCAAGACGTAAACCGGTGTCTCGGAAAGCACTTCACACAAAAAGGAAAATGTAATTCAATTTAAAGGCACTTTATTGTATATGTACTTTCATTGTCGTTAGTATGACTTACTGTTTAAATTGCGGGTACAAATGTAGGGCTACTCTTAAAAAAAGTTAGGTGAAGAGGGAAAGGACAAAAAGAATTCAGAGCGTCTTACAAATACGACTGTTGAAAAAAAAATAAGAAAACATAAATCCAGCACTGGAAATTGCTCATCATGTATTGTATGCTCACACAAAACCGGGACAAAGTTGACAAATTTTTATTTTTTAGGTTTTGGCTTTTTTCAAATTCCTGAGAACCTCCATGTTTGTCAACTTGGTCCAGGTTTTGTGGGAGCAGGTCTCAAATATATAACTCTTCATCATGTGAATGATTGTCCAGGTCGCATCACATGCAACGTTCGGCTCCCTCTTTTAAATGTACATTTAATGCTAAAAATAAGAGCATCAAATAATATATTATTGTACACTTTGGAAAAGCAGCACTGTTAAAACACTGACCGCTTTGTGTTTCTACACAAATGGACTATTGTTCAGTACATTACTAGCTGCAGGGTCTTAGGCACAACTCAATTGGTGACATCCTATATCATCGGACAAATATGACAATGTTGATTCGCCAAACCCTCGTTATTCAAAGAATCAATTGTCTTTTTGTTTAAACTAGCCCTGGTTTGGTCTCATATTTGGAAAATGGGGCACAATTTAAAGATCCTTAACTACATCTGGTTGAGGAGGCTTCATGAGAACAACAAATGTTTGGACCAAAAAAGAGAAGTCTTTTTCAAAGCTAAGAGTATTTCATTTCATAAAGGCAGGTACAATACAAATACTGCACCTAATATTCAACACAAAGACAAAATTCACTATCAGTAGCTTACGAATGACCACTCAAACCAAGTTCACAACTTGGCCAATTAATACTAATTATTTAAGAAGACAGAAAATGTTCAGAAGGTGCACATTACCTTCATGTGCACTTCTTTTTCTAAATATCAACGTTTTTTTTTTACAACCCTACACAGTTGGCAAGACTAAATGAAAATGTACAAGGAGTTACTGTTTTTTAATAAGAATATTCACAACATTGCATGAGGTGCAAAACGTGATTAATAAGGTGCCTCAATGCTCTATGCACGGGTTACTACTTACTAGCAAAGAAATTTCTAAGTAACTTGTGTAAAACCTTGCATTTTTATCAAAATTGTTCAAAATTGGACTATTTTTGGAAATTCAAAAATGTAAGGGGTAAGCCATGCATTTTTATTGAAATTGGGCAAAAGTTGACTTTTTTTTTAAATTAGAAAATGTAAGGGGTTAGCCTTACATTTTTATCAAAATTGGGCAAAATTGACTTTTTCTGGAAATTAAAAAAATGTAAGGGGTTAACCTTGTATTCTTCTCAAAATTGGGAAAATTTGACTTTTTTGGAAATTAAAAAATGTAAGGGGTTAACCTTACATTTTAATCAAACTTTGGCAATAGTTCACCTTCTAGGGAAATTTGCTAAGTGTAAGACATTATAAAATGTAAGGGGTAACCCTTGCATTTTGATCAAAATTTGGCAAAATTTGACTTTTTTTCTGGAAATTTACAAAATGTAAGGGGTTAGCCTTGCATTTTTATCAAATTGGGCAAAATTTGATGTTTTCTAGGAAAATAAAAAATGTAAGGGGTTAGCCTTGCATCGTAAACTAAAAAGGGCAAAATTTGCCTTTTTCTGGAAATAATAAAATGTAAGGGGTTAGCCTTGCATTTTTGGGCAAAATTGGGCAAAATACGACTTTCTAGGAAAATAAAAAATGTAAGGGGTTAGCCTTGCATCTTAAACTAAAAAGGGCAAAATTTGCCTTTTTCTGGAAATAATAAAATGTAAGGGGTTAACCTTACATTTTAATCAAACTTTGGCAATAGTTCACCTTCTAGGGAAATTTGCTAAGTGTAAGGGGTAACCTTGCATTTTTATCAAAATTGGGGAAAATTTGACTATTTTTGGAAAATAAAAATGTAAGGGGTTAACCTTGCATTTTTATCTAAAAAAGGCAAAATTTGCCGTTTTCTGAAAATAATAAAAATGTAAGGGGTTAGCCTTGCATTTTTATCAAAATTGGGCAAAATATGACTTTCTAGAAATTAACATATGTAAGGGGTTAACCTTGCATTTTTATCAAAATTGGGCAAAAGTTAACTATTTTTGGAAATTCAAAAATGTAAAGGGTTAACCTTGCATATTTATCAAAATTCAGCAAACTTCCACCTTTTTTGGATTTTCAATAATGTAAGGGGTTAGCCTTGCATTTTTCTCAAACTTGGGCAAAATTTGACTATTTTCTAGAAATTAAAAAATCTAAGGGGTTAGCCTTGCATTTTTATCAAAATTTGGGAAATTTTGCCTAGTTTTGGAAATTCTAAAATGTAAGGGGTTAGCCTTGTATTTTTCTCAAAATTGTGCAAAATTTACATAGTAAATAGACTGTACCCTTTCTTTCCACTTACAATGTACTTTGCTGAGTTACATGTCATTTTAAACCACTATGAATCTCAGCTTTATTGACATCATTTGTGTTCGTATGACCCTAATAGTAAAAGAAAAAACGTGTATGATAATAACATGGAAATCTTCATGTATGACTTAATTTACAAGCCGTTTTAACAGTAAATATTGGTGTAATGTAGAGAAAACTGTAAGTGCTTTGTAAAATTGTACAAATAAAAAAGATATAAAGCATGTAAAACCTGCCTCTAAAGAGCACTTTTGTATTCTTTCTTATGTAAGGGGTTAGCCTTGCATTTTTATCAAAATTGGGCAAAATTTGACGTTTTCTGGAAAATATAAAATGTTAGGGGTTAGCCTTGCATTTTTATCAAAATTGGGCAAAATTTGACGTTTTCTGGGAAAAAAATGTAAGGGGTTAGCCTTGCATTTTTATCAAAATTGGGTAAAATTTGACGTTTTCTGGAAAATAAACAAATGTAAGGGGTTAGCCTTGCATTTTTATCAGAATCGGGCAAAATTTGACGTTTTCTGGAAAATAAAAATGTAAGGGGTTAGCCTTGCATTTTTATCAAAATTGGGCAAAATTTGACGTTTTCTGGGGAAAAAAAAAGTAAGGGGTTAGCCTTGCATTTTTATCAAAATTGGGCAAAATTTGACGTTTTCTGGAAAATAAAAAATGTAAGGGGTTAGCCTTGCATTTTTATCAAAATTGGGCAAAATTTGATGTTTTCTGGGGAAAAAAAGAGTAAGGGGTAAGCCTTGCATTTTTATCAAAATTGGGCAAAATTTGACGTTTTCTGGAAAATAAAAAATGTAAGGGGTTAGCCTTGCATTTTTATCAAAATTGGGCAAAATTTGACGTTTTCTGGAAATAAACAAATGTAAGGGGTAAGCCTTGCATTTTTATCAAAATCGGGCAAAATTTGACGTTTTCTGAAAAATAAAAAAATGTAAGGGGTTAGCCTTGCATTTTTATCAAAATCGGGCAAAATTTGACGTTTTCTGGAAAATAAAAAATGTAAGGGGTTAGCCTTGCATTTTTATCAAAATTGGGCAAATTTGATGTTTTCTGGAAATAAACAAATGTAAGGGGTTAGCCTTGCATTTTTATCAAAATTGGGCAAAATTTGATGTTTTCTGGAAATAAACAAATGTAAGGGGTTAGCCTTGCATTTTTATCAAAATTGGGCAAAATTTGATGTTTTCTGGAAATAAACAAATGTAAGGGGTTAGCCTTGCATTTTTATCAAAATTGGGCAAAATTTGACGTTTTCTGGAAAAAAAAAAAAATGTAAGGGGTTAGCCTTGCATTTTTATCAAAATTGAGCAAAATTTGACTTTTTGTAGAAATTATTAAATGTAAGGGGTTAGCCTTGCATTTTTATCAAAATTGGGCAAAATTTGACGTTTTCTGGAAAATAAAAAATGTAAGGGGTTAGCCTTGCATTTTTATCAAAATTGGGAAAAAATTTGATGTTTTCTGGAAAATAAAAAATGTAAGGGGTTAGCCTTGCATTTTTATCAAAATTGGGCAAAATTTGACGTTTTCTGGGGAAAAGAAAATTAAGGGGTTAGCCTTGCATTTTTATCAAAATTGGGCAAAATTTGACGTTTTCTGGGGAAAAAAAAAGTAAGGGGTTAGCCTTGCATTTTTATCAAAATTGGGCAAAATTTGACGTTTTCTGGAAAATAAAAAATGTAAGGGGTTAGCCTTGCATTTTTATCAAAATTGGGCAAAATTTGATGTTTTCTGGGGAAAAAAAGAGTAAGGGGTAAGCCTTGCATTTTTATCAAAATTGGGCAAATTTGATGTTTTCTGGAAATAAACAAATGTAAGGGGTTAGCCTTTCATTTTTATCAAAATTGGGCAAAATTTGATGTTTTCTGGAAATAAACAAATGTAAGGGGTTAGCCTTGCATTTTTATCAAAATTTGGCAAAATTTGACGTTTTCTGGAAAATAAAAAAATGTAAGGGGTTAGCCTTGCATTTTTATCAAAATTGGGCAAAATTTGACTTTTTGTAGAAATTATTAAATGTAAGGGGTTAGCCTTGCATTTTAATCAAAATTGGGCAAAATTTGACGTTTTCTGGAAAATAAAAAATGTTAGGGGTTAGCCTTGCATTTTTATCAAAATTTGGCAAAATTTGACGTTTTCTGGAAAATAAAACATGTAAGGGGTTAGCCTTGCATTTTTATCAAAATTGGGCAAATTTTGATGTTTTCTGGAAATAAACAAATGTAAGGGGTTAGCCTTGCATTTTTATCAAAATTGGGCAAAATTTGATGTTTTCTGGAAATAAACAAATGTAAGGGTTTAGCCTTGCATTTTTATCAAAATTGGGCAAAATTTGATGTTTTCTGGAAATAAAAAAATGTAAGGGGTTAGCCTTGCATTTTTATCAAAATTGGGCAAAATTTGACGTTTTCTGGAAAAAAAAAAAATGTAAGGGGTTAGCCTTGCATTTTTATCAAAATTGGGCAAAATTTGACTTTTTGTAGAAATTATTAAATGTAAGGGGTTAGCCTTGCATTTTTATCAAAATTGGGCAAAATTTGACGTTTTCTGGAAAATAAAAAATGTAAGGGGTTAGCCTTGCATTTTTATCAAAATTGGGAAAAAATTTGATGTTTTCTGGAAAATAAAAAATGTAAGGGGTTAGCCTTGCATTTTTATCAAAATTGGGCAAAATTTGACGTTTTCTGGGGAAAAAAAATTAAGGGGTTAGCCTTGCATTTTTATCAAAATTGGGCAAAATTTGACGTTTTCTGGAAAATAAAAAATGTAAGGGGTTAGCCTTGCATTTTTATCAAAATCGGGCAAAATTTGACGTTTTCTGAAAAATAAAAAATGTAAGGGGTTAGCCTTGCATTTTTATCAAAATCGGGCAAAATTTGACGTTTTCTGGAAAATAAAAAATATAAGGGGTTAGCCTTGCATTTTTATCAAAATTGGGCAAAATTTGATGTTTTCTGGAAATAAACAAATGTAAGGGGTTAGCCTTGCATTTTTATCAAAATTGGGCAAAATTTGACGTTTTCTGGAAAATAAAAAAATGTAAGGGGTTAGCCTTGCATTTTTATCAAAATTGGGCAAAATTTGACGTTTTGTAGAAATTATTAAATGTAAGGGGTTAGCCTTGCATTTTTATCAAAATTGGGCAAAATTTGACGTTTTCTGGAAAATAAAAAATGTAAGGGGTTAGCCTTGCATTTTTATCAAAATTTGGCAAAATTTGACGTTTTCTGGAAAATAAAACATGTAAGGGGTTAGCCTTGCATTTTTATCAAAATTGGGCAAATTTTGATGTTTTCTGGAAATAAACAAATGTAAGGGGTTAGCCTTGCATTTTTATCAAAATTGGGCAAAATTTGATGTTTTCTGGAAATAAACAAATGTAAGGGTTTAGCCTTGCATTTTTATCAAAATTGGGCAAAATTTGATGTTTTCTGGAAATAAACAAATGTAAGGGGTTAGCCTTGCATTTTTATCATAATTGGGCAAAATTTGATGTTTTCTGGAAAATAAAAAATGTAAGGGGTTAGCCTTGCATTTTTATCAAAATTGGGCAAAATTTGACGTTTTCTGGAAAATAAAAAATGTAAGGGGTTAGCCTTGCATTTTTATCATAATTGGGCAAAATTTCACTATTTGTAGAAATTATTAAATGTAAGGGGTAAGCCTTGCATTTTTGTCAAATTGGGCAAAATTCGACGTTTTCTGGAAAATAAAAAATGTAAGGGGTAAGCCTTGCATTTTTATCAAAATTGGGCAAAATTTCACTTTTTGTAGAAATTATTAAATGTAAGGGGTTAGCCTTTGCATTTTTATCAAAATTGGGCAATATTTGACTTTTTCTAAAAATTATAAAATGTAAGGGGTAAGCCTTGCTTTTTGTCAAATTGGGAAAAATTTGACTTTTTTCTGGAAAATAAAAAATGTAAGGGGTTAGCCTTGCATTTTTATCTAAAAAGGGAAAAATTTGCCTTTTTCTGGAAAATAGAAATTGTAAGGTGTTAGCCTTGCATTTTTATCAAAATAGGGTGAAATTTGACTCTTTCTGGAAATTAAAAAATCTAAGGGGTTAGCCTTGCATTTTTGTCTTAAAAGGGCAAAATTTGCCTTTTTCCTGGAAATTAAAAAATGTAAGGGGTTAGCCTTGCATTTTAATCAAAAAAAGCGCAAATTTTCACTTTTTGTAGAAATTATTAAATGTAAGGGGGTAAGCCTTGCATTTTTGTCAAAATTTGGTAAAATTTGACTTTTTCTGGAAAATAAACAAATGTAAGGGTTTAGCCTTGCATTTGTTTTCCAACTTGGGAAAAATTTGACGTTTTCTGGAAAATAAAAAATATAAGGGGTTAGCCTTGCATTTTTATCAAAATTGGGCAAAATTTGATGTTTTCTGGAAATAAACAAATGTAAGGGGTTAGCCTTGCATTTTTATCAAAATTGGGCAAAATTTGACGTTTTCTGGAAAATAAAAAAATGTAGGGGTTAGCCTTGCATTTTTATCAAAATTGGGCAAAATTTGACGTTTTGTAGAAATTATTAAATGTAAGGGGTTAGCCTTGCATTTTTATCAAAATTGGGCAAAATTTGACGTTTTCTGGAAAATAAAAAATGTAAGGGGTTAGCCTTGCATTTTTATCAAAATTTGGCAAAATTTGACGTTTTCTGGAAAATAAAACATGTAAGGGGTTAGCCTTGCATTTTTATCAAAATTGGGCAAATTTTGATGTTTTCTGGAAATAAACAAATGTAAGGGGTTAGCCTTGCATTTTTATCAAAATTGGGCAAAATTTGATGTTTTCTGGAAATAAACAAATGTAAGGGTTTAGCCTTGCATTTTTATCAAAATTGGGCAAAATTTGATGTTTTCTGGAAATAAACAAATGTAAGGGGTTAGCCTTGCATTTTTATCATAATTGGGCAAAATTTGATGTTTTCTGGAAAATAAAAAATGTAAGGGGTTAGCCTTGCATTTTTATCAAAATTGGGCAAAATTTGACGTTTTCTGGAAAATAAAAAATGTAAGGGGTTAGCCTTGCATTTTTATCATAATTGGGCAAAATTTCACTATTTGTAGAAATTATTAAATGTAAGGGGTAAGCCTTGCATTTTTGTCAAATTGGGCAAAATTTGACGTTTTCTGGAAAATAAAAAATGTAAGGGGTAAGCCTTGCATTTTTATCAAAATTGGGCAAAATTTCACTTTTTGTAGAAATTATTAAATGTAAGGGGTTAGCCTTTGCATTTTTATCAAAATTGGGCAATATTTGACTTTTTCTAAAAATTATAAAATGTAAGGGGTAAGCCTTGCTTTTTGTCAAATTGGGAAAAATTTGACTTTTTTCTGGAAAATAAAAAATGTAAGGGGTTAGCCTTGCATTTTTATCTAAAAAGGGAAAAATTTGCCTTTTTCTGGAAAATAGAAATTGTAAGGTGTTAGCCTTGCATTTTTATCAAAATAGGGTGAAATTTGACTCTTTCTGGAAATTAAAAAATCTAAGGGGTTAGCCTTGCATTTTTGTCTTAAAAGGGCAAAATTTGCCTTTTTCCTGGAAATTAAAAAATGTAAGGGGTTAGCCTTGCATTTTAATCAAAAAAAGCGCAAATTTTCACTTTTTGTAGAAATTATTAAATGTAAGGGGGTAAGCCTTGCATTTTTGTCAAAATTTGGTAAAATTTGACTTTTTCTGGAAAATAAACAAATGTAAGGGTTTAGCCTTGCATTTGTTTTCCAACTTGGGAAAAATTTGAAGTTTTCTGGAAATTAACAAATGTAAGGGGTTAGCCTTGCATTGTTATCAAAATTCGGCCAATTTACACCATTTTGGGAATGTAAGGGGTTATTGACACAGTACATTGACTGTACCCTTTCTTTCCACTTACAATGTACATTGCTGAGTGACATATAATTTGTTAAACCACAATGAATCTCACCATTAATAACATCATTTGCGTTCGTATGACCCAACTGTAAAAGCAAAAACATTTGTGATTATAACATGGAAATCTTCATGCATGACTTAATCTACAAGCTGTTTTAACAGTAAATATTTGTGTCATGTAGAGAACCTGTATGTGCTTTGTAAAATTGTACAAATAAATAAAATATAAAGCAGGTAAAACCTGCCTCCTAAAGAGCACTCCGTACTATTTCAAACTTGAAAAAAGTGTTGAAATTCAAATGTCAACACTACCCTCATAGGGTTCTGTGATCACAACATATTGATCAAAATAAAAATGAAAATGTCATTGACTAAAATTTCCAAAGGTATTATGCAACGTGCACTGGACAGCCCTGCATTGTATTCAACCCTGGTTGAACTAAGTTACTTCTTCCGAAGTAGAATCTTGGTCCGTTACTGATCATCTGCAGATACTCTGTATACTGCCATCCTCCATGCCAAAATACACCTGCCTAGTCATCTTGATAAACAGACCCGTTTCAACCACACCTAGTGACAAATTAAAAAAGAAAAGTGCATTTTTGAAATACACGCTATTTGAGTAGATAGTCTTTAAGGCAGGGTAGATCATTTGTCATTTGTGCAATTTTTTTTTGAAGCAACAAAATGAAAGTGAAGTGTTCAAAATCTTAAGACGGGTCTTTAACAACTAAACTGATGAAGTTTTAGCTCTTTGAATGCTGTATATACCAAATACAATATGCTAGGATCTCAATTTCAATTCAAAAGTTGCCGAGTCACGTTTTGAATTGCGCCTACAATCGGTGTCCAGGACATGTTCTCATTCAGCCGATTGCAGCAATGCGATGCCATGCACTGAACTGACGAATAGTAGCACCCACGCCCGTGTGCACTGTGTCAACACTTGCATGCACCCATACACGGATTTGTTGCATTACAAACCAACCACTAACAGCAATTTCCAAAAAAGGGTCAATCAACACATCTTTGGAAATGGCCATCTGTGATTGGTTTCTTCAAAATGACAGCACGCCAGAAGGAATCATCTTACCAGGTATCATCTTGATTTGCTGATTGACGGCCTCCCAGCTCTCGGGGACCGCCTTGAATTTCCAGTCCAGGATGAAGTTCCCATTGTCTGTCACCACAGGACCCTGAAACGTGTAAATTAGGTTTGAATAACACAAACAGGTCTTGCATTTGCATCCTAAATAATGAACATGTTTATTATTGTGGATCAGGAAGCCCGTTCACATGTCCTGCAACTAACAATGTTATCGTTAATGCAGATCTTGTTTTTGCTATATCCATACTTATTCATGACTGAGAGCCGAATTTTATTGGTCCATTCGCCATTAACGGTCAAACGCTAGTTTTTCCTGTTTCCTGAGGATCAACGCACAGGGTAAATACGCATGCACAGTCGACTCACATGGGTTACCCATGCGATACTCTACCAAGTATGAGCTTTACTCCTGCAATTGTGGAACTACTGCACTGGGCTAGTGTGTAAATATTGCCCTAGCTTCACGAGAAGTTGGCGGCACACAACATAGCGCTGAGATAACTGATGCAAAACTCGACAAAATTGTGTTGAATATGTATGAGGTATCCGCTCTGTTCACAAGCACCCCCTCACCGGCAAAGGAAGTACAGTTGGGGGTGACCAACCGACGCCATCTTGCCTGACTGCAATTCGTTTGCCGCGAAGCGCGGCCACTGCGTGTAAATAGTACAAATCCCCTGGTGTACGTGCGTCACACACAAGGAACGGTGCGCGTCAACCAGCGAAATGTCCCGCCCATGGAACGTCGTTGTTAGGTGAAAGGGGCGCCCTCTTTTGGTAGCGCACGGAGCTCATAGTCAAACAAATACAACATTTAATATTAGCTCCCCTCGGTACTCGCTCTTTTCACGCTTCCGCCATAGGCATACACAGCCTCGATCTGGCAAGTTCACACAATGAAAATAGCCGGTTCAGTGATTCCCGTGTCGGGGTTCAGATCACAAAAACCGGCAATTTTCATTGTGTAAACATGCCAGATCGAGGCTCTGCATGCCTATGGCGGAGCGTAAAAAGAGCGAATTGGAGGTCATCAAAGTACTTCCCGATGCGAAGTTTATCAACTTCCAATACCTCGGGGACTCTAACATCAACTATCCACCCTCAAAACTGAGTATATTTGTATACTGTTTCATCAACACAGACACCTAGTTTCATTTCATTTCATTTCAGTTCATTTTTCGGGATACATTTGTTACAACAAACAACAACATTAAATACTCTGAAATACACATGAGCATTTTAGACAAAACGTACACAGTACAATGTTTAACCAGCTCCCGATGATGTGAAAGACTTACAGCTTTACTCTTAGCCATCCGTAGCACCGCCTCCCCACCTAGCTGCAAAGCCAGAGTGTTCATGATGGGTCTGTAGGCTAGAGGAATGACTTCGATAGGCACGCCGCGATCCCAGTGCTCACCCAGGTGACTTGACTTCTTCCTATCCATGAACAAGAAATGGGGAAAAATGTTTAACCAAACGGTTGTAGTCGAGGCTTTCTCAAGTTTAACCCTACCCCTCCTCAATCCTTCAAAATCAACCAGGCAGTTTGGAGGATTTTGGAGGATTGACACTGATTGGTAAAAAATGAGTCGGTTGATTTTGGAGGATGCACTGTGTCAAAGTCTTAGGCTGTGTGGATGTCATCCGCACTGCTTCTAGATACCATTGACACTGCCTTAACGAAGTAAGCAGTGGTTGTTAAAGGATTTTGAAGGATTGAGGCAGTGGTCACCCCTCCACTGAACAAATTCTAGAAATAATGATTTCTGGAGGATTAAGGCTGCAGTTGGAGGATTTTTGCAGGAGTTTTGGAGGATTGAGGATGGTTCCTAGGTAAAAGGGCCTTGGGGTTAGGGTTAATGAAGTTCAACACAAATCAAATTATGATTCAATGACAAGAAAGGCAACAAGTAACAGGGTATGAACAATGAATGCTTTTGTCCCAGTGCTTTGTATAGCTTGTGACTGGATGACGAGACTGACTGATTTACTTGTGTGTCTCATAAACCCAATTACACATGGAAATTCTTGTCCCACCTTAAGTTCTTCATTCTCTACCCATATTTTCTGCTTCTCGATATTCTACGGGTTCTACCACATGTGCGCGAACCAGTACGCACACGCAGTGTGTCCCATCCATGGGGCTCTCAAAAGTGGTCGAAGAGCGCCCTCTCTTGTTTGCGCAGGGAGCCCATAAGTTTGTTTATACCTCACCTGTAATCTGCTATGACGACCAAATATTTGGCATTAGCTGCTACTATCTTCTCTTGTGTCTGACAGCCACTGTAAACGTGAACGACACAATATAGTTATCAAAACACAATTTTCATGCATGGGCTGAATTCATTGCTGGACTTTTTGCCCTGTCTGCGCAAGTCAAAGCAAGGGTTGTTAGAATTGAAAGATATTGGGGAAAAAGTTTAGTTAGAGCAACTTTTGTGCTCATCTCAGTGAAGATTTTTACTTTTTAGCAATACCATGAAGCTTTTTTCCAATTCTTTTAAAGGGAATGTACAACATTTGCTTTTGCTGTAAATTTGAGAAATAAATGGATTTGGGGGATATAGTATGTTATAGCATGTACTGTTTAACTGACTTGTTTCACGTTTTGGGCTTGTAGATGCTGGAAAAACCAAGAAAACCAATCGTGTTCTTGTAGTCTGGTTCCCTGACCCCACTTAAAATGAAACGGAGCAATTTATAGACTTTGGAGAATTAAGGTCAGAGAATCGGTCTAGCAGGCTTGTACCCCTTCACAGGTGTGTACATTGAAATCCATTGCAAAGAAAATGCGGAATAACTAAATATGAAAAAAGCCAGTTTTCTCCAACGCTGGTCGGCCGACCAGAGTTGGAAAAATACAATTTTACTTGAAAATGTCAGCACACCAGGAGCCACAATTTTACAAGATGCTTTGGACTGTCATTCCCTAACAATCCAGTAAGGTATTTCGTTATAATTTGATCATTTCGTTTTTTGATGTTTGCAAGTGTTGTATCTTCCCTTTAATGGCGTAAGTGGGAAGTGAAAAAAGACAAAATTAGCTTAACTGAGGAAAATTTGCATGCCTGTTTATTAGACAAATTTGTTTGATTTTAACAAGCAAGAGGAAACCAGTGGTCTGATCCTTTTCAAGAGCTACATGTAACTTACCCGCCTCCTTTGATGAGGTTCAGGTCCCTGTCGACTTCATCCGCACCATCGATGGCAACATCCAACTGAAGGGATAGAGGAAAAAGCAATAATCGTAATCGTAATCTAGATGGCAATCTTTAAGTGAAAGACGAGATCTTCACTTAACTACTCTAGTAATAAGAGTTTAACATCTAGCCTCCTCAACTTTGTAACTGTTTTCATTTTGTTTCTAGTACCCACTCATACAAGACCAGGTCTGTTTCTCAAGGTAATCTAGTTCCTTCGTTATCCAAATCTAACTCAGGAAAACGTAAATTTGCGTCTCATGGAGTTAATTCTTTCAATAACCTCCCTGCGACACTTAAACATCCGTTGCCTCCCACTCTTGCCAGCTTATCTTTAACTGTTGACAAGACTAGTCCAACTATGGTCGACTGATGCAGGTTTGAGCAAAGATACTTTAATTATGGTTAAACGCAGTTCTCACGCTAACTTGCTTATTACTAAATAGGCCTACCTGAGGTGTTTTCTCCAGATCACTCAGGACCAGACCGTTATTGACAATGAGCTGGCGGGCTTGGAATGACGTTGGCACACACTGGACTGACAGCTTCTCTTCCTTGACACGCTGTGCTGAATACCAGGCAAAACAAGAGACAGAACAAGAACCAGTCAAATTTAATCAATTCAGTAAAATGCCAACAAAAAGGAAACTCAAGTACATAAAACAATATGGCCAAATAAACTAAAACTAAGGTCACACAAAATAAATCTACGTATCTACATATGTACACTATAGGTCACGGGTTAACAAATGAAACTATATTCCTCCTCCTTCCCAGCAACTATAACTTAAAGGCATATAGGATCATTTGCTTTCATGCATTTTGTTCATTGCCAATAACAACACCACTCCCCCCCCCAAAAAAAATGCATAACCTAACCTGTTGAAGTTTCAGCTCAGTATATATTACACTTTTTGAAACTACAACCAAAAATCATCTATGTTTCTTGATTTCTTCCAAATGACAGAAGGCCAGACGGAATAATTCCACGGGATGTTTAGTACTAGTACGATCTTTAATTCATGTAAGCTTTTTGATAGTATTTCGGTAATTATTGATAGTAATTCGGTAATTTTTTATAGTAATTCGGTACTTTTGGGATAAATGCAAATGATCCTATATGACTTGATGCCCAGTTTGCACTGCAACAGAACAAGGGTTCACCCATGCAGTCTTGCGCAGTGATGATTGGGGGGGGGGGGGGGGGGGGGAGCTGGTCTCCTTGCAAAAATGCCCCATTGATTTTGGGTCAATTGAGCAAAACTTAGACAAATCGAGTGATGATTATATTAGTGTTATTCAGATGATTAATAATTAGAGTAAGAAAAAATAATGCAACATTCCTTTTGTAGATGCTCACTATTACATGCACCTATCAAATGTTTCCCCACCCACCCCTGGGCTGCCCCACCGAAAAGGTGGGGGTTATCTTTTTGAAGTGACCAAATTCCCACCCTTGGGACAAAATCTGACAATCTCCTGCGTGCATGGGTGGGGCATCCTAAACTGGTTGACTTTCCATGTGCCAATGGTAAAAACTGGCAGAGTGGCACACTAAAATAAATCGGGGTGCGGTGGTGGAGTTGGAAGGGGGGGGGGGGTTGGTGGTTGGGTGGGGGGGGGGGGGGGGGAGGTGGTCAGGTTGGGGGTGGTTGGGTGGGGGGTCTTCTCTTGTAAATTCTTACCAAGTCTTTCCACCGCGTAGACGATAGTTGATCCACTGCCAACACCCAGGCGGTAGTTATCCTGCAGACAGAGGGAATGAACAAAAGGAATTTGGTGACACCACCACTCAACATTTCTACAAGTACACTCTGACCATCTTTCCTTCTGACCATCTTTTTGAAGATAGCCAGAGTATACTGCCTGAAACGTCGACTTAAAATGAAATGTCACTGTCCTAGCGAGGACTCAAAAACAGAAAAATCACATGGTTCCACCGTAAGTTGTTTGTGTCAAATCAGAGTCATTTACCATTGCAATAATCAGATAATCATGTTTTGCAGGATAGTTATAAGAAAGAGGAAAAACATTTAGGCTAAATATTTAAAGGAAAAGCATAAAATGCTTGAATTAGTCGTTCTTCAATGAAAAAGGTTTGTTGATTGTGTGCCAATATTTTCCCCAATTTCCCTAATACTTTAATTGTACCATGCTGTAAACATTCTTCAAGTCTCGCACACACAGTCGAGTCACATACCTTGACGTGGGTATCCACAGCGGCGTAGGCCGCCGCTCTCTTGGCGACCTCAATCAGCTCAGCCGATGCTGCTGCACTCATGTTCCTGTTTGCTGCAGTCCTGTCCAAAATTCGCGGGCAATTTCTCCACGTTAATTTCGCGGAACCTCCCCGAACGCAAGACAATTCTGGCTGCAGTTTTAACAGTTTAAGACGTGTGAATAGTCGAAACATCAATGTTGTTTGACTAACACTTGCAAACAGGAACACAAGGCGGAAATTGTCACAATAAAAACCTTAGAGCGCGCACACCTAAACACCAAACACGTGTTCTGTTTGGAAAACAACCACATATGCGGAAGTAACATTATACTCAATTGGTATTCGTGTGTACACAACTCCATTGTATTGTACGCAGGCAGTTTTCGAACACCAGTTAACAGACTATCCGATTATTTGAAGGGGGTAAAATAATGAATGTTTTCATCATGGTTTTCGTGTGAAATGAATTTTAGGTACTTTATGACAAAATTTCATGGCGGATATGAATTCCATGTCTGTTAAGAGTGTATTGATTTCAATAACCATTGCATTGATATCAAATAGTTATTTGAATGCTCAGTAATTGTTAATGTAACAATCCTCATGTTCGAATGGGAATACCTAACTTTAATTGGTTGAAAGTTTTTGAGGATGTTTCAAATAAACCAGCCATAAGGAAAATGATACATGATTTCTGTATAATGTACCCAGTCAGTTTTCCTTTGTGATATATTTGAAAAGTAATAAAAAAGCTGTATCCCATCTGAGTGATCCCATTTTGCTATTTTCCGGGTTTGCAGCATTTGATGTTGAGGGCAGAGTAGCGGTCAATTTCTTTGGTCAAGTTTTTGAAAATGATGTGTTCTTTTGTCTCATTGATGATGTGCATGGCTACTTTGGGGTGCATTGGATGAGGGCCAGGAAGGGGGGGGGGGGGGGGGGGGGGGTTGAGGGGGTTGCGTTCCCCCGCCCCGGAAGGGCAAGTGTACTCAAGGCAGTGTACTTATATTCATTTCAATATTTCATTGGGGGAGGGGGACCCTCTTTCCATCTTTTCAATTTTTTTTTTTAGAGTGGTCAGAAATTGCCTCAGATCGCACTACAGGGCACTTAGAATCCAAACATTGTCGGGGCCCTTAAGCGGGCCACGAACCCCACGCCATAACTTTGTTTGGACCCACTTTTTGGAGGACCGAATTTTTGCCCCCCCCCCAACCGAAAAAAATTGTGTTCTGAGGTGTAGAACTAGAAATGTGTGCATCCAAAAACAGGTGCCATGTGCTTATAACCCCTACGAGTTTCATAGGCATAGGTCACAGTTTGAATTACACCATTTGCTCCTGATTTTTTTTCTGATGTAATCATTTATAACTGTCAGGATTTTTTAAACACAACCCCTCCTTTGATGACGAACCCTATCCCAACTTGACCGGCTAATGACCTTTCTATAAATAGTATCCAAGATGGCGGAGTCTATTGCGGTTCAAGCGTGCAAAAAGCGAGTGGACGAAGCGGTAACTGCAATGGTTAATCAGCTAGATCAGGAAACATTCAGACCTATGCAGGTACCGATGGAAATTTGTAGAAATAACCATGGTGTTCAGTTGCTTTATAATGCCGTTGTTTGTCATTATTTATTAAACAGTAGTGTGGAGAATCTGCATTGCAGTTTGCCATTGTATACGCCTAATTGCATCTATTTCGTGATAAATATTCACACAAACTACATAATCATTTGCGGTTACAGTAAAAATGGTTCAGTCTCTGTTTATAAAATATAAATATACTTTTCTTACACAGTTTTATCATAAGAGGTCATCACTGAAAACAATAAAGCAGCACAGCTTAATTTGTAAATTTTCGACGGCTGCATTTTTAAAATATTAAAATAGGGCCTAAAATAAACGTCATAAAAATTAAACACTTTTCAAAATTTAAACTGAGCCTGATTCATGTTTTGGCAAATCACAAGACAGTGACAAAAACTGAATCATTTTGTTTTCATAAGAATAAACAATATATCATTTCTTGTTCATGTATTGTTTAACCTAGCCCCATAAAATGAAATTTCCAGATTCATTTTTACACGTTTGCGTATCAAAATTTCAACATGAAATTTCACAAAAATTAGACATCTGAAAAAGGCAGCACTTTCTGACTAGCCTATAAAGAGGACGAGTATGCTGCTAAAGCAAAAAAATCCTACAAACTAAGCCTAAATGTAAAAATCAAAATTTGGCAAAGTCGACACGATTTTTGTACATGTGGATGTGTGGCCTATGTTTACGGAGGCAGTCCAGTAAATAGGCCACATTTATGGGGCTATGTTTAACCATGTTACTTTAGAAATAGAATGACTTTACACTTTTTTTCTGTTTCAGCGTGTTTCATGTGGTTTTGTTAATCGAGTTATCTTATGATTATTTTATTTTCAGAGAGACATGTACCTCAAAAGTGCCAAATGCTGTGAAAACCCCACTGCAAGTATGGCAGAGGTACAGAGCTGCATAGAAAGATGCTCTCAGCCTCTGCAGTCAGCGCAGAACTACATGCAGTCAGAGTTGAATGATTTTCTGGTATTACAAAGTCTAAACTATTTTAAAAAATTGCTTTTATTTGAGCAAGAGAAAATAAAGACGTTCAAAGAACACTCCAAAGTATATTCTTTTGCTCCAGGTCATCACTCAGAATTGCATACAGGAACTGGCATGCGTCTTACCTCGTTGGGTGTAAATGGCAGAATTAATCAATATCCCTGAAGTTCTTATTGACTGGACGGGGATTCGAACTGACAAGTTTTGGAATATGGTATGGTAGTGGTACTCTACCAAGTAACAAGCAGATTCCACCCAAATGTTGGCAATCTACTAGTTTAATAGTCATTGTCTTTGTTTGAAGGGTATTGGGTTACTTTGTTATTGTTAAACAAAATTTGAAAGATCTCCAAATGATGACTCTTGGTAAAAAATAATTGCTTGAGTGATCTGAAATTTCAACTTAATTTTCTCCAAGTGCTCTTTGAAAAGTTACATTTATTTAAGCAAGATTATTGATTTTTTTTTTGTAATACATACAAGCTCAAGATTTGTTTAATGACTCAGGACTACTACATTACTGGATGTGTCTATCAATTACCGGACATTGTTTGAGTTTGACACATTTGGAATGCTTCCTAAAATGCCAAAATGACATTTTAGTGACGTAAAACTAACGATGTAATTCTTCCATGACCCAGTGGGGCCTGTAATACTTACTGCTTCAGAGAGTAAAGTGTACAACTGATGATCGACACCAATTCGGGACATTTACCGGCCGTCGTAATGGACTTAATTTGGTTATTAAAATGACAACAGTCTCTAAGTTTTACCCCAAAAAAGTCTAAGACAAATGTGGTGTTACATGTGTCAATTAAAGTTCTCATTCTCATTGAATTTGCAGGACAGACTACAACGCTGCGGCATGCAGTGTCAGGACAACATTAAAGACCGCTTGCAGCCATCGGCAACGCCAGCCCAGTTGGACAAACTCAAGGACGAATTGGAAGACTGCGTCATCAAATGCGGGGAGAAGCACATAGGCCTCCTAGGCTCAATGAAGCAACGAATCAAATCCAACATGGCCCAGTATCGCTGATGGAAGACGCGACAGACTCTGGGACTTGGTAACTTCAATAGAAACCTTTGCTGCTGTGCAGAGAGGGTCTGGAGACCAAACCAGATATTGAAATGGTGGCTTTGACACTTGAAAAAATTTGAATTGGAATCGGACGCTGTGTAGATGGATGGAATTATCGTGAATGTCTTCCTACAGTTCAACTCTTTAAAGAGAATGTATGATAAGGGGTGATCTCATCTTGATATTTTGGCCAGTCAAATGTTGGAGAAGTGAAACAGTAACAGGGTTTCAGTCGAATCATTACTACCCTTTAGTTTGGAAATGTACTTCTCAGGGTCCGACTTAGGTGGTGATAGGGGACTGCCCGTCTGTTCAGATTGAATTTGTACACATACATATAATCTTCTTTTGGATACCTCAAATTTTTGACCATACATGTATATTAGTAACTTAAGCAGACCAAGCCCATACATGAAGCTACGTGTAAACTTTTATTCAAAGTGTGTATTATGTGGGAAGTTAAAGGGAATTTACAACACTTGCAAACATCAAAAACCAAACTTCTACATTATTATGAAAAACCTTACTTGACTGTTAGTGAATGACGGTCTAAAGCATCCTGTAAAATTGTGGCACCTGGTGTGCTGTCATTTTCAAGAAAAGTGATATTTTTGTATCAATTTCCAACGATGGTCGTATGCCCAGCATTGGAATAAAAATGGCGTGTTTTTTTTTCAAACACTGCCCCCACTTTACCCTTTGTGGTTATTCCGCATTTTGTTCGCAATCGATTGTACACCTATGAACGGATACAAGCCAGCTAGGCTGGTTCCCTGACCTGACAATTCCCAGACGTCTATGAATTGCTCAGTTTCATCTTATGTGGGGTCGGGGAACCAGATTACAGGGAACATGATTGCTTTTCTTGGTTTTTCCAGCATCTACAACCACAAAACTTCAAACGAGTCAGTGTAACAATATTTTCTACAGAATACTACCCCCCCCCCCCAAATCCATCCACTTCTGAAAAATACAGCAAAAGCAAATGTTGTTTATTCCCTTTAAACTGGAACAGTAAAAGTAATGGTTTTAACACAATAAATACCCCCACTTCTCAGGAAGTTTGGGGCCTGTGATTTTTTGTGTGGTACATATATACACCGTGTGTATTAAGTGTAGTGTTCAATATTCTGAAATTCAAATTTGGAACGAATATGCTGCATTTTACTTGTGCTAATTCTTTGATACTTAATACATTTTCTGTTCTTAGGAAACTGTCTAACATTCAGGTTTAGTTTCGAGTTGTTTGGAATGAAACTAGCTTAAACCCACTACTACAGATTTTTAAACGTTACTTTAAATTATTTAATAATATGCTTTTGATCCAGCATGATTTGTGTGTGTATACGGGGAAATCTGGATATGAAAGAATGACTTATTTTGGATGTTGTAAGATAAAAGTCCTGTCGTGGATCGCACAAAGTGAACACATTTTGCAGATGTGTGCAATTTTAAGTTGTGTACTACCTTGTTTGATTAAAGTAAATGGAGTGTGCATCTTCAGAAATGCACATGTGTAGTAGATGTTAGCTTAATATTGTGCCAGTAGGCCAAGTCGGTATTCAAACTGCGCATGTGTTGAATAAAGAACGTCACCATCCATTTGAGATAAACACAAACGACGATCTCCAATACAACGAAGCCGTGGGACGTAGTGGTACTGTATGCAATTTATTTTGCTCAGTACCACATTGAACAATTTTTAGGTAAACAGCAAGTTTTGGTAGATATCGGTAGTTGGGTCTTTATCCCAAATGAACTACTTTATTGCGTGGAAACAAAATACTGAATAGGCCTATTGTCTTTAGTGGTTTTTATATATTTTGGGCAGGAATCGGTGTCTTAAAAGTGTGAACATGCAACTGGATTATGTCATTTTAGATAGAGAACATTAGATTAAATAATTATGCAATTTTGAAATTTAAATGAGGCTTTTTTTAAAATGAGACAACTCTGTTTTAAGTAATTGTTCAAGTACAGACCTATTATGTACAGTACACTCACGGTGGTCTCCAGTAGTGCGGGAAGCATTGCGTAAGCCATTGTACAAAACCACCGCTCCATGACTGGTACTCTGAACAATAGCTAGTGCAATGTTTCCACCATTACTGGGGGCCAGTGCGAGTGTACAACGATTCTTCACTTAGATTTACCTGCAAGTAATAATGAGTAAATACTTCAGCCATTCAGGCACGGTTTTCTTTTAAATGATTCTACCTGTCCAACGCTCTGGTGCTGTAACAACATATACACAGGCATTTTGTGATAGTTCCACGGTGTTTTCAAATGCGCAATACCTGTATTCCTGTCTCGTACCTGTTTTGGCTGAAGCAAGTTTAGCTCAGGATAAAGTGGAAGTTTAGATGTTAGGGAAGGCTTCCCCTCCGAAAGGATACTTTGTTTCGCTGGTACGGCAAAATATTGTTGCACGCAAGTGGTCCTTACAAGTACGTGCCGGCGTACTTGTTAGTTCCTGCAGACTTCGTGGTTAAATAGTATTGTATGAATGAAATTAAAAAAAGGATAATTGTTTACAATTGCAATGCAAGACATCTGTTTCCTAGACTTTGTAACTTTTAACTATTTAGTATTGTAAACATTTGAGTAGTACATGAATCATGAAATGAATCATAAATAAAAACAAAGTGACTGACATTTTATGTTTGTGTTTCTTGCATAATCTATGAATTATGCTTTAAATTTATTTCCTCAATTTTTTTTTTTAAAGGTACTTACGCTATATTTTTCCAATCTTTTTTATCTGAATTTGGCATAAACCTGATTAAAAAAATATTAATTTAGCCTTGCAAATCATTTCTTTAAATTAGGCAAGCACTTATGCATACAAAAATTAATATCTGAACTGAATAAATGATATTCACGTTTATAAACCACTTCAACAAAGTTTGAACCATTCAAAAGCAATAGAGGATTGCTGAATGTCAAAATGCATTTTTTTAATGACACTTTGGACAAACATTTGTGGCTGAAGTTTTGTTTTTTCAAACCAGTTAGCTTTTTATCACCCAAGGTTTTTGAGCAATTTTTATTTGTTCTGATCGATGTTTTGCCGTTTTGTGAGCACTGTCCTATAGTGTACGGGATTTATAATTTCCGTTAATTAAATCCTCATGAAAACTTATCTGGAAACACTTGTTTGATATGTTTTGAGTGCTTTTCAATTTTTGTTGACATCAAATTTAAATTCTTGATTAGCTTGCCATTATCATATGAGTATATTGCACATGCATTCTATAATGCTAAAATGTAAAAAATAACAGTTATCTTTCGCATAATACAAGTCAAACAAAAACTGCTGGGTCATAGAAGTTTTTCTGTGGTCACATCAGAAAACCAAAAGCACAAGCAAAAAAGTTAAGTAGATCTAATCTTTGGTCAACTTGACTAATGTTTTGAAGCTTTTTGATCAAAACAGAGAACTAAGTCTCATTTTCAAATCTTGAAGATGTATTTCCCCTTGATAAAATACTCTCTGAATGTAATATTTCAGAAAAAAAAGAGAGAAATAGTGAACAGAAATAAAAATAGATTTCCTTAACTCAGGGATTCCTTTGAATTTGGCGCAACAAAAATGTATAACTTGGTACGTTAGTGAAGTCCTTTCTGTACAAAGATATTTTACATTCATAGATTCAACAGATCACGAGTTCAATGTATCTCAAGTTGGCATGTTCAACATGGCCACCAACTTTGTGTAGCTGTATCGAACCCTTGAGAATTGTTAGGCAGCTTGTGGACACTTCATGACGAAATACGTCACAGTTATGTGAAATGAAAGACATATATTCAGCAGCCTGTCATTTCTGCAAAGTACACATTTGCCTACAATTCATATTAACTGAGCTACCTCAATCTAGGTACATCAAAATCCGTTAATGTCTTTTAAAAACATTCAGTCCGAACATAGAGTTCAAACAAAGTCAATTTAAATACACGCGACTTCTGCTCGGCATTTTCACACTTGGAATGGCAAAAAGTTTATATTATTTCTTGAAATGTTTCAGGTTTTGCATGGCTTTTTGGGGATTGAAAAAGAGAGAGCGTGCTCCACAGAAAGATCTACCATTGGCGTAGGAGGGGCTTAGGAGAGGGGGAGGAGCAATTAGTATTCCAGCTCACTGAGCATTTGGACCAGGTGTCTCTGGTCATTGGCAGGTTTGCTGAGGCTTAACTTGTGGGAGGGCTTACAAGAGGGGGAGGAGCCTAGAGAGCCTCCATCATGATCTCGTAAAACTCCTTGAACACCCAATATTTCTTGCTGTGGGTGAGGCTACTGGGGCTTCATGGGAGGGGCTTGGCAGAGGGGAGGAGCCTAGTCAGCCTCCATCATGATATCTTCCAGTTTTTGAGTATCAAAGCCAATTAATTCTGGCAGTAAGCGAGGCTACTGGGACTCCATGGGAGGGGCTTGGCAGAGAGGGTGGAGCCTAAATAGCCTCCATCATATCTTCCAGCTTTTTGAACAGCAAAGCTAAATATCTCTGGCTTCACAAGAAGCTACTGGGGCTTCATGGGAGGGGCTTGGCAGAGGGGGAGGAGCCTAGTCAGCCTTCATCACGATATCTTCCATTTTTTTGAGTAGCAAAGCCAACTTATCCTGGCAGTAAGCAAGGCAACTGGGACTTCAAGGGAGGGGCCTAGAAGAGAAGGAGCACCCTAAATAGCCTTCATCATATCTTCCAGCTTTTTGAACATCAAAGCTAAATATTTCTGGCTGCAAGCAAGGCTATTGGGGCTTCACGGGAGGGGCTTAAGACAGGGGGAGGAGCCTAGACGGCCTCCATCATGATCTCTTCCAGCTTCTTGAGCATCTTAGCCAGGTGTCTCTGGTCGTAGGCGGGGCTGCTGCGTTGCTGCAGGTGCACAATGTTCCTGTACTCCAGCTCTTTGAAGAAGGCCCCTTGCTCAACAATGCCATTCAGAATCTCCTGAATAACACAGAAAACAACAAAAGGGGAGGGGAGCACGCAAGATTAAACATGCAGTAACTCAAGATGTACCTCAAGATTTTTGAGGTTTAATGGGGTACCTCGGGGTTTAACCTCACGGTATTGCTGCTTACATTTTACGTTCTTCCCCAATGAGTTCATATTACATACGAGATGCCTGCGGTATTAAAACAGTGCATCTTCATCTGGCCCCCAAAGCAATGCCTGTCGAGCTTGGCTTCGGACATGGCACAAAGCAAATTCAAGCCTGTAGCATCATTTGAATTTCATACATTTTTTTTCATTTGATCCCAGTACCATTCCTACTTGATATACACGAGAGGATTTACCAGGACTTGGTAGGCCTGTTTTTAGGCCTCAAGCCAGTCAAATTGAAGTGGATACTTACGTCTGTGCTTTTATACATGAGTTCGTAGTAGTTGCGGGCCTGGTCCAGATCGGTCTCCCGCGACATGGTGATGTTGGTCAGGTTCTGCTGAAGGATGAAGATATTCCGACACCTGTGGAATATTGAAGAAAAAAAAGTCACACTTTAGTTCAACACTAAGTTGCATACAGTTATCCTAAAAAAACCTCATGAACTTTTGACTGTAGAACTTGAATAAGTTCATTAAGCGGAATTAAACACTATTCCAACACTGGTACTTTTTTCTCGGTTACAAGATCTAAAGAATTATTCCACATCACGAAATGCTGTGATCCACCTACATTTTCTTGATGCCGTTTTCGTTGATTCTCTTGACGTACTGGGCACTGTTGATGAGGATGAAGGAGACGAGATGACCTAAGCCTTCAAACACATACCTGACGAGAAAAAAAAACCAAGAAAAAATACAACTCTACACTTAGTGAGGTCCTCATTCTTCAGACCAACAATTTCCATTAGAAATGGAAAATTTTAATTCATTAACCCTACCTCCCCAGCCTAATTTACTAGGAACCATACCCATTCTGGCAAATTCCAACACCCACATGGGAAATTGTACACACACACTGTTGGACTTAGTTTCTGGAGGTATATGCCAAACCAAGTGTAAAAGACCATCAGTTTAGGGGTACCTTACCTATCCCAACAGATTTCAACAAAACCTGCTGTGGAACTTTGATGTGTTGAGTTCGGTTAATAAACATCAAAATAGACATACCCATCTTCTTTTTATTTCATGATCAAAAAGAAATCGTACTTGAATTTGTGAGGCATGAGGCTTGGGCTGAGGGCCTCCTCCAGCGTGGTTAGGTCCTTGTTGAGTTTCAAGACGTTGGGGTCCGGGTCCACGCTGTCGGCGCTGATGTGGAAACTGGACTGTGTAATGAGGAAAGGCGAAAGAAAAAAAACCGACATCACGACAGTACGTCTAGATTTGTTCCTTAAACCTCTTTAAGCCGAAGCTGAAATGAAATTGAGATTTCTGAAAATTCCTGTATGGTGATCAGCTATAGACCATTATCATGTTGCTGCCATCATGATTTTTTTCCCATTCAAATCAATGTAACCAAAGCGAGGCTGGAAGGAAAAATAGTCTGGTTCCTTTTTGCACAAAAAACTTTATCATTCAGTTCTGTTATTGGATACAGGAAACATGACTGCAATGGTGGCAGCATGATAAAGGTCTATAGTCTAGTACCCTAACTCGCTTCTTAGCTTACCTGTTTGGCAACAGGGAGAAGGTAGAAGAAACAGTGTAGCCTGAGCTCAAGATGCAGCACCTGCAGGCAAATGTCGGCCAGTTCCTTGAACTCCTTGGCCTGGGCGATCAAGGTGTGAAGGAGGCTGTTCTCAACCGCAGGCACCTCCTACAAAAGACATGGTTTAAATATGCAATGGTTAAAAGCGCCAGAAATGTATGTTAAGTATGCCTGTTTCTTCTCCAAGCCTTGTTTTTATTATATCAGTTCAGCAAGTTTCTGTTTCTGAATGCCGTATTCAAGTTTCAGTGTTTTTTTGGTTTTCAATTGTTAATCAAAATTAATGCATTGTAAATATTCGTAGGTTCTTCTTCTTTCACTGCTATACTATAAAGTACAAAAGGTATATGTGTATGTTCAATAGCTGTTCACGAGTTGATCCAAACTAAATGACAGTAAATCTTGACTGTGTGCACTTACTAATGTTACGCCCCCTGGAGTTGTGAGCATGTTAATGCCGCTACTTGGCAACGAGCCAGCAAACATCCGGATACCGCTTGAGAACCATTCCTGGACAAAAAGAAAGGGATTAAGGAAAGTCAATTTAGCAAATTAATATTTTTTAAGCCAGCCAGCCACCCCCCTCCAAAAAAATATATATTCTGTACTTTTAGCTTGGTGTATGGCTTTTAAAGATTTGGTGATCAATGTTTTGTATATACATTCACTGGTTTTTGCAAAAAAAAAACCATTCGTTTGATCGAAAAGGGAATAGAGGTCAAATTTAATCAGCTCAACTGTCTAGTTCATAATTCAATATTATCAATAAAATTTGGTTGGCATTTTATGCACCACAAGTTACAAGGGAAAAAACACAAATTTATGAAAGTGTTCTTTTTGCCAGTGCTTGTTGCCAGTAGAGGGCAGTATATCTTACCAGACTTTCATGTAGATTGGCAAGCAGCTTGAGAGACGGGATGTCACACAGCACCTCGTGTTTCTGCAAGAGCTTGTCGCCAAGGTTTATCACAAGAAGTTCGGACTCCTGGAATGAGAGAAACGGTTGAAATTCACCATTGCAATCAATTTGTCGGATCAGTGCGTGACATCACGTAGCTGCAATCGGCTCAGTGAGAACGTGTCTCGGACGCTGAATTCAGGCCCAATTCAAAGCATGATTCAGCATCTTTTGATTTGAAATTGAGATCCTAGAATGTTGTTTTTCTTGGAATATACAGCTAAAGCTGAGCTGAAACTTCATCCGGTTAGTTGTTCAACACCCTTCTTTAGATTTTGAGCATGTTTGTTACTTCAAACGAACAAATTACAAATGATGGACTGTACCTTTAAAGGATTTTACATATTGCTCTGGATATTGACTCTCCATTAGGAGGGTTAAATCCAATCTTCCATAGATACAGATCATTGGTACTGAGCAACCCCTACCTTGGCGTTTCTCTCTCGGATGTCTTCAATAGTCTCCAGCACTGCGCTGTCTTTGCTATCCTTGCCCGGTTTGCTGAGGGCTTGCAGGTTGACCCAGTTGGGGAGTTGTCGTAAGCACTGGTTGATATCCTCATCTTTCAACCAGCTGGCACTCACGATGCGCTTGTCCTCCGACTCCGGCTGAACCAGGCCTGGTGAAAAAAACAACAACAATAATAAGGCCAAAAAAAAAAAAAAGTAGTCTTTCTCTGGTCAGACCAAAGTACCGGAATTGATGCGGCGACGCGGTATTTTTTTTTTTTTGATTTTTTTTTTTTTTTCAAACTTGGATTGTACAGACAAGATGGGTACTATTTTGGTTTTTGGTGTCCTCATATACATTGGTGTCCTCCATCATTTGCCTTGGTGTCCTCCATCACTTGCCTTTGTGCAATTTCCCCATTCCTTGGTACAAAAACTTGAGGTGGTGCAGCAATAGAGATCACTGTTGTAGCTACCGTGGAAATTTTGTAAAAAAAAAAGAAGATTGACAGGCATGATTAAAATCGACGTGCGCTGACCAGAGACCGAGTATTTCTTTTTTTGGCCTAAAAATAATTTGCTTCAAATGTGAACATACAGATGTTTTTAGAAGACTTTTATGTATTTTTTTAAATCACCTGGAAAAGACCAACATAACTGGAGGTTTAACAACGAGATAATGCCGTCATAGAGCATCACAATACAAAAACCTGTATCAGGTTACTTACTTGCTAATACACAGACAAAATTCAAACTTCTTCAAGGACCAGGAGTTCAAATTAGTGGATAATGCATTTTTAACTGGAACAATACATAAACCATTTTTAAATGCACCTCCAAAAACTCATTTCATGTTGTTCATTTCATTCATTATTCATCACGATTAAATTAAAAAAAAACCCATGAAATTCTGCATCCCATATGTTAAAATCAAAGACACAAACTTTAAAATGAAAATTGTTTAAAAACTGACAATCTCAAACAAATGTCAAACGAAATATATACATCAATTTACAAGCATACAAAAATGCATAAGACAGACGTATAAAAATATTACCCTTACGACACAAATAGACACACCATCTTTAAAACATTTTCTCTGTGATAAAAATATGATAGTACATGAATCATACAGTTTGTAAAGATCTGAAAACAATAAAATCCAATGCACATGTATTGTGCTTCAATTCTATTTGAAGATAAATTCGTTATCCCAATCACGTGGAACACGGAAAAATGTAGTGCGTCTGTGTTCAGTATGTCATAAGGTACGTGTGTGATAACTAACAACTTAAATTCACAACATGTATTATACATGAGGTGTTTTGGCCTTATTATTATGATGCTTATCATATCATTTTAAAAGTGGTCCTTATAATAAAAGTAGTCTCGTTACAACGCTCACCATACCTCTGTATATTGCATAACAGGTGTCCTTGTACTCCTGCAGTATGTTACAGATCATGTTGAGGAACTGATCCGCGTAGGTCGGCAGGTCCATCATGAGTTGACGGAGATCAGAGATGGCGTGGTCTATGATGACGGTGCTGTTCAGCAAGGGGCGGGGAGCACCCACCAACTTCTGGGTGGCACTGTCTACGAGGGACTTCAGGGCGTCACCACCTGAAAAGCGCGGGAACAAATTTGAGTACTTTAACATGCGGTAAAAACACATCTGCAACACGTTAACTTACTTTACCATTTTTTTTAATTAATAGTTTGTACTCTGCTGTAATCTTTTTTTAAAATTTTTTTTTAGATTATGCGCTTTAACTTGAAGTCAAGCAAATCAAATTGTAGTAAAAGCCCTCATTAGGTACCTGAAAACAGACCCCTCTCACAAACAGCCATTTTTTTTTCGTAGGAAAATTACAACTGCATATTCTACGCCATCAGGTGCGTGTGCACGCAGTGTGCAAAATGTTCTAAAGATGTGCACATGTTGCTCAAAATTTCTTCGAAACACGGCACAGTCACAAAAATTCAACTCCCAAATGCCAATGTTGCAACAGCCTTTCTGAGCAATTTTTTTTTTTTTTCATGTTTTGTACTTGTACCAAGCACTCAAGTGCGTAATGTAAAAAAAGACTGCACTTAGTTAGTTAATGATATGTAAGCCAATAAGAGATAAATAACATGGCAAATATTACCTTTGGTTGCAGCGTGTAGATTAGTCTCAATTTCATCCAGGAGATGTCCCAGGAAGATATCTTTGACGTAGTCACTGATGAACTCATGAAGGGTGCAATGGCGTCTAAGGAAGGGAATATGAATCAATGAAAGCAATATTATTAAAAGCTTTTCAATTTTCATTTTTTTTTAGCTGAACTGCAAACAGAACAAATTATCAGCTTGAGTTTAATAAGTAGCAAGGTTGAACATATTTTCAAATTTATAACAAACAAGGCTTTCTTCTTGAATGGCCACTATGGTATCCATGCCCATGTGCAATAATCACAGACTTTATAAACAAGATTTTCTTTCTGAATGGCAACTATGGTGCCCGTACCCATCTGGGAGATTCATACACATTGCAGTGTCTCTAGCAAACAAGGTTGTTTTTCTGAAACGCCATGGTGAACATACCCATCTGGGAGATATTCATGGATATCTCAATGTCCCCCACAACAAGACTTTTTTTTTTTGTTGGCCGCTATGGTGCCTGTACCCACAAGGGGGATTCATGTGTATCCTTGACAAACAAGTTTTTTTAATTAAATGGCCACTGTGGCGCCCATACCCATCTGGGAGATTCATGGACATCTCAATGTCCCTGATGAAGCTGTTGACCGGCTTGAAGATGAGGGTGATGTTCTTGACGCTGGGCTTGCATACCATGGGCGCCTCCTCGCCCTCCTTCTCGTCCTCAGTCTGGAACGTCCCATCCTGGAGGGTGATTCAAACACATGCAGTGAAAGGTGAACAGCAAAGGAAATACACAGGTCAGCATGGGATTATGTAGCTGCAGACTCCTTGTGCCGCATGGTGCGGTAACCATTACGTGAAACTCCCATTTGCCAAAACCCCTGAACTGTACCTACCGATTTCACTGTGACTCTTATCAGCTGTTATCAGTAAAGTAATTATAAGATAAACACTTACCCTGGCACCCACTTCCCCAGGGCCAGTGACCATGAGCTGGTGGTGTCAAATAACGGAAACCTTGAAGAGCATGGCTGAAGTCGGACTGTTTCTTATTTGATATCTCGAGATATATTTGATCGATTTTTATGATTCAAAGTTGCTCACATAATAACTTTTGACACTTTTCCAAATACTTTACATTATAAACAAGAACCTAGTAGACTTTGGTAGATATTTTTTGTCAGTAAGCTCACAGGCAGAGGCACCATACACCACCTGTTCACGGCTCGTTAACTCTTGATCAGATAAGAGAGATCGCGTTGAAAGCTGCTGAATCTGAAATCGGTAGGTACGACCCGAGTTTGTCATAGGCAAACTCGGGTCTAGCTCAAATGGGAGATTCACGTAATGACAACGAAACCGAATATTAACCCTCGTTTTGTTTGATCAGTCACAGACAGTCAAAAATGTCAATCCTGTTCCCTGCCATGACTTTTACATGGGCTAGTCACCAACAGTCAGATCATATTTCAATAGGCACTGTGACAGTCAAATTCCATCAAAAGACAAAAGCAGGTGACTGGTAGGCACAGCCGGCTTATCAATCACCTACAGTCAAAGCACAGCTACATCAGATTTCATAGCAATCACAGCCAGTCAATCCTGCTTTGTGAAGACAGGGAGCACTCAACTGTTAAAAAAAAAAGTCACTCGATTTATTTTGACTGCTGGGCTGGCCTTGTTGAAATTGCCAGCCAGAGAGGGAGCGTTAAGCTAAAACTTGGAAAAGTTAGTGCTCCTTTAAATTTCATATTTTTCAAAATTTGGAAAGTTAGGGCTCATTAAAATTTTATTTGTCAAAATTTGGAAAAATTAGTGCTCCTTAAATTGGAAAGACACCCTTACTACATTAAATTGGAGAACAATGAAGTTGTTATTTAAGTTAGTCATTTAGAATGATTTATAAGGCAATGTGATGGATTAGTCTAACTATCACAAGATCAGTTGGAAATTGTTTCCAGAAGTGATACCTCAACATTTATACTAGTTTATAATAAGATAAACTGGTAACTGTTTGAAGGGGTTAGTTGAACAGGTTAATTCACAGAGATGGTATAAGTTAAACAACAATTGCTAAACTGGCAGCTTAACCAAAGCTTTGAAGAGGTGAAGTAATTTGCAAAGATTTGAAGTAGTTTATAGCAGTCTGTTAAAACTCTACCCCAGATTTTCATTAAAATCTCATAATATTCCGTTTAAAATGCTACCGCAGAGAAAAGTTGTAAATAATGAAATGAGATTTCAAAGGAACCCTCTACCAGAACATGTTAGTGAACTCGCGTTACAAATGCCTACACCATATTAACTTCGATCTATATTAATCCATTTTTTGTAACCATTTGTGAGATTCAACAACAAAGCCAAGTGTACAATCATGCAAACCTTGGTTGTTTCTTTGACTTTCATTATGCCGTCCTGTTCAAGATTTAAAGAAATTAATACAAAGTAATATTCATTTTTCAACAGACTTTTTTGTACCAGAATACTGAATTCCATACATAAAAAATACCCCCTCCAAAAACAAAAACAAAAATTTGCAAAAAATAAAATCATTTTGGAATCGTCATTGACAGTTAATTAACACACAAAAAAAATTCAAGCAGGGAAAATTTGGAACTTCAGGGACATTCCAAGTGCTGTGCACAATTTAAAGGCCACATTGCAGCAAGTAATTCAAAGAATATATTAAGTAAGCTTGGTTGTGAAATCTATCAACATCATATTATTCCTCATCCCTAACTAGAAGTAAGTTACTTTGCTGAGAAAAAAAGCCTTGTTGCAACTTGCCACAAGAAAGTGAAATAATTAACCAGATATGTTGAATCTCGGCTTCTATCGTAGATGCAAATTTGTCAGCAGAGTGTAAGACAGTACAAATTAGGGGTAAAATCCCTTTTTTATTTCTCGTTTGATTTTATGTAAAAGGACCCAAGATATTACAAAACAAACAATATATTTTAGCTGGACTAAACGACATTCAAGGAATCTTACATTTAATTATCCCATCAGCTACAAATCTGAAGTCTAGTATTCTGAAACTTACAAATCCGTAGTATTCCTGTTTCTGTTCCCTCATGTAGTTGGTCATGCTGATGGCGTGGGAGGACATCTCAAAACGGAACAGGGGAACCTTCCTCTGACGGGCAGTCTTGCGGCGGCTGAAGTACAGCCCGATATCACTGCAAAGGAAAATGTATCGAATTGCAATTTTACTCAAAACGTTGCAAAAAAAACCCCCCAAAACACTTGATTGCCTATTTGCCACTATTCATTTCTAATGACAGGACTATTCATTTCTAATGACAGATGATCAATAACAACAGACTTACGTCAGCGCCTCGTTGAATGCACTGGACGACTGCTGAACAGATGCCGTCACATTTCGTACGTCCAGATAATTACCCAGAAGCACTTGCAACTGCCCAATTAAAAAAAAGAACAGTAAAATGAAATTCAATGCTTTTTAATGATATGTGCAATCAACCAAGAATTTTTTTTCCCCCACTTTCATCAAAATGAACTTTATTTGCATATTTTTTTCAACTTACGACTGTCTGTATGTTGGACCAGATGTCATTCGTGGTATAGAGCTGAATATCACTTGCCTATTAAAAAAGAAAATACAAATTCTTGTAATTCAGATTCTTGTAATTGAGTCCTTTTTCCAAATCAAAAAGTTTCCTGGGGAAAAATATGGTGGTACAGTAGGCTATAATGAGTGTTTGGATGTGTGTATATCCCAAGGACAGCATGACAATGAGAAAACAACAGATTCTTTGTTGTCCTTGAAAATTCAGCTTTTGTTGAGAATGGTCCTCCAACGTAAGTCCATGTGCTTAGCCTATGGGAGAGTGTCATAGTAGGAACAAAGGGCATGGCAATACCTTGTCCTCGGATGTAATGGTACAAAAAGAATATTAAGAATTATAAGAATAAAAGACTTGTGCTTATTACTATATACTGGTTTACTGTATACTGGTATCCTGTACTGGATGCGGGCTGGCTTACCGCTACACGCTGGAGAGATCCCAGTACACATGAATGCGCGCTGGCCACGCAGTGGAATCGCTCAAACAGCAGCTCAAGAAGCTCAACCAGAAGCTTAGGCTGGTTGTGCTGCGTGATGTTCTCCCCTCGCTGCTTGGCACTGTAAATTGATAATTCAGGAACAATCAATACGAAGAATCAAGTTGAACAAAGAAATTAGGATTTGGACCTGTGACCACTGTTTCGAGTTGTTGCAGCAGCTCGAGATCAGCGCATTCTAGTCTCTACCTTCACAGGTACCCATTTATACTCCTGGGCGGAGAGAGGCAATTGTAGTAAAGTGTCTTGCCCAAGCACACCCCTTCAACAGAAGACAATGACAAATTCTGAGAGCCAGCATAGGACTGGAAAGCTCAGTGCATGTATGAGGTCCTGGGGTCATAGATTTCAACCTCACTCCAGGTGACTTTCCGTGACGTGAACCTTGTCGGTTTCTCCTTGTGGTTTATTTAATATCAGTAAGTAACCCTCCTTTTGCTTCTTCAGTCACAGACGGACAAAATGTCACTCCTGTTCCCCTGCCATGCCTTCTACATTGGCTAGTCAGCAACAGGCAGATCATATTTCAATGGGCACCGTGACTAGTCAAATTCCATCAATAGGCAAAAGTAAGAAACTGGTAGGCACAGCCGGCTTATCAACCACCTGCAGTCAAAGCATGACTATATCGGATTTCATAACAATCACAGCCAGTCAATTCTGCTTTATGAAGGCAGGGAGCACTCAACTGTTAAAGACTGTCACTTGATTTATTTTGACTGCTCGGCTGGCCAGAGGGGGAGGGTTTTAATGGCATTAACCCTTTGGTCCCTACCAACACCCAAACTGCCCCGCCTGTTACTACCTGCAATGCCCGAAACCACGCGAGAACTCTATGGTTTTATGAATTCATCAGACAATGTAATACAATGTAGTAAAGGTGCTAATGTGTTAATTCAGAACATCAGTACAGCTGTACTGCGATTTGCAGGCAATTGCTAAACAAAAAATTGTCAATCAAAGAAATCACAGAAAAAGAAATGCCAACACATTTTTCTTGTTGAGACACTGTTCTGACAATGGTTTGGGCAGGGCCAATTTGAGCAGCGTGCCTTCAAGAGGGGCCATAATTTCTTAACAGTATGCAAGTATCTGCAAAGATTACAGAGATTCAAAACACACTTCTTACTTTTCGGCCACCTCTGTTGTTGTCCTTTGTACGATCTTGGAGAGTTCCACTTGCACGCATCGTTTAATGGACTGACGAAAGAGAAGAGATAAACCAATACACTGTCTAGTCAGGCAGATCGGTGCACAATATGATGGAATTGTTCATTTGATGATAAAAGCATGAAATTTGGCACACAGTCAGAGTATGTCATGAAAAAGATATTTGGCTATAGGGCCATCGCAGATTTGTTCCTTGCAAAAAAATATATCACAGAATAACATGCAATGGCCACCATTTGAAACTTTTGAAAATTTCTTGCTGTTCTATGATATTTATTTTTCCTTTCCAAACTCCACAGATGAGAACCACGTCATCTCTTCAATAATTGTATTCTTAGGTTCCAAGAATACCACTGAAGTTCATAGGGCCCAAGTTCAATGGGCTACTTAGAAGGAAAAGAAGGCTCAGCAGATTTCCAGGCTAAGCCAAAATCTGCTGGGAACCAGTCACATAAAATACACTTCATATGTGCCATTTGGCTGGTAACCTGTAATTTTTCTTAGCAATATTATTTGTGATAAGCAATTTTTTTGTATATACGTACCTCGACTGCCTCTGATGTCCTTTTGAGGAGGGACAACGATTCCACCAGGACGGCCATGTAGTGTTCAGAATTGGCCTCCGGGTCTTCGTTCAGATCTTCTACGACTGGCTTGTTCTCTTCTTCTGTCCCGTCGGGAACTGTCAGCGTCACTGGTTAAAAAGAAAGGTATTACTCGACTGTAATTTGTCAAGGTATTTATGACAATGGAGTGCCGTGGTTTCTCGATCTTATGCACTAAACTCATGATCCGGTGGGTAATTCTGCAGGTTGGGGGTTCGAGTCCAGCCTGGGGTTGTGGTATGTGTGTCCTTGGGCCAGACACTTTGTCACTATTTGCTTCTCCCCGCCCAGAAGTAAATGGGTTTCCTTAGTCATTCATTGATTTTCTCCAACTGGGAGGAAATTGGAGAAAATTGTTGCATTTGAATGAGCCTTTTAGCTAATAACAGACGTTAGCTTTCCATAAGCACTTCCTAAGCAGTGGACAAGATTGAAGAAATGTTTTACAGGCATACCAAGCATGGGCAAAATGTGTATTCTGAGAATAACAGGAAGTATTTTCACTCACTACCCGTTGTCATCTCCCACCTTCCAAATCCCAAGCTCCACCCCTTCCAAATTCCAAGCTCCCCCTTCCAAATCCCAAGCTCCCCCTTCCAAATCCCAAGCTCCACCCCTTCCAAATCCCAAGCTCCCCCCTTTCCAAATCCCAATGCTCCCCCCTTCCAAATCCCAAGCTCCACCCCTTCCAAATCCCAAGCTCCACCCTTTCCAAATCCCAAGCTCCATCCCTTCCAAATCCCAAGCTCCGCCCCTTGCCGCACCCATACTCACATGAGTGTGAATGTACCCTGGACGCCCTCTGCTGCTTGGCCATTGTGGCCAGCTCCAGCAGGGTGTGTTTCTTGCTTCCTGCCGGCGAGGTTCCATCCTGGGCCGAGCCCCGGAACGACCCCCCGCGGACGAAGTTGACCTGGAAGGTCACGGCCGACTTCTCATACAGGTGCTCGGTCAGCTCTTCAATCAGGACCTTGTGTAGATGCTGCAGAGTTTAATATAATATAAAAACATATCAAGGCACTGGATGATTTGTCATCGACTTGCGAAGAATCAGGATAGATTATCTACGACACTCTTACACTCCCTTAAAAAGGCCACTCAATGGTTTGTGTAAAACTTTAAAACACTCTTGAGGTGTTAACATTCCCGTAGAATTCATTATAAACCCATCCTCCTATGTATTTGCACTCTTTTCATATTTCAGCTGGAGGATTTTGCAGGGTTGAGGCAGAGGTCACCCCTCCAAGGACCACATTCAAGAAATAGCGGATGATTTGGGAGGAGTGAGGCTGTATGCAATTTTTACACATAGGCAGCTAGAGGATTTTGCAGGATTGAGGTTGTGTCCTAGCAAAAAAAGGGAGTTAGGGTTAACCAGTTCGCGCCGGGATTATTTTGACAAGTACGGAACGAGGCGCGGGATTACTTTTCATTCGATCTCAAGCCAGGCGGGTTGAAGCCATCACCCTCGGGCAGCACACTCATATTTCCGGCCTCACTCCCTGCGTGTTTATCCATCATCCGCTCCAAATACTGCAAAATCATTGCATGAATAAACGTCACCTGGCGCGAACTGGTTAATGAAGACGCATAGAAATAGCTCCGAAATAAAGACACTTGAAAATTAAAAAGCAATTACCCTTCAAAGTCTAAAGAATGTGCCATTGTTTTCTTGCTGGTGTAGGATTTGGGAAGATTCCGGTAGATTCTTAGGTAGTACACATAGGGAGTAAAGGTTAAGGTGTCAAAAGATGCATAATAATTGAGCACATTTGCCCACCTCTTTGCGAGTGAACATCTCCATCTTGAGTTCGCTGAGGGCCTCTACTCCCTTCAGATCACTTTCAAGATGAGCCACAGTCTTAGTAATCAGCTCGGTAGCATGGAGGTAGTGCTTGCTCTTCAGATAGATGTCAAGCTGCTGGGGGACATTCTTCACCTCTTCACTGGGGGGAAAAATCAAGAACGAGACACACTGATCATAATTATAGGAATACTAGTGTTGTAGCCGATAATGTGCCCAAACCGAAGGCAAGGGCAATTACTGGTTTAGACCAGACGTTTAAACTGATTTTATACCAGATATTTCAACCGGTTTCAAACCAGAAGTTTAAAACTGCTCCACCACACTACTATTCCTATTCATGAATAAATTTCTGGTAAGCAAAACTGACAGAATGTTAAAGCAACATCTATAGTGTGTGTTGCGCATGTGACGTGCTCAACATCACATTAAAATGTACTGCATTTGGCTCTGAGTGCAGCGTCTCATGCCTGGTTTTAAACATTGCTGATTGGCGTTCAAATGGCGGTTTATTAAGACCACCCAAGTGAAGGGAACTTGACTAATAGGAATGAATATAAACTGTCTCAGGTATTTATGAATAAAGCCAGATGGAACATTCACAAGTCCATTTCGTAATTGTCACTCTGTATCAGACAAAGGGCAGCCTTTTCTTCAGAAGTCAAAGGTCTGGCACAGTGTAACTTCCAACATGATTCCGTTGCGAAGCGTTGACATGTACTTTTGATCTATCCCAACTAGCAATGGTGTCCTCATGTCACATGCAGTAGACAGGGTACAAAATATATATTGAATCTATTCACAATCACAACACCCTTAGATCACATATGGTACAAGGAGTGAAATTACGTCAACTCATAATTACTCAATTTACATCTGATCCATCAGGAAAAAGCATGCTTCTGCTCCATCCCTTCTTTTCATAATCACAACTTCATTAGAACACATGGAGTACAAGCAGAATAAGTGGTCTTATCAAGCTTACATCTGATCCAGCAGGGTCAGCACATGCTTCTGCTCCATCCCATCTAGCCACAGCTTCCTGAGTTCATCCCTGCGGCAGTGCAGCAGGTCCTTGCAGGACAGCAGGTCTGACTTGAGGCTCTTGACCCGCTCCCGGGCGGACTTGATGCGACTGGAGATGGCGCTGTAGGCCTGGATGGTCTTGGTCAGGGTGTCATAGTTGACTGGAGACAAAAAAAATTGACAATCAACAATATTAACCCTAACCGAACACAACCCATCAAAGTTCAACAGCAGGTTTGTGTTTAAATCTGTTGGGATTGGTACAGTTCCCGTAAACAGATGGTCTTTTACACTGGGGTTGGCATACCTCCAGAAACTAAGTCCAACAGTGTGCGTGTACAATTTCCCATGTGGGTGTTGGAATTTGCCTGAATGGGTATGGTTCCTAGTAAATTAGGCTGGGGAGTTAGGGTTAATATGACATGATTATGCAGTTTTAGGTTATAACGTACACAAAGAAGTAGTGTCAGGTTACTTTTGCGGTGCGTTCCATGCCTTTTAACTCTATGACTCAGACTCCAATACAACCCAAACTGAAACGTGAATTGGATTTTCAGACCTAACTGATGCTGTGGGTTCCCTCAAAAAAAATCTGAGATTTTCCTTCCATCTCCAAAACTGAATATGTCTTCTCTTAAGGTTTCTTTGGGATGTTGAGTTACAGTGCCCACAAGATTTTAAGAAACCTTGGTTTTCTTACCAAGAGGACATTTTTCACTCTGTTTTGTAAGACATGAAACATAAATAAAATGCAGTAAAAGTTGTTGCCGAATAATCAATAAACGTAGTATTGGATTGGCTCCCCAGTTCAACATTGACACAAACATGCCGGGGATAGATTGCTGAAATTAGCAAAACTTTCTCACTGGATTCCCCGTTTTTCCTTCAGCTTGATTTGTTTCGTAGCTGTATGAATTCCACTTGTGGTGTATCAGCCAATCGCAAACAGACCAATTTTGCAAAATTATGATATGACCAAAATCAGAAAACCTCACCAATCCAATCAACTTCTTACAATGCATGCTGAACAAGTACCACAGTACATTCTCCATCTTAATAACAGGCTCAGACAAACTTGCATTACAAACTAACTTTGCATGATTTCTATATTTGACGATAAAAACTTAGCTACATGCAAACTCGTCATACCTGTGATGAGTTTATCCAGTCTTTGGTCGCATTCCCGGTAAGCTTTCTCTAGTTTGGCTTTCTCAACCTCCCTCTGATGTAGGTCTTCACTGCAAACCAATTATGTAAGTATTTCATGACTTTTTTTGTAGTTTACATTACAGGTTTATTTGTACTTTTTGTGGAAACGAATTTCACAGAAATTACATTGAAAATTGATCTTACATGTACATGCATAATACAGAACTAACAACACTTGTCTTGGCGACAAATTGCAATTTTTTTTTATATTGAACCATTCCCACCCAAATCACAAAATCTATCACTCACCTTGCTGATAATGTTCGGATGACCGACATCAGCAGCCCAGTGCCACTTCCAGTCTTCATGACCAAGAAAAAAAGGAGATTTTAGGGGGGAGACATATGTAAGAAGTGATGAACGATACATGAATATTGTTGATGTCCCCTTAATGTGGTCCGGCCCTAAATTTGGAGCACTTTGATTTTTGTCTCCAGTGCCTTGCTATAGCAAAATTTTTACCTCAAATTTCACATTAAGTGATATTTCATCAAGCATTAAACATTCCCGTTCGTAAAGTCTCGAGTTTACCTACCCATTACAAATTTAACAGAGTCATTTATTTTGGCCTCATTTTCCGATTGCATTTTGAAGTGCACAATGAAATGTTAAAATGTGCCCAAATATAAGAAAAATACTTTTCTGACAAACTTCTAGTTATACATGTGAGTGGAGATAAATAATGGTTTATCAGAATTTGTCAACTTTAAATTTTTTTTTTAAATGTTAACTGGTTAACTTAGGATATTCTGAGATTTGTTCAAGTGTGACACGTTAGGGAACACTTGGCCCATTTTGTGCCCAATTTCCGGACGCTGACGTTTTTGCATTTTGACTAAATTTCATGACACTAAACAGATCACAAGGCCGGTTCAAGTTTGAACAGCATGACGACAGCAAGCATCTTTTAAGTAATCAGTATGAATGAGAAGCTTTTCAACAAAGAAAAGAGGTTTGGCAACACTTCATGAGGAAAGTCGGGGAAAACGTTGAAGTACGCCACGTTAGGGAACTGCTCTTTAATCAACATTACATGTCAATACATGATATACCGACCTGTTTACACTCAACTTACAATGACTTTACAAATTACAGGCAAAAATATTGACCAAACAACTTCTTAATTTATTTCAAAGTGTGCGGTAAGCTCTTGTAAAGTTAATGCACCCACTATAACAAACAAATCCAGCGAAACTTGAAGTCAACCTAATAATATTTGACAAACATAGTGCCAGGCCCATCCCCCACACCTATAGCATATGCAGTGACCTTTGACCCTCAATATTCACTCAGTTCAGACAAAACAGTTTTTTTAGGCCCCAACTTTGTTCGTTTCTGAATCCTACGAAGAACACTTTTTATTCCGATTATTAACATCTACCGATTCTTTGGCTGGTTTCCCCGCCGCATTCGCCATTTGACCTGTTGGTGGAGCATTGAAGCCGGAGACATTGGGGTTCGGAGCTTGACGATTTTTCACGGAACCTTTCTTGGTCGCCATTTTGATGATGTGAAAGGTCAACGGCTGTTTCGCGGCTGTTTGTTTTTCTTCGTGTACGTACGTGTGTGCGGCGCTTTTACAAACTTTGATTATCACACGCATGAAACAGTCTTCGATCAGCAAGCCCATTAAAGGAATAGTCGTAATCACTTAAAGTAAAGGCATTTTTTTGTACAATGTTGAATGAAACCACTAATTTGAGACATCCGTATCAGATAAAAGTCAAGATTAATTTCTTTAGACATCTTAATTATGATGATTCTTCTTAGATAAATAACGTTTTTCCTGATATTGTAAGTAGAGTGCTTAAAGGAATCCCCTTTAATGCGGAAAAGCTGCAGAGCGACGCATGCGTAGTTCTCATTGCCAGCTGGACGATCAACGATGAACGGCACCGATTGAACACGCAGATGTTTCGATAAAGAAAAGTCATGCTCATTCAACCCAGATTGTAATTCCTGGCTGTCAGACCGTTGACAAGAGAAATACTCGAGAATGTTCAACAAGTTTGCTGCGGCCCTGCACCATGCAGTTGAAGTGGTAAGACTCTAAAAACAGTCTGAACTTACCGAAGTCGAAGAAGGTTCAAGGTTTAGTACGATGTACGATTCGATTTTGAGGGCGCTGTTTAAAATGTTTAACTTTACGAAGTGGCTATTTTTACGGAAGCCGGAATAACGTTTTTCAATGGCTATCGGTGACGAAATTGAATTGTTTTGAATGCCGAAGGGGTACTAGGCTTAGTTACATTTTTTAGGACCCCACTATTTTATTTCGGAATGTGGAATTTTTTATTTAGTCGTGAACCGGTCTCGCAATTTTTCCGTTCTGAAGTTAAGCCAGCAGATCGTAAAGCAGCCTCATGCATGTGTACACGAGTAGGCCACCTACACTTGTCAAGCGAATGCTAGTGGACAGCACGAATTCAACTCCCACTGTCCCAGCGTGACCGCTGTTTTTGAAACTTCTTGTTTTAAATAAAATCCTAACGTTACATTTACTAAGGTATTTCACGGTAAAATGCGCCATCTTGCCCGCGGGGCAATTTTACACGCTTTGCTGTGTACGCATCGTCAATGGAAATTTTTTGCCCTTCCAAGTCATCATGCGGTCATTCCAAAATGCGCCCGCGTCTAAGCAACGGATGTTCTTTTTGCCCCGTGAACGAGATGGCGCATATCGTGAAACACCTTATTGCAGAATATTTCATCTGTTTTTTTTTCTTTCTGATTCGTCGCTCTGGAGAATTTCTGTTCAAGGGAAATAAAATCTGAATTTGTAATAGGTCTGATTTCCCTCTCTTAAACACGAAGTCACAACGACAGTGTTAGCACGAACCAGACGAAGATTTGTCACGGTAAACATTTCTAAGTCCCCTCCAAAAATCCAAAATTATTTGACACTTTCTGTAGTATAATTTTAATGGCTGTAGCAACTGGTCCCATTGCTACAGAATTTCAGGTCAACTATGTCTAGACACATTTTTATAGTATGGTTGCCGCCTCTACCAAAAGGGCAAAGTAGCGCTCCAGTGATTTTTTACCACTAGTACATGTAGTCCACTTTGTCTGTGAGAGTCTGTCACTTTAAACGCGACATGCACACATCGATGCCCATGAGGGAGCAACATAATTTGCATATTTCCTTTTACTTGAACAATTCTTTTTATTTGATTTTGTTTTCCAGTTGGGCGAGTCAGATTTGGTAAAAATTGAACTTTTTTACAAATTCATCATGGCTGAGGGGTTGGGCACAATTAACAATAAAAATACATATGGCAAGCTGGCAGCATAATGGACATTCAATTTCTGATAATTTTAGAGTGAGAAATAAGTTGGCTATTTTCTTCTGCTATGTGTATGTTGAGTTTTTAATATCATTGACTGGTTAGCATTCTGTCACTTTTTAAATGCTTTGTTCTTTTTCTGTATACATATTGTGAAGGGTCTTGCGAAGTTAACAGTTGGGTGGCAGCACTCATTTGCTATTCGCCACGTTTATGTCTTTGTTTAGGAAGATCAGCGATGTAGGCAAGTCCATCACAAGTCCCTGCAAGTCCATCACAAGTCCTCCAGTCCCAATTCAACTCACAAGCTATTCAAATTAACTTTTACCAAGGGTATTCCTTCGTTGTTGTTCAGCCACTGTTTCTTGTGACTGGACTTGTGACTGGACTTGTGATTTATTTGTGACTGGACTTCTGATGGACTTCTGATGGACTGTACCACCTGTTTATGCTTGTAATGGAAATACAAAAATATTTTATTTAAAAAGACTTCATACACACACCAAACATGCCTAATAGGTGTAAAAGCAACATCTAACCCTGCTAAAATAAAATAAAAAAAGGCATTCTAGTAGTGCTTGGTGATGTTGATTCTGAGCAAAGATAGCAATATCTTTTTTTTGAAGTTGTAGTTGTAGTTGTAGATTTTTTTGAAGTAGATGTCCAATACCGTTCTCATACATTTTCATGTGTTTTTTTACTGACTGTTAATTTTTAATACACAGCTTGCGCCAACGCAAACTCTTCTGGAAGATTTCACTTTCCACTGGAAGTCCGTCACGCATTACTTCATCAACACAAAAGGTGGGTAGCTTGAAATGTTACACTCATCCCTATTTTCTATTTTTCAGAAATGAAAGAACTGAGAATATTTCTATTCTATGCCAGTCCATCACAGGTTACTCCCCCAGCTAATATATTTTCCTGGGTGGAGAGAGGCAAGTGGGGGTGAAGTGGCTTGCCCATTGACACAAAATACGGTCAGCAGCTGGATTCGAACCCCTGACCCTCTGATCATGACCACAAAACCTAACCACTAGGCCACACTCCCAGGAAATTACTAGTACAATCACTTTTGCACTGTCGCATGCAGAGTGCTAAATTACTTACCTGACTTAGAATGCAAATTTTCACCACAAGATCTGACTGAGCACATCTGGGGGTTTTTTTGGTGCAGACAAACAGACACCTGGTAAATAATTAGAAAATATCTGAAAAATCACCCTCTCTGGCCTTTTGAGTTTACTCATAGGCACTTCTCAAAAGCACACATACATCACAAAAGAGAGTTGATCATATAACATCACTGCAAAGTTCCTCTTATCACCCATTTCTACCGGATTTTTACATCTTTAAAAATTGACTGTGTGATTTCCAGATGACAAGAAGCCAGTTCAGGAGAGCAACATCCCATCTCATCTGGACAACATGCTGGCCCTGCTGACGCAGGAGGAGCGACAGGTGGAAGATGATCAGACGGGACCATGCATGGAGTACCTGCTGCAACACAAGATACTGGAGACGCTGCACACGCTAGGCAAAGCAGATGTAAGAAATCAAAGTCTTCTTCCCATATTGTAATCCCACTTCTAATCTAATCACTCTCTTTTTTTAACCAATTGCTGGATCCGGTTGTAAACACAGTGATAGCTTCTAAGCAAAATTACCAATGGTTAGTTTAAACAATATTCAATTTTAATGATGTTTGCTGTATTCCGTTTGAAATTGTCTGTGTTTTTATTGGCAGTGTCCGCCGGGCATGAAGCAAGTGGTCTTGATGTTTTTCTTGAATCTCCTGGGCAAGATCAAGCAGCCTCTCTTGCCCCACGTCAACGTCTACAAACCTGTACATGTAAGACAGCCAAGGCCAAGTTCGGGCAAGCACCATTAGTCGACTAGTGGTTGATTTGTGACGTACCTTACGCCTGCGCACTAATAGCAACGTGCGAACGTCTCTAGTCAAATGCTGGTCAAAATGTCATCGCAAAACTTCTGGATCCTGGCTCTCTGCTAGCGTTATGAATGCGCGCGGCTATTGGTTACCAGCGAAGCAACCAACCCCAGTAGGCTGGTTCCAAATAGTCGACTAGCGTAGTCAACCATCGTCGACTAGACAGAGTTCGGGCAAACGTTAGTTAACCATTGGTCAACTATAGTCCTTGCGCGAACTTGGCCCTACTTGATCTTTATTACTTGATACACAATTTGTGAAATATTCACCCGAAGTTGTGTTAATTCTAGTAGAATCGAACAAAGGCATTTGCTGATTTTGTGAATCTGAGGATAATGCTTGTTGCTGTTGGATTCTGTATGATTCAGAAGACTTAAGACATATCTAATATTGGACATTGATTGTGTTGCAGTCAGCAGACTTCACGTTTTGCTGTTGTTGGATTCTGTTGTATACGGAAGGCTCCCCACTTTGCCGAATTTCTGCTTCAAGAAAAAATACCTCAAGAGGTGTTTTTCTTGATTGATTGATTGATTGTACAGTCTTCAGGTGTTCAATTCATTGATTGATTGTGTGAGTTTTTGAGGAGGACATTTTAATAACAGTGAAGTCTCCATTTACTGCTGGCTTTGACTGGTTTTCCAGAGTCGCAGCGAACCAAAAGAAATATTAACTTTGGAGTCGTTCTTGAGTTGTCTAGCCACCCCTGACTGTTTCAAATATTGAACCTAACTAAAGATTTTGAAATCAATTGGTGAGTTGTTACTCTGGATGCCAGTCTGAATTGTCATAAAATTGATTCAAAGATGTTTTTGTTCCCTGTTCTTACCAGAATTTAATCAAAGTGTGTGGTGAGGTGCGCGCCGGGCCCACAGAGAAGGAAGAGATCCAGTTCCTGTGCACAGTGTGCTCCAAGCTCAAGCAGCATCCTTACTCTGTCAACTTCTTCCTAGAGGTAAGACAAGATTACATCCGCACCATGAAATTACAACTGGTTTTTGTTATTTTGTGGTGGAATCCCCTTTGCACATCCATGCTTGAGTGAGGAGAGTGGATTGGCAGGGGCCCAATACAAAATCGTACATGTACCTTCCAAAACAGTATTTCCTTTTAAATACCAATAAGTCTGTTTATTCTTAAAATCTTTGATATTTTTATTTTCTGGTAGCTTCCAAGACAAAAGAGCAAAAAGCCGCGACACAACTCTTCCACATCCGCAGCAGGTAGCAGCAGCAGGACCAGCCTAGACGACATCACACAACCTGAGTTTAGTCTGGTCAACTCCCTCATTGCGCTGGCACAGAGTCCTGTAAGTTAAAGTACACTCTTTATCACGTTGTAACTTTGGAGGTAGAGTTTCAGAGGCAGTTGTGTCTTGTACAGATGTGTAAACGTGAAAGCACTATTCATGAGTTTCGTTTGTCTTTGAGACAATAGAACGTGGAACTTTTAGCTGCTATACAATTTGCCCAGCTCAATTCTTAAGTTAGATTCTTATTAAAGTTTGATTGAATAGTTAATTTGAATCAATCAATATTACGACACGTGAAACAAAATATATACAAATAGTTTGTCCAAAACAATGTAGATAAAACTTGATTCTTAAGTTTGATTGCATAGTGTTATTGAATAGTTAGTTTGATTCAATCTTTATAACTGACACTTGAACAAAAATATATACAAATAATTGGTCCAAAACAATATAAATAGGACTTGTAAAAAGTAAGTACAAGAAATACAAAGAAGCCTTCTTGGATAAGACTCGATTGCTCAAAAAGTCCTCGTTTGCACTATAGCTTGCTTGAAACCTGTGGGCAAAGGACAGTGATTAATGTTTTCTTGGCAAAAATTATGTTGACTTGTGACTTGTCAGTTGTCCACTCTACCTCAATTTTCTCAAAGGGCCATGTCACATGAGACAATTTTTTCACAGGCAACTTGGAGACAGCCGCAACAAATGCACTGCGAGCAAACAGTACTGCGACAACAATGTACATTTTCAAACACTTTATTACAAGTCTTCAAAACAGTACATGCAGTTAAAACTTTAAAAGAAGTTGCTTGAATGCTGCCTCGTGCGACATGACCCATAAAATGTGGAGTTGAACGGTTTTAATTGAAGACATTCACCCGTTTGTATGCACACAGGACAGTAGGATAGCGGTCAAGGCATGTGAGGGGCTGATGCTGTGTGCCAGCCTACCAGAGAAGCAGGCCGCCCAGTGCATCGTGGACCACACCCAGTTCTGTGCCCTGCTGGCCGAGAGGCTATGCACCTTGTACAATGCACTCCCGTTGTCCATGGACCCAGTAGATGTGGACAGTGTAGAAGCCAAGTGGGGGTGAGTATTTGATGACCTCTGGGCCCAACTTCACGGCACCGCTAAGGCCAAAAAAAAAGTCTCCTGTTTCTGGTATGCGCGCGCGTCGCCGTAGCCATGCGCGTCGGCAAAATGAAAAAGTTTTTTTTTCAATGTAAGATGATGTCTCAAAACCGCCAAACTCACTGGTTTGACTGGATTCCTGCTGCTGCACAATTTTAACGTGTTTTTAGATTGGGTTATGGTCGAGAATAAGCTTTATGTGGCCTCTCTGGACTCCCATATAGTTGCACTAAGTTTAGTCGGGCACCATTTGCAGTCATCAGCCGACATTTGAAGCAAAAAAATCAGGTAAAAAAAAAAAAAAAAAAGCCGCGTCGCCGCACCACTTTTTGGGCAAGCTCCATACCAGAAACCGGAGACTTTTTTTTTTTGGCCTAATCATCTTCTTTCTGCTGACCAAACTATGGCCCAAAGTTTTCTAAAAAATATTCCAAATGAAATGGATTCAGTTATGAAGGCATAATATGACGTGATCATATTACCTCAAGCGAACAGCAAGTCGACTGACAAAGTAATTTTGCCAACATTTTTTTTGCAGTTTGTACATGTTGAGCGACGGGGAGGATACCAACATGTTCCCCGGTAAACGGCAGCTCATCTCTCTGCTGTCCTGGTATGATTACTGCGATCAGGTGATCAAGGAAGCTCATCCCATCGTGGGTCGGTCGCTAGCCAATCAGATAAGGGAACGATTCCTGGTTCCCATCATGGAGCAGCTGTTGCTACAGTCGTGAGTGTTTCACATTAAAACTCTTTCTACAACATGAAACTCTGAAACAGTTTTCTGTTTCAAGTTTGTCATTTTTTTTTTTTCAGCTGCGAGTATGGACTGAAAAATAAAATTCAATTACTGGAATATGACCTTGGTTCTGTTTTTCCCCATCGTTTATTTTCCATCTTAGATCGGAGGTTGGCATTCTGACCAGCACAGCTCACCTGGTCAAGTTTGTTAAGATGACGTCCTCCCCGGCCTTGCTGGATGTCCTAATCAAATTCATCCTAGGAGAGGAGACGGCGCCGGAAAAGCCCGGGGAGGGAGGCTACAAGCTGAGACAGCGATTGATAGACAGATGTGACAACATCTCTGATGAAGTAAGTTTTATCCTTAAGCACCCCTCCTTCACCCAAACCCGCCACCCAACTGCACCACCCCACACCCAACTGCCCCACCCAATTGCTCCATCTCACACCCAACTGCCCCACCACACACCGTACTCCCCACACCACCCTGTCCCAGACTACCCTGCCACAGACAACCAACAAACCAACACCCCAACCCCCACCCCTATCCTGCATTGATTTTGTTTATCTAGCCACCTCGATGATATCCAACAGAATTCAACAATAGTACAATTCTCAATTGAAGATATTACCAAGAATGAGAGTATCAAATCCAAACAGAAATTGTTCATTCTGTTTAGAATTCAGCAGCTGTTGATTTGATTATCATTTTCAAATTTTTCAGATATTTTTAAACCAAGTTGATTTGGCATATTTACATTCTATGGACACTGTGCATTAAAGTGAACATTTTTGTGTACATTTTTGATGTTCTAGGCCTATTCTAAAATATCATGATTCAATTCCTTTTTTTGTGTGCAGATTTGTATAATGGCTCTGAAGTTATTTGAAACCCTCTTCCTCAAATCCAACGGTCACATCATCACCAACCTCGTCCTACGCAATCTCCAGTCGCGAGTCTACCACGGCCGGCCCGCCCCTACGGAACACAACAACCAGGGGTCCGGCGACTCAAGTGACCAGAGGTCAAGTAACCCCAGGGACCCATGCGACCAGGGTTGTGGCGACACTGCCGACCAGGGGTCTGGCAACCCCAGTGACCAGGGGTCCGTCAATGGCACCGTGAGTGACAGTGGGGTAGAGACACTGAGCAATGGGCCAGAGAGCCCTACTCTGGTTCCAGACTCTCCCGTGCGGGATGGTGTACCAGACTTTGTGTCAGACCCGGAGTCCGAGGTAGCCCAAGCCTCGCCTTCCATTTCTGTGTCAAGCTCCGAGGCGGACGACAAGCCTAACATTCATAAGATTGTCAACAGGTAGGTCATCTATGAAACAAAAATTGTTGGTTATGATCTCAGTGACTACAACTGTCTGGCATATGCTGGGTTGCAATGATATAAAACAATGGTGCTACCTACACTGTCTGTTTCTGATTTCTCTTTGATAGTTTTCTGGGCTTGATGCCAGAAGAGGCTAGATCATCCTACCTGACAGGCGATATAGGTTACGATACCTACCTCAGAGAGGCTCATCGACTGGTAAATAATATAGAAAAACATCAGCAATTCTGTTTATAAGTCAAAATTGTAGTTGGAATCAAAGTAGTTTCCATAAGGGAATTTATTATTCTTGATGAACATCCATCCACTGAGTTGAGTACCTTTTGAGTTGAAAGCTTTCACGGGTCAGTTTTCTTAATTTCATTGTGAAGACCCTGGTGCAGTGGAGCTCTTTGCCTTTATTATGATGATCAGAACATGACTGTTGTCTTTTGTTCCTAGTTTCGTGAGTGTTCTGTCAACTGTCTTCCCTATGATTGGCCAAATTACGCCACGCCTTTGGAACTCTGCCCCAACGAGGCATTCTACGAAGGGGCCTTCCTCAAAATTCTCCTCGACAAGCTATCCCGCATGCTCGATCAGGTATGCTATGCTCTTCTTGTACTTGTGATCAGCAAAAAGAAAATGTGAGTTAAGCTGTGCTACTCTGAAGCATCTTCCAAAGTATTGACTTTATTCACTGAGTTGTAAGCAGATTGTTCTGTTTTTTAATAGTTTTAGTATAAAAAACTGGAGTGTTGTGATAGTATTACACTTACATTGTATTTGTTTTACTGACTAGACCTACGAGGTCAACTTGCAAGTGACCTCTCTCCTGTCCAAGATTTGCCTGTTCCCGCATCCTCACATCCAAGAGTTCTTCCTGGACCCATACTTGCCGGTGGCAGCTGGCTGCAGAACGCTGCACTCTGTACTCCTCAGGGTAAGCCATGGGAAAAGTGGAAGGGGACTGGAGTGAGATATGCATGTGAAAAGAGGTGGTGGCTTAATTAGGAAAGAAGGTGCCAGAAGTGGCATTTATGGTGGCAGGAGTGGGATAGGTGGGGGCAGAGTTACGATAAGGTGGCAGGGAGTGGGATGGGTGGTGACAAGTGGAATAGGTTGTTAGGAAGTGGGGTCGGTGATGGCGGGAGTAGGATGAATGGTGATGGATAGATGGAAGGGGGATATCTGGTGACAGGAGTGACATAGATGTTGCTTGGCATAGGTTAGGAAGTAGGGTAAGTGATGATGGGAGTAGGATAAATGGTATGGGGGTGGTAGAGATGACGGGAATGGGATAGGTGGTGGCAGAAGTGGGATAGGTGTTTACAAATTAGAATATGTACAAGAAGCAGCTTTTTATTATTCAACAGATTTTACAGAGGATAGCTTTAATCAGAAGAGGGTTAATTGTGTCCAGAGAAGGCACTCCAAGCAAAAAAAAATAACCAGATGTAGTTGAATTTACCGTTGAATGTCTCTCTCTCTGCAGGTGGTGAGCGACCTGAGTGCCCGGATCAAGGCCATCCCTGACTTCCAGAAGCAGGTGCTTGTGGTTCGGAAACAGCTGATGGGCATGGTGGAAGAAGATGACAGGTAAGGATTCCTATTGCTACCATTCTATTAAACCATCATATTACTGCACGGTCAGTTTTTCCGACATGCCATGAGTGACCAAAGCTACTAGCAATTTCATGGCTTACATTCCATGTTTATTTCATGGCTTTGCAAGTCAGTGTTGCGACTTTTCAAAATGTTGTTTTCCTCTCAGAAAACAAGGTTTCAAAAATCATTTGCCCCTGATATTATTTAGTAACAGATTGTTCAAGAACTTTTTAAGTCACAAAACTGATAATTCGGGTCCTAATTGTTGGGTAGGTGGGATGTAAGCCACATCCAAAAGTCAAGCAGAGCCTCAACCGTTCATGCACTTCCAAAAGAATACACAATATCTCAAAATCATGAATCCAAAGTATGATTGGATCAAAGCAAAGTTTGTTTTTGTTTTTTTTCTTCAAATGACATTGCATAGTCAAAATCGTCACAGTATCAAGTCATATTGCAGAGCCAAAAGCCAAGCTTCAAATCTTGTTTGAAAGCTGGATGAAGACATTTGGATGCATTTATGTGTGGATATGGTGGCCCGTACTGTGACAATGCAAATAATACTGTAAACTCACATGGCACTTAAAACACACATTCCCCATCCTGTGTGTACATTTCTCTATTCCAAACTACGGGAGGGCAAACTACAATTTTGTGTATAAAGCTTAAGGTGCTCTAATCGTGTGTGATGATTCGCTATACACTCCCATTAAACTGCACTCTTTAGGCCGTCAAGATAAGATCAAGCAGAGCCTCAACCGTTCATGCACAAAAGAGTGCCCCAAACAGCTGGAAACAGCATTCTTGACAGTTGTAGCGTCCTCAACTCTTGCAAATGGCGCTTGGCAATTTTTAAACATCGCCATTGGCAATTCTATGTAGCTCCCTGAGCAGCTCATGCACAAAGCCTTTTTAGCAAGCCATCAGTCACTTCAGCCATGTCATCTTCAGTGCGTTCTGAACAATCAGTGTAACCTCTCTTGCGATTGGTTACTTGCTCAGTCATCTTCAGTGCGTCCTGACCCAACATCAGTGTAACCTCTCTTGCGATTGGTTACCGGCTCAGACAAACCCAATATCCATGTAATCACAGCATCCAATCAACTTATTTGTATTTGCAGAGGCAAGAAGTCCATAGCCCCCATTATGAAGTAAGTGACTGTCCCATTTCCCCAATTCCCTGCTCGTCTTAATAACACGCCATTAACCAACCAAATTACTGAAAACCCTCAATAACCCGTGGCATCAGTTCATCACCCATAGCATGATGTTGATTTGTATGGTTTGTAGTTGATCAGCATTTTGTTGATTGTGTTTTTCTCTTGTAATCCACAAAAGTCTTCATTACAGTGTATATTGCTGGCATGTTATGAACATCATACGTGAGTTTGTGGATATTTTGCATGTAGGAGAAACTTTTCCAGTTTTCATTTCACACAAGTCTATCACATGTGATACGTAACTCACACCTAGTCTCATGGTATCTAAAAAGCCAGAATGCATTTGTAACACAGATTTATGTACATTCAAAGTACAACCAATTTTTAAGTGCTTACAGAAAGGTACCTTTTTTTAATGATGCCTTGTTTGAGACTCAAACATGAAGTTTGCTAAGGTTTATTGCCTTGTTACCAAGCATTAATTTGCTCTCCGGGTAATATATTCAGCAGCTGCATGTATTTACATTATAAATAACTAAAACAACACTAATCAATTCTTCCAATTAGCATTGAAAGTAAAATTAGATACTAAAAATATATATCTCTATGCATATTGAGACTAATATATTATTTATATGCATTTGATTTGCATGAATAGCATGATATATTGAAAATAGCATTACTAAGTTACTTCTTTTTATTTCATTCCAAAGTATACAATAAAATTGCTTAACCCTCAATTTCTTATATACTGCAAATTGTTTTCTCAATGGAAGCTAATGTTCAGATCTTTTCTTGTCTTCTCTAGACTAATGCCCAATCAGCTGTCTTTATTTCCAGTAACAGAATACGTAATTTCCTGGGAGTAAGATCATTATTTCTGTACATTACACTAAACATGTACGTGAACACACACACGTTCTGTAGCCGAGTGTCCATATACCAGATCAACAATACTAGTGACAGGGGAGACCAAGATGTTGTGGGAAAATACAAAAGTCTCTACAACTTTGTTCAAATCTGCCTAACAATAGAAAACGTCCACACAACGCAGTCACAGCTAATGCACGAAGAGATCCCACATCCATCTCTTAAGTTCATGAAAGCATACTCTTGCAGAACACCCTGCCTTGTTTTCCAAAATTGGCAATCTAGATCAAAGCTGCTCAAGATTTGTTAACAATTTCATCCGACTGTAGGGAGGGTCAAGTAATCCAGTCGGTAATTCAGGTTTAAAAAAATACCCCCCCCCCCCCAAAAAAAAAGATTAGAAAAATTAACCATCTGATACACTCCACCTTTTATTTTTCCTTCAGGATCTTTCAGAATCTTTTAGCAATGTTAACCAGTCTATCCTCAAATGGTGTCAACAGTTAGATATCTTAAGTGGCTCGGTAACATCTTAACTCTTACATGTAGACCCCTATGCTAACCAAAACACTGATTCAACCCATACTAAACTAGACCTTAGCAGTTCCAACCTTCAATGGTGGTTTCAGGATCATCAAACAAATACAAACATGTTCTAAAACATACACGTAGCCATCAACCCAAATTAGAATTAACACTTCCCAATAAATTAATCTCTTTTCCCCCTCTCTTTGCCAGTACATACTACCTACATATAAATAAATATATCATTCTCTGCCTACATGTTATTTTTGAGTGTCCATGCCTTTTTCATTTGTGATTATTTTAATACTTGTGCCTCCTAAACATAAAATCATGATTGTTTTTTTCCATTGTCTTGTAACATGAATGTGATGACATGTAACCAAGTGAAGTTTTGTGTTAATATTGTTCTGAATCACAAATTTCACATTTTGGAAAGTTGGGGTAACAAATTACTGTGAAGTGGGGAATTGGGGTTGGGTGGGGGGTTGTTGGACACCAATTACAGTATGTGGACTTTTTCATTCGTAGAATGTATGCAGAATCTGTAGATTAATTCTAACTGAAGGGTATGGTTTTAATGTTTGGACCATATCCAGGTTTTCTCTTGTGGCCCTGTTCCAACATTATCCTGTTCGTAAATTACTTTGTCATACACGCACCGGCACCACTGATTACTAGCGCCCATCAGCTAAACACACCGCTCTGCCCGGTTCCAATGGCTCCAATGCTACTCCGTGTGCAGTGTGTGTGTTTTATGTTAAAATGCCATCACACTTACGAACCGGCTGAACCTCAACTCCTTTTGTATTTAGATGGGAACCTTCCAAAATCCTCAATTTTTTTCCCCAGGAAACGAGTGGCACACACCCTATTTTGAGCAGTTAAGGGGCATCAAGCCCCATGTAAAAAAAATAGCTAGATCAATACTTCTCTCAATCATGTGAAATCCTCCAAACTTTTCTGGTGGATTTCGAACAGTCCAGATTTCAAACATTTCATGTTTGTGTTCGTTTTCTTATTCCGCTTTTCTTATCTTTTGTTGTGTGTCTCCCCTGCACAGCTTGCCATACATCGATCTTCTGGAGGGCGTAATCGTGCTGGAAGAATTCTGCAAGGAACTCGCTGCGATAGCCTTCGTCAAATTCCACGCGGCGAGCGGCCGGACATAACTGTGTGTAAAACCAAGAACAGCAATCTGAAATGTTAATACTAATGATGAACAGGGGGAATGACGCTCAGTGCACTGAAACAATTTCTCATTTCACATAAACAGGGTAGTCCGGAGATCTTAAAGAGGACATTTCGTGCTACACAGAATTGTTTTCAGAACTTTTCAGTGGGTTTGATTAGAACCAGACAAATCTGAGGAAATTAAGATGGATGTTTACATCACAGTTGAAAAATTGAAGTTAAATTTAGAACCCTTTTTAAGCTGGTTCATACAAAGCATAAAGCAAACAAAAACACAAATTTGAGTGGCATTTGCACTGAACATTTGCAAAAGTTGAACACTTTAAAACTCTTGAAAGTTTTGCTGCAATTTTTTTGCACAGATGTCAAATGTACTTCACATTCTCATTTGCGTGGAGTGTGAACTGAGATTCACAATAAAACCTTGGCTACTCATACTTTTGTGATTTTTATTCAAATTCGTTGACAACTTTTACAGGAAAGAAACCATTTTTTGATATGCTGAAGTATTTTTGGAGGGGGCATTTTTCTTTTTGGTTAATGTAACAAAATTTATGGAAAGAGGGAAATCAAATTCAATTTACTTTTTCATTTTATTGTTTCATAGATGTACAGATGGAGTATTTATAATATTTACCACATTTAATATCCATTTTTTTCCCGTTAATCCAATTTTATTGCTCACTTGTAATCCTATTTTCTTTTTTGCATTAGAAATTAAAATTAACCAGGATTTTTTAATGCAGCATGTAAAAGTGTGAAAATCAACCATTATTGATAATTCAGAAAGAAATGGGTAATTCAAAGCCAATTGTTGCTTGCGTGGGTTATATTTTTGTAAATTTGCTATTTAATAACCAAAAAAATCTTATCATTAGTTGGTTTTAGGCTTTTAATTTGTGCAATTATCAATTATTTGTGTTTGCATTTTTTTACTTCTGCATTCCCCTTCCACTTTTTGTTTTTAAATTTATTTTATTTTCTTTCCCTCCACTTTTGAAGAAGGGTTTATTTGATTGACTTTTTAGGCCTATGTATGATTACTATACTTTTGGTCACAGTGAAGTGAAAAATCAAAATAAATACTGTGTGATACAATTCTCATCGACATGGCACAGTCACAGCTACTACTTACTGATGCAGTAATAATGCAGACACATTGTATATTGAACTATTTTTGTACAAAATAAATGTTATTAAACCCAATCTTGCTAAACATATTTTCTGTTTTGTGAACTGTCGGTTGTCATATGTGTCTTGCTTCCTTTTGCCTTCTTTTAACCTCTACCCAAGTTGTTTCAAATACAACATGATCCTTAGTCTATGGAATAGCTATTTACACACAAGCGACTGTGAATTTTATATTCACGCAGTTCAGCGATTAATTACGCAAAACAAGACTGTGTCTTGACCTATGGATTTGGACCTTTCATTGAGCGCCTTCTATTGGGTCTTCCGTAACCTGTTGTGTACATAATACAGTCAAACACCTTTATAACAAGGTCCTTGGGACTTTACGAATTACCTTGTTATAACAGGTACCTTGTACTAACAGTAACAGAAAACAAAGAAAAACAAAGTCTTGGGACCTAAAATTCTGCTTGTTATAAGCAGTACCTTGTATTAACAGTGCTCTTCTTATCAGGGTTCGACTGTAATAATAATACCGGAGTCTTATATAGCGTACGTACCTACCAACAATTAGGTACTCAAAAACATGGCAACCAAATTGACCAATCAACGGCTTGGTCCACATTCCAATCGAAATGACGTCACTGTTTCTAAGGTCGACTCCGATTGGCTGGCGCGCAGAGATATAATTATTTGTAGACTTGCTCTGCACATGTAAATGTCAGACAACATGATCCTAGAGCCTATTACTACATTTTTAAAAAACGATTTGCACCACCTTTTTCGTAAAGCTGTCAAACCAGATTAGTTTGATGAACATCAAGTAACTGAGTTAAATTTGTACATATAAACATTTTCTTGACTAGATACACATACAAAGCTGTTCAGTGTATAACTGCCCAGATTCAATTATAGTTCCCCCCCCCCCAAAAAAAAAAGCAACACGAAAAAAACCAATTATGTTGGAATAATGGGGAAATAAGTTCACACCTTTAATGCCTTAATTAAGTACTTTCATAATACTTTACATCAAATGGAGTTTCATATATAAATTCTTTACATATTGCACACATACATGTAAGGTTTCCGTTTAATAATACAAACAGTTGATAATAGTACTTTGATTAAATATTGACATTTATATTCCACACACACACACTTGTACTATAAAAAAACAACAATATAATTTAATAAATACCAGCAGCAGACCGTATCTCTCTACAAGTAGTAAAACCACACAAATATTGTCATCGGTGCAAGGGACAGTGTTACACCCATATCAAATGTCAGCAGTTTCACAGGTTTAGAAAAACTTAGAGTTTAGGCACTCTCCTGTGCCTCTCCTGATAATGAAGAATCATACACAGGGTCACTTAAAGCCGGGGGTGTCTCCATAAACTACATCGATATAAACCTGCCGAAATGGCTACTGTTCAGTAGTACTGAGTTTATACATTTACTTTTATAGTGTAAGTACATAAATATTGATAAGGAGATCACATGTCAACTTGACCTTAGCTATCAGAACAAAGAGAACTCACAAAGGGGACCAGGTTTCACAGGAGTCCAATTTTCATATGACAACATCAACACTCGTGTCACTCACCTGGTTTACAATAATGTTAATAAACCTTAACAATACATATATTGGTCCTTATACAAAAGCACCTCTGATGAGTGGTCACCAACAAATTAACAAAAACTTTTTGGGACCTGTTCAGTCATCCACCACTATAGACAATGCCCTTATTTCACACAGTCGTCGGTGAAGGTCCATCTCGAAATCTTCGTCGCTCTGCAGCGTGTCGTTGTCCTCAAGCTGGACGGCAAGCTCGGCATAGATCTTGAAGCACTCTGTGTAATAGATCACCTGTGGGGTGTACAGAAAATGTAGACAGGTGTAGTGTCATCTAGACAGTATACTGAAATCAAAATGCCTCCTTGACCCATTAGCAGCTGTATTGCATTGTATTACATTGTATTACATATTACATTGTATTACATTGTATCACATTGTATTACATTGTACTACATTGTATTACATTGTATTACATTGTATTACATTGTATTACATTGTACTACATTGTACTACATTGTAGTCTAACGTTGTATTTATTTCCTGATGAATCCATAAAATCATAGAGACAATCTCATCATTACGGACGTTACATTCCGAGCCAACAATTTGTGTACCAAAATTTGAATGCAATCTAGAACCGAGACTACTGTGTACCTGAGATTTGATGAGTGCCTCAAAGGACGGCTGGAAGTACTCCACACGTCCCTCAAAGAACTGTGGCATGGCCTGCATTAACTCGGTGTGCTGTCGCTCATACTCCTCCTTAGCTGCCGCAAGATTCTTCTTAGACTACAGAGGGAAAATTGGAGGAGTTAGTCAGCATAGAAGACCTGCTCCAACAAAACCTGGACAAAGTTGACAAAATGGTTTTGTTTTTTTAGGTTTTCGCATTTTGAAATTCCTGAGGTTTTCAACTTCAAAATGATATAGGATTTCATAGAAACTCAGACCCTATCACGCCTGGGAGAAAGGATCGTGATAAAAACCCTGACAACCCAATTATGAGATAAGCACGCGTGTTGAAATGCTTTTTGCATAAATTTTAACAGCAGGTTGTTTTACTTTTAGAAAAATAGCTGGAACTATGATTTCTTGTACTGTTTTTGCACAGAAGTATTAAAGAGATAAACTTGGTCCATTCTTATACCGTTTCTAATTTGGTAAGATTGGGTCCAGTACGTTCCCTGTCTTGGTACTTCTCCACTTTGCCCTGGCAGCGGCTGTACTCCTGCAGGCACTGCTCCCGTTTCTTGAGCGCCAGGTACAAGCTGGGAAAGATGGTGCTGAACTTCTTCATCGGTTCAACCATGGTGCGACCAGAGCTGGCATTCTGTAAAGAGGAGAGTAAACATGATAAATCAATGTCACACATGTATCGGATGATTATTTAATAAGACTAGGCAAGATTATTAAAGTTGGTCCTTAACCAATTTAGGGGAGGGGAAGGGACTTGGGTTGGGAATTATCCTGACTAAGAGGTACGTTGGTTAAAGTGTGCGACTCATGTGTCATGGTCTGTGCGTTCAAACCCTGATGAGGAGCGTTGTGATTGTGTTCTTGGGCAAGATACTTTACTACAATTGCCTCTCTCCATCCAGCATAAACAGGTAACTGTCGAGGGTAGAGACCAGATTGCACTGATCTCGAGCAGCTCCAGAAAACTGGTCTCATAGCCTGATAGACTGACGAACTGAGGTAATAATTGTGAAGCGCTCTGAGACATTGGTAAAAAAGCCCTGTATAAGTACCCCATTTTTTTGGGGGGGGGGGGAAGGGGGCAACGTCCTATATCCTCATCGTCCTCGCTCACCAATTCCTGGGTCTTGGCCTCAATCTGTCCAATGGAGTTATTGATGAGCTCCAGGTTTTTCAGCGTTTCCTCCGTGTTCAGGATGGGGCTGGCCGCCAGGTTCTGGCCGATGCGACACTGCGTCTTGGACAGCGCCCCCATGGCCTCGATGCAGTGCTTCATGTCCTTGTACAGCTTCTTGGTAGCCTCATCAAGCCTAAATGCAGAAAAAAGATCAAGAATTTGAACGATTCTGAAGGAAAAGCCTACCAGAGTTGCAGTCCTGCCCATCATAAGTCCATCACAAGTCATCTGGTACCGAGTCATAATCACAAGCTATTCAAATGAACAGTGACGACAAAGGCAGTCCCTTGTTATTCTTAAACCCCTGTTACTTGTGACCAGAGTTGTCAATGCGACTTGTGATAGACTTGTGATGGACTCGACTTCAACACTGCTTCCCACTATATTGTCTCTTTGCTTTCTGTTCTGTAATGTTTTGTTAGAATGGAGTGGAAATAAAGTGAACTGTGCTGAAGTAAACTGGCAAATGGCTTCTCGGCATTTTTCGAAATCTCTGAATTAAAGTTAGTCTCTAACATTGCTTGAGATTCAAGATGTATGTTTCAGCCTTGTTAAGTCCAAGTTCCACTTGGAGAAACAGAGAGTGCCTTTAACTGTGTGAAATACAGGTGGGTACTTCCTATTGATCTCTGTTGATTTCAGTAGTGAGCAAATTAACTTTTGTCTCTAGCTGATTCAGCAGGCTGCACACTAGCTCTCGTTAGAATCTGTTACACTCAGCAGGGTGCCGCCAATAGGGGTTAGGGTTTAAGGTGGTAAACGCATCTCAATAAAGTACTGCAACACTTACACACTGATTTTGTTCACTTCCCGCTCAAACGCCTTCTCCTCCTGCAACAAATATTGACAAGGGATAGATTCATCAGGTTCAGTTTGAGTTGTTTTTTTAGAAGGGTCAACTTCCTGCAGCTGTTGGGCAACGGTCTGCTGGGCACTGCGAGTCCTGTCCATGGATCCTAGCTCCTAGGCATTGCAGGACCCTTAACATATTTTAGATTATTAATTAAGCTAATTACTGCTGGTCATTGTGGAGACCGGGTCAGCGCGAGGTCAGCGTGCCCAAACGGGAATTGCAGTTGGGCTTGCACAGGCTGTTGCCAGGCAGATTTCCAGTGTACATGATCGTTCAGTGTGGGCTCTGTGAAACCCCAGGTTCCAGATTCAAGTTAGTGTTGTTCAAGCTTACCGAGGTAAATAACAAATTAGCTCACCGATCAAATGTGTGTTCCTCGATTGGAAGACGTGATCACAATGCTATCAAGAAATTGGAATTTCATGTCATTGCCTCGTTAGTTTGTCTGTCCTTTTATTAAATTAAACTGAAACCCCAAAACACGCTGCAGTATCTCTAAATGGAGCGAAAGATTACCTCTTTTGTGATGACAGGAGGTGCCTTCTTTGGAGATGTCAGACGACTGAAAATGTTCCTGCAGGCAAGATGAAAGAAAAAGTTAGCAAGTTAAAAATCCATCTACTCCCATCAGTAAATGAATGAATCAATCACCGACTATTTTGAAAATTACAATGACAGATTCCTCTGTGGAAAAAAATACTTGACCTGCATGTTTACACCGGGCACAAAAAGGCTACACCATGCAATCAGATCAACCTATAATTTAGTACAACTCTTAAGCTCCGATACACCCAAAATATAGCAATATCATCAGATCACATTAGGTACCCACCAATCATTCAAAAGGAATATAATACTCACCAGCTCATTTTGAAGAATTGTTACTCAAGGAGATGACGACGAAACCTTACTATTGCAAAAGAGATAATGGATTTTCTTTTATGTGGTTTCACTTGCTGCTGATGTCAATGTGGCATTTCGCTGCAAAATTCACCTTGTGCCTGTTTAGAAACGAAGAGATTTCAATATTTTTTATAATACATGGAGTAGGACTTCGTTTGGGAATGCAAAAAAAACCACCAAAAAATAAATAAAATAACACACACATACACACTCAACTTGACCAAAACTAAAGAGTGGCCCCTAACTACATACTATATCATCCCTTGATCTACAGTATGATCACATCAAGCAACAATAAATACATTATTGCATTAAGTCCACTTCTTTGGGTGATTGTGTAGTTTATATTGGCCCTGCGGCCCTGTTCAGTAAGAGAATGAAAAACGCTTTTAGCTTTGGGTTTATATTGGAGCACGGAGGAAGGAATAGACATTGATAGCGGAGTCACCCAAAGAACGTCTTGGCATGCTTGGGCAGGGTTTTTATATTTTTCAGGGAAATTCTTGGGTAAAACAATGATGAAGACGACAAAACACAACACAAAAATGGTGATCAGCACGGTGCTTAGTGAATGCGAAAATCTGTGTTGAATTGGATCATATTTTTCTACCAAAGATGCTGTTCAAAATGAAAATGTTAAAAAAAATTAGGATCAATCGAATTACAAACATGACGAAAAGAGTGCTAAAAACTAAAGTTGCAGAAAGTCATTTTGGAATGACAAAACCACTTTTAATAAGGTTAAAACAAAAGAGGGGCCTGTAATTACATGCACACAATCACCCATCCACCTTTGTACACATTAAACAAGCATGCCCATTCCCCCTGGCCCTCTGCCGCCGCCCCCCCCCCCGGCCCCCCATGATCAAATAAAACAGAATATTTTAATAACAAAAAAAGGCCACTACTAAAGTACTAGTACTAGTCGTGCATACGTTTAATGTACGGCAATGAAATTGATTCAGCAAGTAAACAATTTAAGTATCTTCTTAAAAACAAAAAGAGATACACGAAATTCGAGTACAAATTCACCTGGGCAATGGATTTTCTTGGCAAGTTGAGCTCCGTTTTTCAGGAAAGATTTTCAGCCATTCATGTTAACCTGTGACCTTTTCTAATTTATTATTTTGATAATTTTTTAATACATTTATTTACACTAAAAGTTATTTCAGTCAGTTAAATATAATTTAATCGAAACTTTTGATTTTAGTAATTCTGCGTTGAGTTTAATAAAATGTATTTATAAGCCAATCGCAAGAGTTGAATTTGTTTTTAATCGACAAGCCTAAAGGTCATGACATGTCATGACATTCTGGCATGCGACGTGACTGATGACAACCACGAAATGGCGAACCTCCAGGCGATTCAAAAACTCGCCAAACAGGCACTGGACACTTTCCGATCAGTCAACGGAGACAAGAATGTATTCCTGGATAAACTGAGTTCCCTGCGGGCGAGTATGAATCGAATCCGAGCCGCCGATCTGGGCATAGACGACGCCGTTGCAGCGGGCCGTGACCACCAGCCCTGGTCGGCTCCCGTCGGCTACATGTTCGTGGCGGAGAACCCGTTGGTGTCCATGGGCGTCTTCGTGGTGCAGCGCGGATGCCGGCTCCCGCTGCACGACCACCGCTCCATGCACGGCGTCATCAAAGTGCTCACCGGCACGGTACGGATGCGATCCTACGACCTGCTCACGGAAGAGCAGAGGGAGACGATCAAGCTCCCAGATCTGAGCGGGTTCTCTGCATCCTCTGCTGGCTCGACCGATCCACATGATTTAGACTCTGCAGTGCAGCAGCTGGCGAGAACTCTACACCCAGTCCGGCCCAGGGCAGAGCTTGAACTGACCCCAGACAGCGAGCCGTGTGTTTTGGGCCCACTCGAGGGCAACGTACACTCCATCGAGTCGGTCGGCGGACCGGCAGCTTTTCTGGACATCCTTTCGCCACCCTACGATCCCGAAGTCGGGAGGGACTGCGTGTACTACAAGGAAACCAAATTCACAGATTCCGAGGAGAGTGTGGGGGATGTGAGGTGGTTACGGAGGATCCCACAACCGGCCAGTTTCTGGTGTTCTCAGGAAGATTATCTTGGTCCACCAGTCGATTTGGACAGTTTATAACGTAAATCATTAGCATCGCACTCCACAACTGAAAGCACTTGGAATGAGCTCTCCAAACATTAAGATTGCAGCCTGCAACTCCATCAATTTTTTTGACAACAAATCACATGGAACTTGGGCCACTTTTCACTTTCAACTAACCCTCATTATCTTGATACAAGCGTTCAATGAAAATACTAAGATGCAAAATAATTAATTTAGGAAAAAATGTTGCAACCTGACACCACTTTTTTTCACATATCTCATTGAAGGTCAATCATTGCAAAAATGATGATAAGACATGAATCTGGGACTGACAAACATTTCCAATTTTGTTAGGAAATACTAAGAAAATTTTCTTGACTCCATAGACTTTGTACACAACCACTGAAGTGGCATCAGGTTGCAACATTTTTCCTTAATTTAAACTCAGTCTCTTAAAAATTTGTTCTCTGTTTTCAGTTGGGAAGCATTCTTAGACTCATCCGGAATTTTAAGTGCAGACCCTTTTCTTTTACTCCCAACTTTATGCAACTTGTACTTTTGCAAATGTGCATTATACATTCATTACTAGGACTGGTTGAAACCTTGATTCATATTATGCTGTTCTTTTGAAGACATTATACTTTTTAGTTGTAGTGTTGTCATCAAACTTTAAAAAAAAATTATGTCCTTTAAATTTCTCAAACTTGTCTCTGTATCATAAAGCATCTAGTTTAACTTGAAGTCTTGATCTTTTTGGGATAAAAAAAAACAGTAAATGTTTTGCTTTGTTTTTCTCTAGAGATTTCAAATCTATATTGTATGCTTTCTTGAACTCTATCTAGATCTAGGGGGGGGGGAGAGCAATTGATAGGTGCAAAACTGAGCCATTATCAAGTATATTCAATTTTATGATGCGATACCAATGTGTCCTCTATGCAAGTTATTTTGTGTACAATTTTGTTTTTGACTGCATTTTAGGTGAACTTTCCCATTAAAGAAATTGGACTGATATTGGCAATGAGCTATTTACTTGTGAAGCAATACTCTTTATTTTGCTCCTACTTGTGATACAAGACTAATCTCTCAATCCCCCCCCCCTCATGTAGGGGCTGCCCCACCCACCCAAGATGTAGGGATTATCACTTTGGTTTACAAGCTTATCATCAAATGAAAGCTGTTTTTAAGTCAATCATGTCTCTACCCTTGGTACAAACAAACCAACAAATATTAAAACAATCTAAAGCAAAGTTCTTTGGAAAAGGTTTAATTTGAGAAGGTTTTTGAAAAAGGTTTGCAATAGCCTTGTTCCTTGTTATCTTTTTGTATGATTTTCACATCTTGTATGTTAAAAGAACACATCGAATTGCATATCATAGTACCATACATAAGATGTATTAAATATATAGCTAACTTGGAACGAGAAAAAGGTGGTCATTTTTTTCCGTTGTTATCAAGGGTTGTTCACGGGAGCCGGAGGGACCCGATATTTTAAAGAGCGTGCAACTTTGTTTTATCTTCGTTCCAGATTTATGTCGACAAGTCTTTGCAAATCATAACCCACCACGTACCATGATGACCGCCCTCTTGTGACAAAATTGTATTAATCGCATTTGCATATCAGTATAGACAGTGTGATAGTGTTTGTACAGTGAATTCCTCCGGGAAATGTATCACATTAGGATCTTCGACATTACACACAATAATACCAATTTGGAAGGAATTACAAGTATGTTCAAAATTAAGTCTTTGTTATAAAGTACCGGTTATCCTGTATGCGTGATGAGTTGGTTGGTGGGAAAAAGTGGCAGCACCATTTCAAATGAGGGCGCCCTTTATATGGCATGTACCGAAAGGGGAAATGTTCAGAGCAAAACTATTATGTGGCCTCCTATGGATCGAAGTCCTATTTACCCACCATTTGTTTTTCTTACAAATGTATACAAAATATTTCCATGTTATTCATATGTATCCCCTTGATTCACCTCAAAGTGGGACTTATTCTGTATTTCCCTGATGGTTTTGAGTAGCCAATTCTTGGAATTTATAGTATCAATTCCAATTCTTGGAGTTTTAGGCCGATATATAATTTCTCCCCACGCTCCCCCACCCACACCCCTGTACCCACAGGCATATCGTGAGCGTACCGACCCATCATATGTAAACTCCCCGCCGCTAGAGCAGGGCAAGTCGTGAATCGTGACCAAATGGACTCAGAACATCTGTTCATTACCGGTATCTCAAAAACATGCCGAGAGTGTGCTATAGAAACGTAACCAACAGTGTAGCGTACTGGTGTTCAATAAACCTGTAGGAACTTTGGGCCTCATTTTCTGGAGGGCCGGGGGCCGCTCGATAGCTTTTAAACGAAAAAAGGGCTAACTTTGTTACCCTGTCTTAATCTCTGAGCCGAGGCCACCAGGGGGGGGGGGGGGGGGGGGGGGGGGGGGAGGGGGGGGAAGGGGGGGGAGGGGGGAAGGGGGGGGGGGGAAGGGGGGGGGAAGGGGGGGGGCGCACACACAGGCCTTAGTCCCTATACCCGACCGGGCCCCAAAACAGGGGAAAATTAAAGAATTTTTTTTTTCATAATAAAACAAGCCTAGGGTTTGTTCTGTAATACGTGTGCCGTGCATTATTCTGCCAAACCAATTCTTGTATTTTACTCCCGTTTTGAGGTTCAAGATGTCTGCTCTAGCACGACGATGTTTGTGAAATTGTTTTTCCATGCACGCTTGACTGACTTCCAGGAGTGAATGGGTTCGGTGTCATGGCGTGTGAACACAGGTATTGGTGGTTGAGATTGTTTAGTAGCACGAATTTCCGGGTGTTTTGAAAATAACATCGAAAGATCTCAACCGCTCATGCCAAAAAAAAAAAAGAAGACTTTTTTGTTCGACAACCAAATAACAATCTGCGGTACACTGCTGCCGGAATGCAAAACTTTTATTATAATTTCATATTTGTTTCCGGTCTATAATAAACAAGCCAATGTCTATTTTGTTTACCATATTTAATGTGGAAGTCGAAAATATGTTGTTGTTTTTCAACAAAATCAATCAATAATTGTCACAGCTGATTCGCGTTGCACCATCACTAAAAGTTCAAAACATTGCACTCTAATAATGAAACTTTCATACCCGCTGTTTTTTCCCCTCAATTACGCCCCTTTGATCTTTGGGTTTTTTTCCATCACGCGTTTGTCAGTTTTATCCGAAAAAATTGCCTTCACTGCGCCTGCCTAACCGCTGGTGTGATCATCCATCGAAGACTATAATACATGTTATTAATGTGATGAGCTTGAACTTTAAAATTACTTACGTTTTAAAATGAATTGTTTTCGTATCGTGTTTGTCGGAGTCTTGGACACACCTATCGAAATGATGCTGTTACCCCTTTGTCGTCAGGGCAACACTTCTGGGTTTCAAATCAAGAAAACTACACGGTAACACCCAGTTGTACATGGGAGAAAGATCCAGAATTCCCCTGGAACCAGCAACTATGACACGCACAATAGAAGGAAATTAACTTTAGCATCCCTGACATTATAACTATATATCGTTACACGTCATGAAGCCGGGGGTGATGTCATGCTACGCCCTACAGTGGCAAAGAGGTTAATTGTGAACGCCCTACCACCTCGATGAACACAGAGAAACACTGTCTAAAACCTATCTGGTAGGCTAGCCTGTACTAGAAATGGACACACGCACTTGTCTCCAAATCTTTGCTTTTGAACTTAGGCGGTGGAGAAATTGACGATACAATCGATGCATTTTGTTACAATGAAGATTGATTTTGTGTTGTGATGTATAGTGGCATGGTCCGAATGCAAACTTTTTTTTGTTAATGGGAGAAAATCCCTGCAATTATTTTATATTTACGCTTGCATAACGGCATGTATTTCGGAGTTTAAAGAAATAGACTCAGGGAACATGATAAACAAATTTCATTTCGTGAAAATACTGCCTCAAGCAATGGCAAAAAATCACAAAGTTTATACAATAAAAGCTGTCACTTATAGTTATACTACACACTCAGCTGATATATGAGACTCGAACGGGCTGCTTTCGTTAAAATAACGTAAAAAAAAAAGAGCGATTTTTCCAGATTTTTTTCTTTTTCAAAACTATTAGTATAATCCGTGTTCATGCATGAGAAAGTAAATCATAACGCCAGAAAGAAACTATGCTTCCAAAAAGACGGATAACTATAGCAACGTAAACACGATCAGGGTATTATTTGTAAACAGTGTACTTCCTGTCCTGCAGATGTTGTTTTTCCAGGTTCTCCGAACCATGCCTGAACCCATACCTGAACTTTCTTAACAACAGACGACAAGTTCAGGTACGGTCGGCTTTAACAACAATAACACTACACCATTGTGTGCAAAAAGCGAACAAAGACCACCAAAAAGTTCTCAAAGTTGTTGCCAGGGTACCCATTGGCAGTGTTTGGGTCTGTTTGATTTGGATGACTACATCGACACTGTTTAACATCGGTATACCCCGAGCCCTGGCCTTGGCCTTGCCCCATCGAACAAAGCTGAACCGAGTGGTTTGACGTCACACAAGCCTCAGGCATGCGTGGCATACTTTCACAGGCCTGGGCCCGGTAGTCGTGACGTCATGACACTGGTCGCTATGGTAACCCCCTGGTGTTTAGGCCAAAACTTTGCGGCGGGCGCTCGGCTCGTTACAATACGTGCTGCCAGTGGTTAGAATGTGGGTCAAACCGCGGGGCACAGACAGCTCCTGCAGAAAAAAAAATGTGTGTATGATTTGGGCGATCAAGTTTCAGGGCCGTCTGTGTTTCCGATACCCAGTTTGACGTCATCCTTAGTCACTAGGCAATGGGTTTTCAAGCAGGGAAAGCCCGACCGCAGGTGCGCGAGTCAAGTCCTGCAGAGTGCGCCGGGCGCGGCGGGGCAGACCCGGAACAGATCGCGAAACAATCCGGGGAACCCCGGGTCGGACTTTCACCCTTGTGGCTGGTGGTGGTCGATGGAAAGCGACTCAACCTGGCCTATACAAAAACAAAACAAAATGTGATAATATTGTAGAATGAATAAAGGACGCAATAATCTTCAATTTCTTTAGTTCCTGATGAGAGTGCAAATTCACTCCACCTCACTGAAACTAATCAAGACGACGATTTACAGTGAAATAGTAATAACATTTCTACTGAAGTGATTCTTTTTTAAAAAGATTTGATCTAAAATTAGAGTAATTTTCACATTAAATCGTCTGCTCCCTTTACCTTTACTGTTTGGAACGTGTACATTAATTTTTCTACCGAGTTAGGATTTGCTTCCACGTTTGCTCATTAACCCTAACCCGATGATAGAGTGATTTACTAGGAACCTTCCTCACTCTTGCAAATTCCAACACCATATGGTAAGCTCTACATCCAAACTATTGGACTCTGATTATGGTGGTATGCTGACCCCATGTAAAGCATAATACGTTTACTAGTACAGTACTCACTCCAACAGATCCCAACAAACCCTGGTGTTGGAGTTTGACTGGATGGGGATTGTTAGGGTCAATGGACTGTTTCGTAGACAAGGGTATTTACCTGAAGTCGTCGTATATGGGGCTGTTCTGGCAACTATCTTGTTGTAAGGTTCTGCAATTTTATTTCGAATCCTGAAAGAAAAAAAACAAAAATATTTCGTTAAAGGAAGCTTATAAACTAAGTTCAGAATAATATCAGACGATTCTCGGATGAAAAGGGCTTTAGTATAATGGGAATGGTATTCACAAGCTTGAAGAAAATGTGCAGAGCAGCGACACTTGCAAAGTAGGTCCTTCTAGCTCCAGACATTTCCGGTAAGAAAGTAAATGGACGGTTTCCGAGCTTTCAAGAATCGAGCTCTCCACAGTGGACGGGTAACTTCCGTGGGTGAGTGGGCAGGACCAGTGGTCCTTATATGATTTTAATTTCTTTTACCGCACTTCATCTCACAGGAGTTCGGTTACCGAGACAAACCCTTGACTAAGTTGAATGTGGCTCCATGAAATAAGACTGGCTTCAACAGAATAATGATGCAGTCTACACGTTATGAAATTTTCCATTTTCCTCTTTTTTTTGGGCCAACTTTTCATGGGTAAATTGCCTTTTTTCTGATTAATCGAAGCAGGTTATTCTTTCTCGAAGCTTACTTTAATAAACGAAACGAACTTGACGATCTCTAAAATCTTGTGATAAACTACAATCCTGTCTTCCTAAACTGCCGACTGCAATAATGTCCGAGGAAGCGTCCATTTTCAAGGCGATGGGCGCCCTCTTGTGACGCGAAGAGAATATCTTCATCTTTGTCTACTCGTTTGTAACATGGAGAATTAGTTCTCTATGTTTGTAACCAATACAACGATCCGTGTAACGTTCATGGTGGCGCGCTTCCGGAACTCTTGAATAGGAAAATTAAGGTGTAAATATCAAAAATGTGTAATTATTTTTGTTATACATTGATTGAGTGCTGAAGAAAATCACCTTCGAAAAAGGCCTTTTGTGAAATTGTTACTTGCATCTCAATATGTGGAAACTGAAAAATGGCGCCTGACGTGAAAGAGAAATGCCGTGCCAAACACTGACCTCTCACTTCCGAAATTCCAAAATACATGTGGACCAGTGGAACTTGGTCGGTGTACTCGTACAAAGGTGACAATTTATGAAATAATTTTGCGGCGGTCATTGGGTGACAATTGAAACTTAAATAGGAGACTAAGATTATAGCAAGAAAAAGGGCAACCAAGTGTAAAATGCCCATAGGTGGGCCGGGCGAGGGTTCCGGAAGCTCGCCGCGTGACCTTTCTTACTTTCAAGCTCTATTGTCTCAGTTACTCGAATAGAGAACGGAGATCCGGCACCGTAAGCAAACAGAATAACAACAAAACAAATGCTCCGAAATGTTTGGAAGTTGTATGAAGTGATTATTTAAAAACAAAATACAGGTTAACACAGGGTTTCACATTGTAATATAGTATTTTGTGATGTGGTTGAGCTATTATCTATGTTCTTTTATACCAGCCCCGGTTGTTATTTTTTTCCCTTTCAAGAGTTACTATGGTAACTCTTGTTATGTACTCTTTACATAGCAGTTCATGCATGACCACACCTTGCCCTTTTTACCAGTCCCACTGTAGATCAGGGCAGAGTGACGTCGTCCGATGAAAATATTTATTCATATGCACACCAGTTTTCATCGGTTGCTATGTGTTACCATTCAGCACTCCAGACAACAAAAACCACTTTCAAGAGCATGGGGCTGGGAGACTGATGAGCCAATGTAAAACATTCCCGGATGTCCGCGGTAACCTATTATTGTTTCTTGCACGCGACAAAGTTACAAACTTGAAACTGGGGCGGTATTTCACTGCGGAATACACACTGCGGATGGCACTGATGAAAAAAAAATCCACCGACCGGGTTCTCCGCGGCCGAATTAATGGCACGTGTGTTACGGGTTTAAAGGCCATATAGGATCATTTGCATCAATCCCGAAAGTAACCTGCCGATTTATTCTAAAAAAAAACCCAGTGAAAGTAGTCCACCTGGCTTGCTGTCATTTAGAAGAAATCAAGAAATGCTGTTGATTTCCAACGATCAGTCAATAGACCTGTATCATGCTTCCACCATTTTAGTCATTTTCCCTGCATCCAATAACAGTACTGAACTAGAGATTCGCGTTTGTTGTTACAAACGCAGAGTGGTCGGGTAGACAACTACTTTATGAAACACTGTTCAGTTAAGTTATGAATATTTTTATGTAAGAACAAAGGATCACGAAATTAAATCCTTTTGATTAAATCACGTACACGGCAAAAAATGTTTATCAAATAATGGTCTATCTGATTACAAGGTTGGAGCATAATTGATCATTTTGTTGAAGAGTTATAGATGAAAGAAGATCGTCATTTTTTCAACGAAAATCGCTTGTAATTTGACACCCGATGACGTCATAATGACGTCAGTGTAATATGCACCACTCGGAATGAGGGTCAATATATGTTAAAAGTTACAAGTTCATATCATATACCGTTTAGGAGAAAACCTGCGGAAACGTGCTATGCAGAAAAGAAAGAAAGAAAGATTAATCGCAACAAATCCAAAGAGTGGTCGGGTTGTGCCCGACCACTCAACTAGAGGTTCGCGTTTGTTGAGTTACAAACGCAGAGAGGTCGGGCTGGCATATTTTCTTGTGTTTACAGTGACTTAATCATAATTGAACTGCGCATTACCCCTCCCATTACCCTGCACCCACTACCCTGTGTTTTTCACAAAGACAATCACACAACCTGCAGTTGAACTTGTTGCTTTACCTCGACAAGACTTTAGGCCAATCAGGAAGCGCACATCTGGTGTTGCATAAATGGCTACTAAAGCATACAACCAGTTGGGCCTATTGGTAGACTTGCCGGAGCCTCTAACGTCGTTGGAGTTTATGCAACATATGCTAATCATACCATAAACGGCTTTTATGTGTTTTTTTCTTTTGCATGGGCATAATAAAATTCTGCACTGACTTAACGACAAAAAGTTTGTGGCTACACGCTGTGGAAATATTAATTTTCAGCATTCAGATATGAGAGGAAAACTGGTGAGGCGCGATTTCAATCGATTATGGAAAGAAATCTTGTTTTCCTTATATTTGGGGCTAATTTCTATATTTTGAATTCACCTAACTTTGACCTTCCGGCAGCCCCGGAAGGAGAGGTGAAACGACTTTGACTTTAAAATGTTTTAAAAATGTTTATCAGTTAATGGTCTATCTGATTACAAGGTCGCTTGTACTCAACTCATTGAGTGGTCGGGTTGTGCCCGACCACTCAATGATCATGTTTTTGTGCAAAAAGGAACCAGACTTTTTTCCTTCCAGCCTCGCTTTGGTTACATTGATCTGAATGGGAAAAAAATCAAATGGCTGCAAGATGATAAGTAATCCACTGAGCTGAAATTTCAACAGGTTACGCTTTGAAGTTCTTCAAGTTTGATTTTGAATTGTGGTGTTATTGGAAACGAACAAAATGCACGAAATGCAAAATGATCCTGCATGTTTTTCAACACGGTTTCACAGTCCAACGCCTCGTTTTTGTTTGCAACACTACTGGCGATATGGCCGTATTTGTCCAAATATTAGAACAAGCAACTCGTGAGGCTATCATGGAGCCACGCCTGGCGCTGGGCCATTGATCCTCCGTTGGGCAGAACAAACTTTCGTTAGAGGGAAATAGTGAGCGTGGGGACGGCACAATCTGTGTGACGAACGGCCACGTGTCTTACACGTGTCCTACACCTTGCAGTTTTTAATACTTAAATCAATAACCACTGCCATCTGACTTTCTTTATCTGTGTATCGAGTCTCCTATTACCCCAAGTAACAATATTGGGTTAACATATAAACGTTGCCAACGCGTACGTCTTCGGTGGCTTCGGCCATCGGCGAAAAGAAAAATGAAATGAGCTAATTGTATTGTAAACACCGGGAGAGAATTTCTACACCTGGCGGGACTGTTGGCAACACACGTGCCACTGATAGTTAATAGTTTCAACAGGCAAAGGCTAAGCAGCCATACGTGTTTGGTGTCCAAGGTTCTCACGAAATGGACTCCTGTTATCTCCCGTCGGAATACTCCGATCTCCGGTCTATACCTTTCGGTATTCTTTTAATGACTTCAAGATAGCAAAACGGATTTTAAAGGCACGATCATTGCTATTCATGCATTTTTGTCGTTTCCAATAACAACACCACTCAAAATCCAAAGAAGAATGTTCAAAACCCAACCTGTCGAAGTTTCAGCTCTATAAGTAGTACACGAGAAAACAGTAAAAAAAAAAAAAAAAAACACCATGCACAACCTTTTGATCACGAAACACGATTTCTTCCATAGAGCTCTTTCTTTTCAAAAGTTCTTTGAAATCGTTTGAAATCACCATTTCTTAATTTCTTCTAAATGACAGCAAGCCACACAGACGGAATAATTTCTCGTAATGTATGGTACCAGTGCGATCCAAGCAAGCTTTTTTTGATAAAAATTCGGTAGGTTACTTTTGGGATAAATGCAAATGACCTAAGCCCTAGGATATGCCTTCAAACGCAAATTTTCCGAAATTCATTTGTGTTCACAGTAGCGCAACTGGGAACCAAGACGAAGTGGGCATTTTGCTGGTGCCTAATTTTTCCTGGGGACATTCAATGGACTTCCAACATTAAGAGGCTCATTTTTTGAAACTTTCCTCAAATTATGAGAGGGGAGGGGTCATAAGGGAGCGGTCTCGAGAAGGGGGTTTGGCGTGCCCAATCCCCCTGCACCACTGAGTGTGCATGTCGCACCGGGGGTGAATTCAAACCGAACCACTGCAATTTTAAGAAATGAAATGAAATGCAAGGTATCTGTCGTACAATGTCAATGCTGTGTTTATTCTCGACCTATAGCTAACAACTTTAGTGTCTACTTCTAGCTCCTCGAAAACACATTTTAACGACAACCCTCACCATAATGGAATAATGTAAACGTCATGTTTAATTTTTTTTTTGTAGAATTTTTTTCACTAAGCGGGAGCTTACTTTGTTATGCTTCCCATAAGTACAAACAAAATGCTGAGCTCTGAAAAATAAGCCCCCAACCCCCGAAAAAAAGGTTACCAGCTTAAATATCACGAGATGTACACTGCTTATGATCGGTTTACCGCTAATTTTATCTGAAAAAGAACTGTGTTCCCAATAGACAGTATGCGTTAAGGCGGAGTCAGGGGGCAGTAGTTTTGTATCGCTTGGATAGGCATGAGTAAAACTTTGTGCATTCATTGTTACTAGATTTAAATAACAAAGAACAGCCTCTGGCCCTTTTTTTTTTTGGACACCGAAAAGCTTGGACTGACTACAGTGGAACAGTACACATTCACACGAAAAAAGAGAAAAGATAAAAGTTCAATGAGTGACTTTCATTGTCATCCATTTTGTGTCCACAGCCTCCCATGTTTGTGTCCACCTCGGGACAGCACTGTTGCAACGACCCCCAAGTGGCTAAAAGCAGAGTTGCTGACTCGAGTCATGTGACTTGGACTCGAGTCGGACTCGAGTCGCTATTTTTGTGACTTGTGACTTGACTTGTAAATACCAGCTTTGACTTGTGACTTGACTTGGACTTGCAAACAATGACTTGTGACTTGACTTGGGATTGCAAAATATGACTTGTTACCAACCCAAGTCAGACGCTACTCGAGCGACCCAATACACTTTAATTAAGCTATTATACTTTTAATTAGCTTTTTCATTCCAGAAAATAGACCTCAGTGACTGAATCCAGTAAAATGAATAGTTTCCACTATAAAGTGTTCAATAAGACTGTCACAACAAACTACAGTTTTCAATGACCAATTGTCTCTTGCTTAAAGTATTGGTTGAACAAACTTTGAAAGGAACCTTTCATGAAAAGAAAGCAGGCCTTTGTCAATTGCATGTAAAATACCGGATAGCCTAACCCATTGGTAGGCGTTTAGTATACATGAAAATTGAACAATAAAGTGTTAGTATACTACATGTAATCGAGTGAGGAAGTCTTTTTTTCACGGTCATCTCAACATTTATTTCTACAATGTAAAATAAATTTATTAAAGTATACAAAGGGCTAATATCCGACAGATATGTGATAAACTACAAGAATAGTAATTTCAACACATTGAAAAAGGGGCATTAAGGAGGCATGTTCAAAATAACTCGTAAGTTCACGCCAGGTTCTTTTAGCTTATTACAGCTGGACAAATTAATGTGCAACTTGACGTGTTCTTGGACAAAGATGCTTGTGACTTGACTTGTTTTTAGACCAAATTACTTGTGACTTGACTTGGACTTGCAAAAAATGACTTGCTGCCACCTCTGGCTAAAAGACAGTGAGACCCGCTTTGCAATATTAACACCAAGAGCTGGATCTCAACGCATCTACTTAGTGCAAACCCAAGAGCCAATCTGGATGCTAAAAGACAAGTGTAATGATTCTTTCAATTAAACTGACTCATGCGCAAATGAGATGAATGAATACAATTATAAAGAAAATAATTACATCACGTCATCAAGCATTCCATATGGTTCAAAGCTATTGCTGCATCCGGATTTCCTAGTTCACTGACTCGAAAATGACAAAAAAACCCCGTTTTTTTCACTTATTTAATAGTGGTTACAAAATACAATCATTATTTTATAACAATTGTGTAACACAATATTGCGCCTGTATTGTACGTAAGTTATTGATGCGCGACAGTAATTGATCCTGAATATTCATAAGCCAGCGACTATATAATCTGCAGGGTCACGTGCAGGTCAGGCAGCAGCAATCATATCGCCGCAATGTCGTCACTCCATTGACCGTAGACAAGCACGACGTCAATATTACGAGCAAATTGCGTCTTAAAACGGAGCGGCAGTGCGGGCGGGCGTGCTGTTTGACGTAATGCCTCGACGCGGCATCCCCCGATATAATAAAAAAGAAACCGCCACATCTCCGAGTGCTCCAGGCTCTGTGCGCCTATTATAACCGTATGGAAAGGGTCTGTGTGTCGTCAGTGACCATTGAGCACACGTGAGGATTGGACGCGGCGTGTGCGAGATGAGCCCGTGTACCATCAGCGTGTGTGCTTATATCAAGACTGACTTCCCGTCTCCCGGGTGTCAAGTACATCTCTCACTCCGTCTCTCTCCCTATCCCCCTCCGGTCATGTACATTAGGGACCCGAAACACATTTATCGCATTGTATTACAATGAAGAATTCAATCAAGTGGGATTTCACCATCACCAAGTACTTAAGATTGTCTTTCTCTTTTTCATTTTCTTTTTTTAATATGTGGCTTGCTAATTTGACCGATAGTGAATTTATCACTGCTCTTTTAGTACTATTATGTTTCGTTTTCAATTTTCCCCACTTTAAGCGGAGGCTATTGTGTGCGTCTTAGGAAGTCCCAGTGATACCCAAGACGTAAAAAAGCATGTTTATCTCCTTCGTTGCCATGGAGACCCAATGACAACTAATGGAATAGCTTCAACCTTGGGGAGCAGCTGGTCACGCGAACTTGTGGATATCAAAATAGGGCTCTGACGTCATCGATGACGAAGTATCCCGCTCAAACAAACCGGTTTTTCGCCTAACAGGAAACGACCCGACAATGCGAGATAATATATAGAAGGAATGATGCGAACTTCGGGGAACTATAGGGGGGAAAAGACACTGGGATATTTTGTTGTAGTTAAGCCCCGCGGTCTTGTGTTTTTTTGGTCGTCACTGCATAATAACAATTCGATATGCTTGTTGGAATGTCAGGCGGAGTCGAGTATATCGAAAATAGAAAAGTATCGGCTGGATTGACCTAACGGTGGGCATTTTTTTTATTAGAGTGATGGGAGAGGGCAGGGTGCTGAGGTGCAGACTGGTTTGTTGCGTGAAAATTGACGTACATTTAAATTATCCTTGTTTTACCAAAACATAAATCGTAATGGGAAACTCAAATCAGCAGCGTAACTAGGGTGAAACCTCCTAGGGAACACCATTTTTTAACGGGGCACTGAAGCAACTGATATGTCGTTTTTGTGCAATTTCAAAATTGGGGGGGGGGGGGGGGCGCCACGGACCTCCGCCGGGGGCACGTGCCTCCTGTGGCCCCCCCCCCGTAATTTCGCAACTGCTTCAAATAAATATTTGATTCAACAAAGAATCGACTTGAACAGGATTCGCAACTCGTCAGAACTGCTTTATTTAATGCTACATGCCCAGTGTTATGCATAATACAGACTAGGGGCAATTAGTGTGGATTTTGTCACGGGTCGGTTATCATATTAAAATGCCCAAAGAAAAGTTACTGCTGACAATGAGAACCTTACGGACGAGAGATTGAGAGTTCAGATCTAAATAAAGCATTTTAATTGGAGTCGTAATCTATAAGGGTCATTTAAACGGAATATTATATTCGAAATGACAACCGCCTCTTGCTCAAAAGTCTTTTCAGTGAATTCACGTCAACCAACTAGCCAATTGGAAAAGGGGGGGGGGGAGGACACAATGCGAGAAACGATTCAACACTCGGACATGGCTCTGAGATGTCCCGACAATGCACGGACGCTTCGGAAAAGACGACGATTTGTCTCCGTCCCACGCTTGGCAGTGAGTGTTTTTCTGCATTTAGTAACGGGTGGCTACACTTGCGAACAGGCCCCGCCGATAGAGCAACGCTGAGTGACGCTTTATACAAGCCGAAAAAACACCTGCCGACATTCAAACTGCTCTGTATACCAAACAATAATAGATTTGAATCTTTCTTTAAGTTTTCCTTGTCTTGTTAGTTTGTATGTTTTTGTCCTCTGGACTTTTTTTTCGTAAAAACACGATAAGTTCTACATGGGTGAACATGTAGTTCTGATATTCTGAAATAACAAAACAATGGTCTTTTAACAATTATGACAAAGCTCAGGGGTGTTACAAAATAACTATGAAACATGTTCCAAGCGATCAGATTCCTGCATTAGACTAATTAAAGTCCAGTCCGGATCATGATACACAATGTCTCATAATGATGTGGTTGCGGCCCCATCCGCTTACGGGAGGGTTATTTAACAAGCGAACTAAATCTGTTTTCAAGTCCTCGTGTTGAATTGAAATCAAACAGATTTTTTTTCTTTGAGAATAAAATAATTAGAATGAGTTCTTTTTTTCGCCAATCTTACCTTTCACGCACGTGTCTTATCAGGGATTCACGCCATCTAAGAACCACGGTTTCAAAAGGACTCCAGTAGATGTTGACCACCCGTACATTTTATACTCCATCGGCCGACGTGACGTGGTGACACAAGAAACGGCTTGACATGAAACAAGCAACTGGGAAAAAAAAACAGTACCAAAAAATACAAAAGGTTAGATATTAATGGTTGGGAAATTAGACAGATTCATGGATGCACTGAAAAGCATGACATTGCGACTGCCATGATTAGACAAAATAAAACACGCCTAGTACCTAGACACATTGAATTACTGTTAAAAAAAAATCTCCTTAGATGAGGAACAGTTGGGAATCGGTTCAGATGGGCGCACGTGTCTCTTATAAGAGAGCAAATCGGGGTGGGCGACAGAACGGGGGTAGATGGGGGTATAGTGGAACATCAACGCCAACCTGGCCCACATCAATTCTAGGAAACATCCTCTTTTGGCGATTAGGTGCCCCTGGGGGGTAAGCCTTATACATCCTATCCGTCTTAATGCTGGGCCACTTTACATCCTCTGGCACAAGCCTTTTTCCGGAGAATTCGTCAGGAATCACAACTCAATACTTTAGTCCTCTCTCACAATTCAACCCCCTTCCCGAAAATAGCCCCGGAAAAAAAGACGTCAAAGCGGCAAGATTTTTCTGGTCGTCATTACTACAGCTTTCTTCCGTTTTACCTTTTATTTCTTATTTCACAAAAGAGAACCCCCCCCCAAAAAAAAAAATAAAGAGAGAAAAAAATGTGTCAATTAAACTGGACAAATTTAGAGTGCTGCGTCAAGACGGCTAAAGGGATCGGTGATAATTCGTGGTGCTGACGTGCGGTTGACGTCCTCAACGCTCGTTGCTGGAGTGTGTTTACCGTTGGCTGGTGATTAGGGCCGGCCTCTCTAACGTCACAAAAAATGGCCAGAACGGATCACATGAAACGATTTCTACGGAAAGATTTCCCGAAATAAGGGAGACTTGTTAAAAAAAACAGGGAGGGGGGTATATTATAGCGTCAACTTGAATCGAAAGATATCCATTTTGATCCGCATAATCACTTAACTGGGAACAGTCCCGTGTGAAAGAAAGAGAGTTCGATGACAAATTATTGCGAGCCATTGAACTGCTTTAGTCATGGACTGAATTCTGAAAGTTGATGTCAAAGTCAATGACGGGTGCATATTCTAAGACTACCTTTAGCTGCACACTAAGGAATATCGCGTTTTACTTCCGTTTCTTTGCACTATTTAAAAACTTATTTATCATTAATGATCTTCCGCTTTTCCAGTGAAGGAAGTGTTATTTATGGCGGCTTATTTTAGATAACTCCTAATTTGGAAAGAAAGCTGCACGGCTGAACAATGCCGAGTTAGTTAAATCTGGCCCCTTTCCCTCGTACACCTTATCGGATGCCCTGGTGCTTGTACTCGTCATAACTCGGTTTTATGACGCAGTGCCGACACGCGAAACGCGTCGAGCCGGTCACGGGCCGGGGAAACTCCCAGGCCAGCGACAAGTCGGTGCGAGGCGCGACACAATGGAGGTTTTGAACGGGGGAAGATTGGGTTTCAGTCGGCGGAGTGCGGCTCTCCTGCACGGGACAATGGGCCGAGGTCCCCTCACAATGCGCAGGGTGTCAATAGCTGCATGTTTCGCTTAGGTGTCCGTGGGGGGACATTGATATAAGGCTGCACTGGGGATGTTCCTATTACGTCTGCTGATGCTTTAACCCGAGTGGTCGTTACATCATTTCTCCTAAAATACGCAGTTTGGTCGACCGTTTTGGCTACAGCGCGCGTATATAGGCCTATACGAGGGGTCCGGACTATTCAGCACGATGGTCATATCGTAAGCCCGTTTTTACTGGAGTTTTCTATCCAAATTTGGCAGGCCGCCTAAATTTAACTTCTCCCGGCCAACACAATCGGGGCTTTTCTCACTCGGACCCCTATTTTTAAACTCGGAAGGAAGACGAGAGGGAAACTTCTGTCAAAACACTGATTGTTTTCGAGGCGTGATGCAATACACGTTGCTGAGACCTATAAATGCCAAGCGGTGGTGTTTACCGTATTGCGCTTTTGCGTGAAGATCGCCGCATCCGAAATAACAACGCATTCAAAACGAAATTCTCCGAAGCCAGTGAAATATCCGTTTGGTCACCCAGAGGGACAGATCCGCTAACCTTTCCAAAATCTCAGAAATTGTCCATTGTCTTTGGATGACACCGTCTCGGTAAAACAAAAACTCAGTCGGGTCTTGGAAAGAAGCCGTAGCGGGAAAGCACCACATAACGCTATCTCCGGTCGGGATCGTGACTTCTGTGCAACCGCATCGATGTTCCCCCCGTGTCGCGAGTTTACTGGACAGTAATTTTAAGAGAAAACGTAACGTCTCTTGCCGAGAATTAATGTTAATGAAGAGACAAAGAAGACACGGAGAAACTTGGAGTTTGCCACTCACTACGGGAGGGGAAACATTTAGGATGAGGTACTCCCTGAACTTAAGTTCCATTGAAACAATCCCCATGGGCCAAACTCCGACACCAGGGTTTGTTGGAATCTGGAATCTGTTACAGTGAGTACTGTACTAGTAAACTAGTTATGCTTTACATTTGGTTGTAGGCATACTAGGCACCAGTAATCAGAGTCCAACAGTTTTGTGTACAGTTTACCATATGGTGTTGGAATTTGCAGGAGTGAGGAATCATTCTATGGGGGTTAGGGTTGATAGCCAAGCTTTGGTAAGAGCAGTCAAAGAGGCTTTTGGATTAAGAAACGTTGTCCAGTACATCCTGCACTACTGTTTTGGTTTAAAGAAATGCAGTGAAATTTGGTATGGCGTTAGCTTTAAGCTGAAAGCACTGTGACTTTCCCAGCAACAACTCCCGACATATCTACTCGAGGAATCATTAACATGAGTTCACATCGTGTTGAATCTTTTGTCCACCAAATCTTCTGTCCACCAAGGAGCATCTCCCCCAAATCCGTGAGACAACATTAACGCCAACCGTAAGATTTACATTCACTCTTAATTGTTAGTTAAGAACTTCAAGACAAAAATGCAACAAACTAGTAAGTTGGAAGTTCTTTGATACGGGAGTTCGGATTGAACGGTTAAATGAGAATCTTGACAATAACATATATTGACAATAAAAAAAGAAAGAAAATCGGTGTGTGACAATTTATTCTGTATTCGGCGTAACAAAAAAGTGGGTTGCGAAACACCACTGCATGCACAGTCGACATGTCCATCAGTGACAGTGACGTTCATGATGCCATTAGTGACGTTCATGATGCCATTATAGACAGTATCGCTAACCCCCTCCCCCGAAGAAACAAACAAACAAACAAAAGTGCCAAAATCGCCTTATTCATGAATCATGATTCGTAATGACGGAAAATAAATACTGAAAGCCAAGACCCATGGCAACTTGTATTGACTGTAAACACAGCAACAGACAACAAAAAAACCCACAAACCTACAAAACGAGTATCTGTTGTTTTGACCATCTCACAGCCGGGGGGGGGGGGGGGGGAGGGCGGATTCCGCACCCCCCTCCTCAGATCTCGGCCATCGAATGTTGAAAAATTATGAAACTCGGTACATGCATAGAACAACTTAATATGAACATACCCAAGAAATTTCATGACTGTAGGTCAAAGAGTTTTGGAATTATGGCTAATTAATTATTCATATGCACCAATGGTAATCATAAAAAAAAACAAAGTTGTTCTTTTATTAAGATTTAATGTAAGCACTGTATACTGAGCGCTCCCGAGGGTCTTCGAGAAAACAAAAACACCGCTCACACACAAGCTAACTCGGGGGGGGGGGGGAGGCCTCGAACCCACGACCGCTTACTATGATGCACTGGACCACTGAGTTCGCTGGTGTCGGCTAGTCGGTTCGAATCTGATGTAGCAGCGGGTACCGAAATCAACCACTATTTTATGAAATGTTGTTGCGCCAACGGTAGGCCTATGTGTCTCTTGATATAGTAATGAAAATCGTTCAGGAAAAAAAATACAAATTTGAAAGTGGTTTGAGCTTAATGGATGTACCTGTTTGATCTAAAAAAAGATCGGGCAGTGTCAAGTAGGCGGTCTCTGATACCGGGAAAGCGAGGCACGAAGTGTGACCGGCGAAAATGTCACTGCACGGTCATAAGCACGGTAGCGCGTCCGACCGTCCGTCTCGCCTCCACCCAATCCACCACAGTCTAATTCGCGGAAAAGAAAACGATAGGTCTGGTCTTCACTCATGCGAAATAGGCGCCCCCGACAAACAACAAAAATCATTTTCAAAATTATCCCTGGCACTTTGTCTGATTGGGAAATTAGGGTACCGTAATGTCCCCCATTGCAACGGGTTTGAATGATCTCTAATGATGCTCAACCGTAGTCCGTATACAGAATTCCAAACTTGGAAATGTGTGGCGTCTCGGCTGAATATACTGAAAGCATATTTGTTTTTAAGATGTTATTTTTTGTTGATGTTGGCGGTAAACTTCGAAGAACGTTTCCTTTCGAATTTCGCTGATGTTGGCCTGCGAAATTCTCTCAACTTGTCCATGAAGGGGAAAATTCAGGCAATTTCCCGCCAGACTCACGACTTATCGTGTCCCAAACATCCTATCCAGCCCACATAAGCAGCACGTTTCAATGCAGGCATGCAGCTTGCACAATTTAGAAAACCAAATCTTTTTAATCTTCTTTAGATGAAGGAAATACGTCAAGGGAGATTATTATTGATGTCTTTAAAATCCCAACCTCTTCTCTTCTTCTCCCCCCCCCCCCCCAACAAAAGGTGCCAATGGTTAACTCAGGTTGGTTGTTATTTCTTTCAAATCGCACTGGTTACAAACAAAAAAGTCAGCAAAATTCCCCTCACATGACTGTCATTTATTTTTTCTTTGGGAGAAGAAAAAAGTTCAGCTGGTCAACTCAACAGAGGGGGCGCTGCTGATTAAGTCCACTTCACGGCGAGCACACGGACAACGCCTCTGCGAGAAGCAACGCCCACGTATACGTCGCATCGTTCATGCCCAAGAAACCATCTAGTGTCGTGTAGATTGGAACTCGTTCTTCACCGCGAAAGGGTGTAAAAGAACGGTGCAAGCTACACCTTT